AATATTTTATTTTAATAAATCTATTAATAACTACTAGTACAGTATCGTGCCCTTAGCTCTTAGATAAATATATAATAAAATCTATAGATATATTCTACCAAGCACGTTCAGAGATTAGTAGGGATTTTAGAATATCTTATTTAATTTCTTAGGATAGGATAACATAGTAATAAGTATAATAATTCTTTATCTATTATTCTATATAGTAGTAGAGATTAAGCTAGTAATATTCTCAAGCTAAAAATTTATATATATAGAACCTCCTAGAGTATCCTAAGAATGGTTTATCATACACTAATTAAATTAATTTAATTTTTAAATCATTATGGTCGGGAATCTAGAGATAATTTTTATAAAATAGTAGATCTTTCCTTCTCTCGTAAGAGACTAGAAGGATATCTAGATAATAGTCTTTACTAATTATCAGTACTTTTAGTATGCCTTATATTTATTTATTTTTCTTATATATATTTTATAAAATATTTTAGATTTCTAGTGGCAGTAGCAAGTCTTGTTCATCTTTAAAAATAATATTATTTTAAAATTAGATTATTAAAGCTAGGATATTCCTGGGAAAACCTTCCTCAGATTCTTTTTATATAGATAGTTATTTAGAATCTAAAAATATTCTATATTTACTAAATCTAGGATCTTTCTTAACTATTCTAAGTTCAGAGTTCTCTTTAGTCTAGATAAGTAAGTAAATAGAGTCTAGATTCTTTTATTTTAATATAGTCTAACTCTGGTATAGTAGTCATTCATCTCCCTTTTTTAAGAGATTCTTTAATTTTCTAGTTAGGCTATTAGACTTAGTTTTATAGCATCTAGATTAATATATAATCTTAAAGTTAAAGTAGGATAAGAATTCTAACTATTAAACTTGATAATAGTTCAGGAGTTTAGTTGATATAAAATATTCTAGATTATAATAGTCAATAATAACTTAAATTAAGAATAAAATTTCTTTAAATTTAAGATATTATTTCTTAAAGCAGTGAATAATTACAAGTAACTTTTTATTATAGATTTCGTAATTACATTCAATTGGAAAATATTTTTTAAAAAAAAAAACTATAGAGTGTAATAATCTATCTTTATTATATTAGAATAAAACTCCAGTAGAAATATAATCTAAAATATCAGTTTCTAATATTATTTTTCAGATTTAATTAAATGGTTGGAGTACTGGGGTTTCTATAAAAATTTTTTTTAAATAATTTAAAGTATCCTGACACGCAGGAGTCCAGATAAAAAAAATATTCTTTTTTATAAGTTATATAAAAGAGGCAGTAAATTTCAAGAAATTATAGATAAAATAGCGGTAGAAGTTATTAAATCCTAAAAAAGTTTATATATCTATTATATAGACTGGGATAAGCTATTTAATAATAGTCTTAATTTTTTCCAGATTTATACAGAATCTATCACGGCCTATAATTAGACTTAGAAACTTAATCTTAGGAATAATAAACTTATATTTTAATATTTTAATAAAGAGTCTAGTCTTATATAATTTTATAAAGATTAGCTAGATATACTCTACATACTCTATTCAGGTATAACTATAAATCAGAATATTATTTAAGTATATTATATAGAAGATATCCAGATAGTTTCAGAGTATGTTATTAATATAGCATTAAAAGATGGCTAGGATCCTTATTAATTTAAATAATATTATTAATGATTTATACAGGCCGAGGCGGGTGTAGAATATTATTAACTATTCCTATTCTTTAATAATTTAGATATTATTAAAAACACTAATAATATTAATTTTAGTAAAATAGCGTATTTTTTTTAGATTATTTAAGATTTCTTTTACAAGTGGGAGTGGGTAGCGGTCTTTAATAAAGATTATATTTAAAATATAGTAGTTTATGTAGAATCTAAACTCTTCTCTAGACTTTTTAATGAATAGGACTAGTAAGGTAACAGGTAATAAACTTAGATAGATAAAACTTTTTTTTAGATTCTTAAATAGTTATTTGTGGAAAGCCTATAATTTATTCTAAAATATATTATATAAAGAATTAAATAGGGAAGTCCTCCCCTTTTCTAGAGTAATAGTATAGTTATAATCATGATAAAAGAGAAGTTTCTTTATTTTCTTAAGCAAGAAGACATCTACAAAATCTTTAAACTTATCTAGTAGTGTAGAGTCTTTAGTATTAAAAATAAATTATAAAATAGTATCAATCTAATCTATAGTAATAGTGTATATCAGATAATTTTAGCGTGTGTAGGCCGCGCAGGCTATAATAGAGACTAGTTATATATTCTAGTTTTTTAAGGATAGAGAAAATATAATGTGTATTAGATAGATATATACTAGAATATTATATAAGGCGCGGATCTTGGTTAGATAGATAAATATATTATAATACTAGTGGTAATATAGATTAGTAAATTAGATAGTATACTTAATGAAATTTATTTAAAGATCGTGGGTCTTTAACCAGGGTAGGCTAAGTATAATTAGAAAGTAGGCTAGCTAGATAATTAGGAATAAAATATCTTTTTTTATATGGTTATAAATCTTTAGGATTATATAAATATAATAGATAATTATTCTAATCTTATTTTTTTAGTTGTCAAATCCCATAATGGACTTAGAATATTTTAAAGAATATAAAAATAAGTAATAAATCTTTACCTAATTTTTATCTATAATACGCGATATTAAGTAGCCGGTGTTGAATATCGCGTATATAATAATTCTCTAATCATTAGGATTTAATATAATAAATATAACTATTAAGTTAGTTCTTTAGAGCTTTTCCTCAATAGAGAGCTCTCTAATAATAATATTAAAAATAATATAAATACGCGGGACAGTGCTTTTCTAGTAATAGTTTAAACTAGATATAATCTTTTTGACTACTTACTAAAATTAGAAAAATATAATTATTTTAGTAGTATTACTATTCTTAATTACAGGACTAGTATAGGAGATCTTGAATTAAATAAATTTAGGATTTTTTTTATTAAAGGTTCAGTTCGTACAGGCAGTGATTAATAGTAGAGAGAAGACTAGATCTATTTTAATAAAAATAGATAAGATGTATAACTAGTTCATTAAACCAAGGTATTAGATTTAGAATAATTATAGATTAAATATTAATTAAAATTATAATAAAAGTATTTTTTCCTCTTCTTCCAGGTAGTCTTAGGACGTGGAGAAAAATAATAAATAAATAATAGATCTATAAGAGTATAATCTAGAGTAACTAGTCTCTAATTAGAAGTTTCTATAGAAGGCTTCCACGGGACCTCTTTAATAGTTATAAATATAGCATGTTAAGTATTAGTTAATCTCTATAAATAATTTTAGAAATTAAATTTATATCTTAACTAGTAATTATCTAGATTCTGTAGAAACTAGACTAGATTATAGTAATCTCTCTCTAAAGATATATTATTCAAGAATATAATATTAAACTCTCAATTAATACTATTTTTTAGAGTAGTTATCAGGGAATTAAGATATAGGTAAATTTTATAAATAAATTTTTTAAATTTAGTAAAGTATATAATAAATTTATAGTTTTTTTATTATAAATAGTATAGTTTCCACCGGGTATTACAAGCACAATTAAGATTTCTAAAAACATGCTTAAATATATCTAAAATATCTATAAAGTTATTTAAGATATAGTTACTATTTTCCATAAAGGATTAAACCTGGGTATAGGGAATCTTATCTAATTAGTTAATTACATAGACTTTATAAGTAGAAGTAATAGTATAATAATTATAATTAATATTTATTTTTATTTTAATTTAGGAGATGAAGCAGTCTAAGTCTAAGTAATTATTTTCAAACTTATCAGGATCAGATAGTTATTTAAAGAAAAAAATAAAAGTAAAAAATTTAAGATTAATTAATATAATTACTTCCATTAAAAGAGTTATAGGTTTTTTAATAATAGGTTCTGGAGTTAGGGCAGAAGTATTAACTACTAATATAATAGTCTACACGGCTTTAGTATATTTAGCTAGGACTTAGTCTTTTTTTTTAATAGTAATCTCTTTGGTAGCTAGGGTACTGATTAACTAGTAATTAATCTCTATAGTTTATTAGATTTGGTACGCAGTTACCATATTCTATATATTAAGATTTTATTATAGATGGTTTTACTCACCAATAATCTTTACCGTAAAAATAAAGATATATTTATAATAGTTATATTATTTTCTAGGGTGTTCAGAAACGTACTGGACTAATTCATTAGACCCGCTAGAATTAATTAGAGGTTATAGAATAATAGTTATTTTATAAGCTTACTATTTTAAGGAAGAAGCTACGTAGTATTAAGGTGTAGGTAAGCAGAGATGGTAAGATAGTAGGTTCTAATAGACAGGCAGGATTCAGGTAATAATAATAACTAGGATTTTAACTGGATACTGGGCTGGCTACTGGTTAAGCTATATATAGGGTAATAGATAAGACGTAGTTTGAAGTTACGAACGGGGTTTAGGGGGTAGGTGGCTTTTAACTATATCTGGGGTCACGTGCTGGAGCGGTGAGTCTCGGCAGTATTCCTCTCTTCCCGGCTTGGGAGGTTGCACCGTGACAAAGGATCTCTAATAAAACACCCTAAAATACCCAACTCCTGATGTCACATACGCTAATTGTCTCAACTCAGCTCCCAGTTTCTATTTCTTCATCATCTAGTAAGTTTCCTCACCTGTAATTAACGGTCTATCAACGTTGGAGTGCGTCGTGCCACCATCTGTTTACCAAGATGCTAATGCTACGCAGAAACAACGCTTCTCCTTCCATCCAAACAAGTCAATACTGTTACCTCTACATATATCTATGACGATTATCACGACATATAATGACGGAGTCAACCCATCAGACCCAAGAATCGGTATTTCCTACCCAATCACTCTATCCAGCGAAGCTGCAGCTATATAACAACCTAGATACATGTGATAGATGCTGACCGATGTTATAACCCAATTAAGCTCCACTGTCCCCCAAAACCCTCAACTCAGCCAAACAGAAGCCCATACATATATTCCTCATACATAGCCCGGCCCGTGTAGGTCTCCTGGCCAACAATCCCCCCTGTGACGGACCCCAAAGCCCGCGCATACACGACTTCGTTATGAACAATAACCTCCTTTGTCAAATTGACTGCAAACACTTGCCCCCCACCAAGATCAAAATTGGCCGTCAATCCTTGTGCTTGAGGAATACCCCCAGTAGGAGGGTACGTGGCATTCATGCCAACCTGGCGCACCTTGACGGCATTATCCGCACAACCTACTGTAACCAATCTTCCATTTTTGGCAACGTATGCGTACGAGTGCTCCTTGTTATTGTAATCGAGAAGATCGTACCAGACAATCGAGTAAGGGCCGAGTTGGGCGTGGCCCCAGTCCCAGTATTTTGGGCTGGTGATAACAGAAGCATCACCCCAGTTCTTGTCATGGTAGCCGACTCCTTTAGTAATGTGGAAGTCAGTTCCGTTGATTTGTAGGTCTACAGTGGCGGTGGCATCTGGGATGGCGTTCGCCCAGTGGAGGTGCGGGAGGAGGAGGGTATTCATTTGCGCGATGTTTGGATTGCAGGGGTAGTGAGGAGGGGCTCGCTGCGTAACAAGATGAAATGAATTAGTACTTGTCCTGGAAGAATGAGAGAAAAAGACATTGTCGGTGGTGATAGGGGGATAATGACCATACCGATTTCAGGCGGATGTCACCCTTAACACCAATACCAGGAGAATCAAACCTAATGATATATTCAGGACTCGATTTATCGAGACTTGATCCACGGAAGGTTGCACCAGTCCCTTCCCAGCTCGCAGAGATGCCATTATCGTCTTGGTCGAATATGACACCTTTGGACGCGAGTACTTGACCGGAGAACTGGGTGCCGTTATCAAAGGTGCCGGATATTTGAACAGCAAGAGGATTTGGATTCGCTGCAAAGTCTCCGGTGTTGTAGAACACGACATTTATCGCTGCAGGAGTAGATGTAGAGAAGGCGTCGAAGTACCAAAAGTCAAAGGAGGTATGATTAGCGGCGGTCCTCATCTTGGGTCCATCCAGGTTTCCAGCCACAGAGAGGTCTTCCACTTTGACGCTCCCATTATGATATACAGGAGGAATGTACAGGTAGGAGGCCACGGCCTCTGCGGAAAGAACAAGCCCCGAAACCAAGAGTAATTTTAGGTCATGCATTGTGCGACGTGCTGGGTTGTAAATTTAATATCTTGATTATAATTGAAGCCCACGAGGACACGAGTTCAAGTTATTTTGAAGGACTCGGTGAGAGAATGTACGGCTTTTATATCCTGATAGTTCGGAGTATGTCCAGCCCGTTACGTACCCGTTGAGTGGTCAGTCGAGTACCTCCTTCTCATTTTGCCCATGTAATACTTCCGGGCAAGAACCTAGCCCTCACTGTTGAATGGGATGTTCTTTCGTTTCTGAGGGCTCCGGCTCCACATTCTGCTCTATAACACCCTCCCCCCATAAATAGTCGAATCGGAAAAGCCGCAGAGTCGAGATTCACTATAGTGGAGTGCCCCATTATTTCGGAGCTGAGTGGTTAACCAAAGGTCCATCTATAAATACTTTGTAATATGGTCCAAGTACGAGTACGTGCGTGTTGTTATTGGCTACCCGCACATACAAAGAGTGGAGATTCCATATCCCCCGGTACCGAAGAGGCGATGATCTGTCAGGATAGGAGGCCAGACTGGTATTTCCGACGGGATCAAGCCTCAATAACCATTATTGCTTTTCAATATGAAACAGTCGGGATCATAAGAGGAAGGCCTCAATCTTATTGAATTACCTATGTTCTACGAATGTCCCAGGGCTTAGTTCGGACCCTTGATACAGATTCGGGTGAGCTATCCCAAGTTATCGGCAATAGATAGGATGGAGGGGAGTATCGAGAATGACAACTTGCAATTGTTAGATGCAGAGCCGTACGCAAGGTACACATCAATCCAACCGAATTTAGCATCCAATTGTGCTTCAGGCACAAAACTGAAAAGGCTTTCCGACCATGACTTCCATCGCAGGCTAGCATCATAAGCCTACTATGAGCAAGCATTTCGTGACCGGCCCCTTATCTTTCGTCCTCGACCACGTATGGTCCCTGCAAGACCTGGGCATTCCGGGTTATGACCCGAAGATCCCCTACCCATTCAACCTTGAAGACGGCACTAGCTTTCTACATTAGTCCTATAACTTTGGTGACAAGGCAGAAGTTTTCAAAGATACAACAAACTTACTGCACCTTCCCTCCATACATCTATCCATTATCCTTAGACACCACGCGCCCCTTCAGCGCGAACCTAATCATGCCCCCACAATCCTCTTCATCATTTACATTGGGCGTGGCGACCGCCTTATGAAACTCAAAGTTGAGAAAGATATAGCAAGTGTATCACTCTTGCACAAATTTCTTGAAACCGTCCAGGTCCAGTTATTCAGAATTTCATCTATTAGCAGAGGGGCATAATCACGTCAGGTTATTAACCATTCCGTCTGTTTTGGTGGGTCTACTTGGATGTCACTGCTAAGGAGATATGGAAGAATAATTACTTATTTAAACAATATATCTGAACTGTAGTTGTCATCCATAAGGGTCATGGCCTCTTCGTCGGAGAAGACTTCGTATATCAATCTTAAGACATGGCTAGTTTAGCAATGGTCTAATGTCTAAAGGAGTCTATAATAGGGAGATTATACCATTGAATGTGTTGAACAAAAAAAAGCAAAGGGATCTTCACCTCTCCCTCCGTGGAAGTAACGGTAGTTTTGGGAAAAGAAAATAACATGATTGTGATAAGACTGGTAAGATGCCTTGGTTTGGAGTGTCTTAATCTAAAGTGGAATCACACTATTTCAGACCGATTGCTGGTGAGATCTATATGTTGTCAGTCTTCAAGCCGAGCAGGGTATCGCGTTGCTGCTATACGAAGATGACTGTGATAATATCACAATACGCTGTCTTGGCAAGGATCAGTAAAGTAGTATCGAATTGAGCGTAGTGTAACATCTTCGTGAGGATCAGTCCGGGGTAAAATTTACCATATCGAATAACAGACAATCCCAGTCCGTCTACTAATATCCAATGTCGTCTTGTGCAGCCGGATGGGTTATTATAGCCTTGTGTGACTATATTTCATTGAACCCTGTGTCAGCCAAGTCGGAAACAGAAGATTATAGTTTTATAACAAAACTGGACACTGCAATAACACGGCTTGTTGACTGCATTATAAGAGATACAGAACCACTCTTTACCGCTGTCTGTGAAGGCCAACTTCTTGTGTCTAGAGAATCGCTCAAGGATTGGGGCGGTTGGGTCCATTGAATTGGCCTATGCTATTTAACCGCTCCGTATTAGATACATTAAACTTAACTACACTGGTAAAGGAACAACTCAAGTGCTGAATAAGTCTGACCTTCCGTCAACCTCAAACTGCAAAATAATTCGCTGCTGAAAGCCTATTAGATTGGTCTTTTAAGTCTCTAGAGTTGTACTGATGATTATAAAGTGGGTACATCTGCTGTCACTTAAGGACTATATCCTTGTATGGAAGCCTCGATTGGCTGCCTGAGTGAGAGTCGAACTACATCATCACGGAGTCGCATATCTATAGCAACAATCTGGGCACAGATTGAGCCTGTTTTCCACAGCAGCTTACACTGCCTTTGATGTACCTTTGGGCTACCATCGTATCTTCCCCCCTCAGCCTCCTCATGAAACAGGATATCCAGTGCTCCGGGGTAGCACGCTGAATCAAACTGGGCTCGGTAGGCTATTCCTCGGACACGGCCCTGCTTTTCCCTCATCAACGATGCTTGTGTACACCCACTGATTGGTTACATAAACACATCTTCTCACTGTCAGTCAGACCCGGCAATGGCCGCAACCGTAAGACTCGGCTCCACTCAGTGTTCGCTAATACACAGATGAAACACAAAGTTTTATTATTATCTTAGCACTACCTGTATGACCATGATGCCCAGGTAACCTCATCAGTCAAGCAGGAAGACGTGGTAGTACATTTAAAAGAAGCCCCAGCTTAGTACTTTGCAATAAAGAAATGGTTAATCACTGGTACCTTGACTTAGATGAGAAGCATATCCATTAATTACACCACCGAGAACCTACACAGCTTTGTCCATACTCCGATTTTCAGTCACACTTCGAAGCCTCAGACGATAGGTATAATGGTTAGCTATACTGGTTGAAATCAACCTATAGTACTTATAAGTACTGTTTATAATTTGTAGTCATTGTGAAATCAGTAAACGCAATATACTAGTCACCCGTACTACATTTAGCTTAATCTGAAAGTTCGATTGACTTTTCGTCTAGGACCTAATATCGGCAATAGACATTACTAAATCTTGGTAAACGTGTTTCGTCCCCACGCTTTGTTCCACCAAGGCTGCTTTAAGTGACAGTCATATGCCTAATTGGGTGAGTTGACTACTTAATCACTCCACTTTATATCTTTAAGCACTCGCGTTCGGAAGTACTGCATAAACAGAAGTCTTTCACAAAGATGTCTGCCAGGTTGGCTGGCATCCAGATGACACCAAGTTCTGCGGTATTCTCAGTAGTGTTGTAGTAATAGACCAGGCAGAGCGAGGAGAGATAGTTGTTGACCTTGGGCTCAGACAATATCTGAACAGTAAAGGCAGGGAGATTAAAAAAGCAGTGGGCAGTGAAGAGTTGGCCTCAAGGACGCTCAGCTCTACGGTGCCGGCATAGGTACCGGTGGTGTTCTGACAGGTGTAAGAATTGTCGTAGAGAGTAGTGAGATCAACCCCGTAGGTGTCGGTAAGTTTGGTGAGGTCGGCACTGCTGATTAACTATCTCTGTCATTAGTTAACTATGCTTTGCGCGACCCTGGGGGCCAAACTTACTGCATGTCAAGGTTACGCCTCGCAATATGTCCAGGGTATTTGGGAAATATTTAAACATTGGTGTCTCGCATATCGGACAAAGCCTTCCGACCAGACCTAAGCCAGGATAATATGCAATCTTCTCAGTCGATGTGCATAGAAAGACTATATCGTGCAAGTATTGCCTTCCTTCCTCGCTGTCCAGAGACACCTCTTCAAACAAATTCTCCTAGATTCGGGACCGCTCAGGCATATACTTTTTGTAGATATCGAATAAGCACGTCGTGTCCCTTTCTATTATGTCGTTTCTTGCGATGTAATCGTCATAGGACATATCCCACCATTATGTGACAAATTTCGCTTGCTTAGCTTCAAGTCGTTTAACTTTCTTATTATAGAGCCCGGTTCGCACCTTGATTAGATCTTAATGAGAATTAGGCTGACCCCTGATCTGTTTTGTCAGCTTCGCAATCTTCTCATTGAGAGTTATGATCTCTTTGTCGCGCTCGAATGCGGCGATACCGGCAGTATTAAGGTGGCGTGGGGCGTTGGGATCTTGGTGATAAGCTATACTCTGTTCCATGTCACGGCACTCATAATCTGGTTCGAGATCGTAGAACAGTGTTTGTATGTCTAATGATTTCAGTACAGACTGATACTTTAGGTATATGTCATGGTTCTGGTGGTCAAGCGTTTGGTCTCGTGTGGCCTCGGATACCTTAGCTAGACGAATCTATTAGCCCAGCATTATTAAAACAGTATAAGGAGATATACGATCGACCTTATTTGCTACACCCCCTCAAATTCCGTGGACGCGGAGGCGGTCCTTAAACCCTCGCGCTCAGCTAAACTGGTGAAATTGTGATGAAGTGAGGAGAGGGTCAACCCCTTGCTTTCCTCGGGTCCTTTGGGTGTGACCATGCGGTAAAAAAGGAGGCTTTTTACGTTATCTGTCCACAGTAGAATAAAAGATTCTCGCTTCAGCGGGGGTCGCTTCGATAAGAGCTCATCAATAGACGAGACTCGTTTAAAAGCTTCGTCCGCGATTGCGTGGACGATTACCCAGAATACGAAATTCTTTCCCAGTACGGGATACTCTCGAATCCAATTCCTTAACCTGTCAATCAGGGTCAGCCAGGTAGCCGCTAAGATAGACTGTGATACTCAAAACCTATATCGTCTTATCGTCACGGTAGCGCCAACCTTTTAAAAATTCAGGGTCTATGACTACCCAGCGCTTGATCGAACCATTCCGGCTCTATTTCAGGTTGAAAGTAAGGTGCTACATAGCAAGAATTTGTATTAAAAGATAGGGAGGATTGAGCCGACCAGGAATATATTATTACCTTGTAATAAAGGTACTTATTCGTATTGTGATAGGAGTTTGACTTGATAATTGCACTTGCTCGTGATGCTGAGCCAGCAAAAGGATTTAATGCAGAAGTTGTCTGGACTCTAGCTCGTTTATGTTTATAATTGTAATTATCATTCCTGAAAAGCCAGCGGAGCAGGTAGTCAATATCCTTAGCTGTGACCAGAAACCGCTCCCTTGGTTTAGTAGGCAGTTTATACTGTTGCGTAAGTACGCTTCGTACGAACTAAGTCTATATCAGCAGAAAGTACCTATATCATCAAAGGAGGGTGGCCATACGTTGTAAGCGTCTTTCTTCACCTCAAGTTGTAATGTTCTGGACGTCTTTCGCTCCCAACATGAGATGATCGTAGCAAGCTGATTAATTACTGATGGCTGAGTGGGAAGTCTACCTGATCGCGTCGTAGTATAGTTCTCGACGAATAATTTCAGGACTTGAGGAGACGGGTCCGGCTCATCCTTCCAGAAATTCTTCTCCGCTGGCTCGTCACGGGCAAACCTCCAACTTTAGGGCGAAAGAGGTAAGAAGCTGCCAGTTATATATAATATACAAGTTGGGGGGTTCACTCACAGTACCCAGTTCTTAGTCACTTGGCCATGTCTTTCGTACGTCGCGGGTGCCAGTTCCTTCAGGCAGATGACATTCTCCGTGGATTCCTGTTCGTGCTGATAATCTAGGGTGAACCCACGGGAAGCCGTTTTCTCTCTGCCTGTTGCTTGGGATCCTTGTCGATCATCATGATGTGATATCACGTGCTCGAGATAAAGAAAGAATCGCGATTCTCAGTCTGGTTGAAAAAGAGTAGGATACAGTACAACGGAGCTGCCCCCCTGGCTATTTATCATTACTTCAAATTATTCCTGCCTCCGTGGCAGCCTTCGCCTGCCTCGATGATCCTAAGCACCACTGGTGCGGCGCAGTACCCAAAACGGGGAAGGCCATCGCACCAGTGGTGTTCACTGTGCACCCCTGGTGCTAGAAGCTATAGAGATCGCACCCCTATCACCCGCACCCAGCCTACCACCTCGTTTCAGAGAAAGATTGGAGCCTAGGGCTCTTTGAGAATTCACCGTGCGGTTGCACTCGGGCTTAAGTACGGCTGAGCGGACGGGAAGCCCTGTTTTCCACACCCTGTGGTCGTATGTGCTAAGTTTATTTTAAATTAGACTAATATGCTAGATACCAGCTACTAAGATGGAAGAAAATGTACAAGAACCAACTCGCAGAAGATGGTTACTTCTTCCCCACAGTAACAGTACACCAAGTAATTTCCCCAGCATTCTTACTTTAGTAGGTTCCTCTATTAGCATATGCTAGTAATGGATAGCCTTTAGAGGGCTCTACTCAAGACGCTGATAACGCTTCTGAATCTAACTGAAGATGACTACATGAAGCAGCGACTGGCCATCTGCGGCGCTCATGGCCAATAACATACATTTTCCCTTGCAGTGGGCGAAGTGGATTGGTACACTTTGTTGTCACCCATGTTTACACTCTGCTCTAGCTTTTCAGCAAGTACATTGGGAAAGGAATGAAAGAACCAATAATAGAAATCCAAAAGACTTGAAGAATTATACATATGTAAGAACCGTTTTCTATCTTTTCTTCTGAGATCTACTAGACAAGGTCAGTTCTGTTCCCTGAGAGTGTGCTGTAAGGGTTGCTAGGCGGGTGGTATAGTTCATCGCGGAGTATAAATGCAGGGTTTTATTGCCTTAGTTTCTTGCTGTTAAATTTTGATCTAATCCCTTACAGGTAGGTACAGCCGACAGTAGCCTGCGGGCTATGATATTCTTAGTTCTACCAATAAGTACTGCGAAAAGTCGGATTTCCCGAGAATCTCTATTTTTCGAGGTTCACTAGGCAGATAACGTGGATACACAGTCCAAGTCTGTTGGTGTAGTTCTTGAGAGCGTCATTGTGGAGCTGTGCTACTATCGAAGATAGAAACAGAAAGACGAAGAAGAATGATGTGAATGGCACTGTAACCAGGCGATGCGGAGGGAAAGAAGGGCAATCGGCGCAAACGTCCAATCGGGAAGCAATCCGAGCCGCATTCTCGGCCCGAGAAATGCGGGAATTGCATGGAAGGCTATGACCACTCATTTCATAAACATGGCGCTAAAGAGAGGATTATTGTGTTAGGGCATTTGGTATTATAAATCAAGAGAGCGTGACATCAAGCCATTATCATGAGGCCTTGGTCTAGGCACAGTGGAATGTAGTATGCCGGGCCAGTAATTGGCTGTTATGTCCGGCGCATCGAGCAATGACCCGCATCATCGGCTGTGGCAGGCCTTCTCGCAGTGTTGTACACAAGGATTTTGCATGGCCAAGATCTATAGCAATAAATTGCGTGATCGGTGTAATTACTAATGAATATCATAGCTCGAGTAGCTTATAATCTGGAATCTCCAGCACCGTGAACCGGAAGATCATCTTAGCAACCCCAAAGGAGATATACTCACATATTCCTCACCATGGCTACTCCTACTTTCAAGCAATTCTATCTTCCCGAGAAGAAGGGTTTCGACAGCTTGGTGCTCCGTGAAGTCTCAAAGCCGTCTCCGAAGCAAGGCCAAATCCTCGTGCGCATCAAAGCCGTTTCACTGAACTGGAGAGATGGCATCATTGCCCTTGGAACCTATCCGTTTCCGGGTCCAGATGCTCTTGTACCTGGAAGTGATGGAGCAGGTATACTATATTTCTCGTCTTTCATAACAGTATGCTGAAGGTATGCAAATAGGCATTGTTGAAGTTGTCGGGGAAGGTGTGACCGAATGGAAAGTTGGCGATAGGGTGCTTGCCAACTTCACACAGGACCACATTGCAGGAAGGCTGAACAAGCAAAGTCTACTCTCACAGCTGGGTGGCGAAATACAGGGCCTTCTGGGCGAATACTTCATCTTCCCTAAGCTAGGAGTGGTCAAGATTCCCGATTACTTGACTTTCGAGGAGGCATCTTGCCTTCCCTGCGCTGCCCTCACGGCCTGGAACGCACTTTATGGATTGGTTCCCATTCGCCCTGGACAGACTGTCCTGTTGCAGGGAACCGGAGGCGTGTCCACGTTCGGACTACAGATTGCCCATGCCGCGGGCGCAACCACGATCGTGACCTCGTCCTCAGATGAAAAGCTAGCCAAGGCTAAGGAGCTCGGTGCCACCCACCTTATTAATTATCGGAAGAATCCAGACTGGGCGGCGGAGGCCAAGCGGCTCACCAAGGGTAACGGCGTTGACCACATCATCGAGGTCGGTGGTACACTTACCTTACAGCAATCCTTTGACTCGATCGCATTGCATGGCCTTATCCACTGCATTGGCCACATCACGAACCCCGATCCACTTGGTGCGGGCAAGGAGCTACGCGGCCCTGATGCTGCTTTTCTAGCGTTGGATCGAGTCTGCATAGTCCGGGGAGTGGTGGTAGGTTCGCGGGAGCAGTTACAGGATATGCTGGAGTGTTTCGAGGCGCACTCTATCCGGCCAGTGATTGATCGGGTATTCGACTTCGGTGAGACCAGGCAGGCGTATGACTACCTCTGGAGCTCTAGTCACACCGGGAAGGTGGTTATTCGGATCCCGTGATCATTGATTCAGCCCTACTGCAGTGCTGTACATGTTGATGACATGCATATAGCGTTTCAGTTCATCTTTGTTATCTTTTATAATTCCATCGCAGTTTTCAAAATACAAGGCATTTAGTAAATGAGCAAATCTCCTTGTGTTTTACCAGGCCATCCAATAACGATACCCTGCTGCACACCACATTAATCAGCGATGACGGGCCTCCACCTCTTCGTCAGTCTTTCAACATGACGTCTTCCTCATTTTCGGGAGTTGCATTCAATCTCAGAACAAAGCTTGTTTTTATTTCAACTTCAGTAGTGGGATTTGGGACGACTTCGTAGAATCCGAGGTTATCGTATTATAGAATTCCACCCCAATAACACTCAATATTGGAGAACTACCCAAGCCTTCTGCTCACCATCAATCACAATGAATCCGCCAAAGCTCCCTATCACAGTTGCTCTCATAAGCGGTGCGCGTATGAAGCATCGATATGTTGTCATTCACAACAACATCACCAGTTTCCCAGGAAAGCCGAAGACAAACCCGATAGTCATATATAAGGCTATCAATCTCACCAGCCAGCGCGGAATCTTCGTTATCAATTGACACCTTACACGTGGAGAGCTTTGTCTGGCTTAAATCCCATGGCTGGTGCCAACGCAAGCATGGGAGACCAGTTCCAGGGTGTGTCACTACAAGAGGGAGGTTCGACGGGCTCGCAGTCCAGTAGCTGACAATACTACTAAACTTTACTATCTAGTATGTAATCTTAGATATAGTTAAAAACCACCTACTCTCTAAATCCCATTTGTAATTTTAAATTATATCTTATCTATTAATCTGTATATAGCTTGACTAATAGCCAGCTTAATATCCAATTAGAATCTTAGTTATTATTATTCCCGAACCTTTCTTGCCCGCCAGAACCTGCTATCCTACCACCCCTGCCTGCCCGCACCTTGACACTTTTAACTATGTCTCGAGTCACGCGCTGGGTAGTAAGGCTTGGTAGTATTCTCTCTTCCCAGCTTGGGAGGTTGCACCGTGACACTGGGATGGAAGTAACAATAGGTGAAGGTTTACTCTTTCTGAAGTATTCTTATGGTAGTTGCCATCCAAGTGTGCCTATAACTGTCATATGGGTCTGTTTGCTGACAGATTTATCTCTATAGATCTTCCCAGTCGCTGATTACTTCACAGAACCCAGGATATATTGACAGTATACTGGCAATGATATGTCCCTTGACTCCTAAGCTGGCAATATAGAACAAGACTTGCGAGACAATGCATCCATGTGATCGATGCATAGGAGCACATTCTTTGAGTTCTTTTGGCCCTGATTGACTGGGAATCAAGTATGTTTCACAGGGGAATATATAGTGAACGATTTCTAACCGAGACGAGGGTAGCAAATAGGATATTGAAGACAGAGCTCTATATTGCGCGATGATTCCGCGAGGGATAATCTCCTCCATTGCTCTATGGTCTGATGGCAGCTATTCCGATGACATTGACAACATTCATCTGCAGCTCAGTGCGGAGCTTATTAGCGAGACCACCAATCATGGCGTGAAACTGCACCATTAAATCTCCCCACTTCTCAAATCTGACATTTACTGGCCTGCTATTGGAGAGACGTTGCTGACAGATGGATCTAGCATGGCCCAACCAGGGTTAGCCGGCTTAGTGTCTTCACACTGTGGATGAACTCCATCCCCATCTACCAGTACCAGAGTTGCAACCCGGCAACACGAAGGGGCCTTTTGACTTAGCTCTGACCAGGCCCCTCCACGGAGGGGCGCAGACATCACGGGCCGTCTATATAAACACCCATTGTCCGTTGACAGGATGAAAGCGGCTCATATTCCACCCTACATTCTATCCTACCTTATTCTGTTTGGGGACTTTATCTTCACATCACCACCATCAAATCCACCACCAACTAAAACAAGATGTTCCTCGCCTCCCTCCCCCCAAACACTCCCTTCACCCTTACCATCATCGGCACCCAACCCCACACGCCCACCGCCCTCATCACAACCCTCAACGCCCTCCTCACCACCGCCCAAACCGACTCTCTCCTCACCCACACCGAAACCCTAACCCAACACTCCCCGACCTCCAATGCCACCTCCACCATCCACCTCACCTACTGGCCCACCCCCTCCTACCAAACCTGGTCCACCTCCCCCGCCGTAACCACCTTCTTCTCCACCCTCCCCGACACGGCCGGCATCTACCGCGAAGCCCTGACCATCCACCCAGACCGCATCCAAGGTGCCTCCAACCACAACACGCCCTCGGGATGCATGCACATGGGCAAGATCGAGCTACAGCCGCACCTCAGCGGCTACTGGGGGTGTTATCCCGACCGCATCACCGAGAAGAATATCTCCTGCCCATTCTCAACAGAAGACATCGCCACCAATGACCCCCCCTCCTCCACACCCTCACCAGGAAGCAACAAAATCATCCCCGGCAAAACAACCATCACCACCATCCCGCCCAACCTCTGCTTCGTCATCGAAGGCCAAGACCACACCGCCGCCTCGGAGACCGAAAAATCCTACTGGACCGAGAACTTCAACGCCCTCGCCCAAGAATGGGTCTCGGATGTCCTCACCGCAGGACCTAAAAAGGGCGTGTTATCTTCTCGTGCATGCTATAACCCTTCCACCACCACCACCACCTCTACACCCCTAACCCTGGAAGAAACGAAAGCCTACCCCCTAACCCTAACCCGCGACATCCAACTCCTCTACTTCCTGGACCTCAACCACATGGAGAAACTGGGGCGGACGCATATCGGACACGTGAAACTCCGCAAGTCGTTCATGGAGGCGTATGGGCCCGGCGGGGTCATGTTTCCGGGGGGGTTGAAGTTGTGGGTAGAGACGGCGGTGTTGAGGGAGGGGGATTTTGAGGGCGTGTATGTGGGGTGTGTGGAGGGGACGGGGTTGATGGGGTTGAAGTTTTAGCTTAGGATTTGGATGGGGATGAGATTCGTTGTTTGTGGGGTTTGTTAAGGAGGAGGTGGGGGATGGGAATGACTACATAATGGTGATGGAAGATGAGAGAATATCACGGATGGATCTATGTTCGTCTAGTCAAATGACAGTCACAGCAAACTATGTACAAGAACGATATGAATCAAAGAAAGTAAGAAGAAAGAAATCCTCTACCTCTAACTGGTCTATAACACGCCTTTTGGTCTATACGTAGACACCTACTTGGCCAGGTTTGGGCACTCGCCCTGGGCCCGCTGGAACGCGCCCGCAAACAGGTCCTGCATGGCGCAGTAATGGAACAGAATCCCGCCCAGCACTGCCAGATGCCAGATGTTGTGGCTGCCACCGACGTAGTCGAACAGCCCCGGGCGCCACCGCTCTGGCACCTGCGATGCATACACGCACGCCCCCACAAAGTACACCAGGATGCTCTTCACCACCGGGGCGTAGAAGTACAAACACCAAGCGAAGCCACGAGTGTAGGTGAGCTGCGCCAGCGGGGCAAAGCCCGTCAGGGCCAGCGACACGTAGAAAGCCACGCGGGCCCACGCCAGGTCGGCCCGGTTGAAGGTCGGGTGCCACGGCAGAATGACGCCACCAATGCCCAACGACATGGTCAACAGGATGTACACCCACCGCGACACGGGCTCGCAGTAGAAGGCGGTGTACTCGGTCGTCACGATCGATGCGGCCACCAGCATCGAGATGCCCGTGTAGTCAACACAGGCGAACCGCTCGAGCAGGGTCTGGCTGGCGATACTGTTCATCGTGTGCCACAGGGTACTGCAGACGAGACACTTGCAGGCGGCAAAGAAGAAGACGGCGGCGACGAGGATGTCGGTCTGGGTGCTGAGGTGGAAGTTGGGGTTCAGGGGGTAAAAGTAGAAGGCCACGGAGAGGACGATGAACAGGCCGATCAAGTGGGACCAGATGTTGAACATTTCATTGGAGAAAGAGAAGACGGAGGTGAAGCATTCAACCTTGGAATGGGTGAAGCGGTACCCCTGCAGGATGTGCGGGTTCACCCGCCACGGGTGCGGGAGATCCGCGTACGTGATCAACCGTTGCTCCTGAGCCAGCAGGATGGCGCGGTCGATGCTTTCCCGGAGAGCGTCTTTGGCGCGGCGGGCCCGTTCCATACCCTCGTCGACCACCTCGCGGGCATGCACCAGCTTCGAGTCCATGGCCTTCCAGCCGTCGTCCAGGGCGCCGTAGATGCCGCGGTCGCGGACTGCATGAGCGCGAGATTCCAGCTCGACGAGGAACGACTCCATCAGGCGCACGCCGGCTTGGGCCTTTTGCTCGAGAGTCTCCTTGGTGGCCAGAGCATCCATGTAGCGGTCCTCGAGCGTTTCGACCAGGATTTTAGCCCGTTTTTTACCGCCGCCCATCAGCTCCCCGGAGGCGTGGGAGCAGGAATCCCGCACGGCCTCGAGAGTGGCGTATCCACGGCGGAGGCTGGCGTCGATCTGATCCATGTGGGACTTGCGGTATTGTTCGAGCCAGTGAAGGCGTCGCTCGAGTTCGGCGAGGAAGAGCTCCACCTACGGTTGTCAGTCAGGGACAGCATTGGCGGGGGAGAGAAGAGCGAAGCGTACCCGTAGGAAGACAGCGTCCGCATCGTAGTCGCAGGAGAGTTTGCGAGCCGTGTGAAAGGAGTGTCTGCGACGACGGTCTCTCAGGAGAGCCGTCTCTTCACCGGGGGTGGCATAGGCGGAGCCTTTGGCCTCGGCCTCGGGGTAGGATTCGATGGTAACGGATTGAGCGGAGCAAGCCATGGTGCAGGACGGAGGAACAATCCACGGCGTAGAAATCAATTCCACATCACCTGGGGAGGAAGAGGAGAGAGTTAGTGGTGGTCGGGCACAGGTGGGGATCGGGAAGACCGGCAATCGGAGGGACAAACGACGTACTCGACCCGAGAAGATTAAGGATATGCAAGGAGGGGTGGAGGAGGAGAGGAGAGGCGAGAAAGGAAATGAGAGAAGAGAAAAGAAAAGGAGAGACGAAGAGGGGCGAGGCAATCCAACAGCAGCAGCTTGATTCTGAAACGAAGAGCCGAAAGAAAGAATCAGCCCTGTCAGCGGCAGGAGGAGGAGTAAAAGAGGAGAGGAGAAGCCAGAGCGACAAACAATCGAATGGAATCGCGGTGGGGAAATCCGGGTGGTCCTTCCGACTGATTCTCCAACGGCACCAACGCCTTTTTCACTTGCTGCCTCTCCAGCAAGCCAGCAGCAAGTCTACACGCCATCCTCCACCAGAAACTTCCCAGTGGCTCATCTGCTAAACCCAACCTTGTCGTTCAGCCCATCAGCGACCGCGTCTGCTCCACGTTGGCGTTGCATCTTGCCACCAGCCACCTCCGAACCAGTCTCTCGTTTGTCTCCGCCTCTCCGTCGGAACAATTCAATCCTGTGACAACCACTCTTCCTTCGCCATGGCCATCCGGGACATCGTCGCCAATCCCTCGCTGCTGCCCGTGCTCGGGCTCAGTGCCGAGACCCGCGATCAATGCATGAAGCTGCTAGCCACCTTGGATCCCACCGCCGACCTGTCGACCGACCCCCACGATCGCGCCCTGGCGGCCTCGAGGGAGCAAAAACAGTTGTTTGCTTTGCTGGCTCGACTGCGGGGTCAGAACCGCGATGCGATTGTGCGCGTCCGCGAGACCAAACAATCCACTGCGGAGGCCCGCCAGGAGATCGACCGTCTCCATTTGCAACTCCAGAACCTGTACTATGAGCAACGGCATCTTACCGGCGAGATTGCCGCCTGCGAATCCTACGAGTAGGTGCTATCCGTTGTTAGACGGCGTGAGTGTGTACTGACCTGAGTAGTCACAAATATCGCGCCCTCCCCTTGATTCCACTCGAGGAATTCCTAGCTCTACACCCGGAGCATCAGGAGTCCGATGAACACGAATTGATGATCGCGCGGATCAACCACGAGCATGCGGAGCGGGAGAAGTTGGAGCAGGCACGACAGGAGCTTCTGAAGCGCAAGCAGGCATTGATTGCGGAGAACAACAAACGAAAGGAGGATCTGGCTAGCTTGGACAAGGACCTGGAACGGTTTATCGACGTAGGTCTCCCTTCATTCCCTACATGTGGATCCAGCTAACCGGCGCAGGCGGCCAAACCGATCCAGAAGCTCTTTGAAAAGGAGTATTAGGGGATTTCTTGGATGTTTATGGTAATGGCGCATTGGTTAGATACCCTGAGGCATGATTTATTCGGATAGATTAGCAATGGTACTGTATCGTGAGTAGGGAGATGTTTCTGGTCGTCCGTAGTCCATGGGGAACGGCCAACTGGCGGGGGCTCTTCTGCTCTCCGCCTTGGCTGCCGCATCTCCATCTCCATCCCTCACTTCTCCAACTTCACCTCCACTTTACAAACCCCATTTCCCTTAAGCATGCCCTGGTCATGACTGCCAAGAATGATGACCAGACGTCCCTCCAGACTGTCTCCCCCGACCACGCCATGACCGCCACCCCGCGTCTGCCGCCCCCGGAGGCCCCCGAGGCCATTCGGACCCGGTTCAAGGTCATTGCGGCCTTTTGGGCTGTGATCGTCTTCCTGGGCTTTCCCATCTGGTGGAAGACCACCTCTATCTACCGGGCCCGGCTGCCCATCCCGGACATGATTGATTGGGCCGATGGCAAGGTAATACCTCGTGAGCACTGCAATTCACGACTTCGCTGACATCTCAGACCTGTCGGCCAGTCTTCCCCCTCGAGATCCGCGTCGAGACCCCCTCCCTGCCCGAGATCGAGGCTCAACATCTCCTCCGTTCCACCCAGCACACCCTCGATGATCTCAATGAGTTCTCCGCGCACCACCTGCGTCTGAAGCTTTCCAACGAGAACCCCGACCAGTCCCCCGCCGACGACGCTGCCGACACCGCATTGACCGTCCGTCTGGTGCCCCAGGTCGACCTGACCACGCCCCAAGCAGCCCTCCACCCCGACACCACCCAGCTCGATGTCTTCTATCCTCCAAGCCAGATACCGCCCCCGTCAGCGTCCAATTCGCCGCTATCTACCTTCATTGCAGCCGAGTTGCAGCTGCTCTTCGCCGAAGAGAAAGCCATCATTGCTCAGGTTCTCTCCGAGAACAACATCCCCAGCGCACCCATTTCCCCGGATCTCGCAGAAAGCGTCACCCGCCGCCTCCGTCGCTCCATGAAATACGCCGACACCTATCACCTCGCGTTCAGCCTCTTCACTCCTGGCACCGCCCCCTCCTCCTGGGACATACAAGGCGCGGTCCATGACTACATCACTCCGGTCCTCCGGGCTTTTTCTCCTATCAGCAACTTCACCGTCGACACTCAAGTCCAGCTCTATGCGGGCTTCTCCCCGACTGCACCAGCTCCCGAATATGACGGGACCCACAGCGCCTGGACGCTCAAGAAAGACGATCTCAGCGCCTTCATCAACGCCGCCGAATGGCCCCTCAGCCCGAGCATTGGCTCCGGCCCAACCATCAACTTCATCCTCTACGTCCCGGCCCCATCGCAGTCCCCGCTCGTCGTCAAAGACAGCCTGGCCACCAGCTGGATTATCCCACAATGGGGTGGCGTGTTTCTCCTCAACCCCACCCCGACTGACGCCTCCGAACCCCTCCACCATCTCACCAAGGACACCCTCGGTCCCGCCTTCATGACCTTCTCTCACCAACTCCTCACCCTCCTCGGCGCGCCGTCCACCCCATCCCCGCTCCCCCTCCGCCTGCAAACCCTCACCCGCATCCGAGCCGCGACCCTCCTCCTCTCCGCCTCCTCAACCATGGGCTCCCTCGCCCGCCTGACCGAATCCCTCCCGTCCATCCCCATCCCAGCAACCGTGGCCACCTCCGTCTCCACCACCCTCTCCCACCTCACCTCCGCATGCACCCATCTCCGCCACGGCCAATTCCAGGCCGCCCTGGCAAGTGCTCGCGTGGCGGAAGTCGAGGCCGAGCGCAGCTTCTTCGAGAAGAGCATGGTCGGCCAGATGTATTTCCCGGATGAGCACAAAGTGGCGGTGTACTTGCCGCTGCTAGGACCCGTCGGTGTCCCACTCATCGTGGGATTAGTGAAGGAGGTGAAGAAGTGGGTGGCGAGTCGGCGCGAGAGACGATGGAAGTGAGGTTCGTTAGATCATTTCAATCCTGCTTATTGTTTTAGAGCCGGTTGTGTATAGTATTATCGTATTTTTATGAATTATATTGCTTCTTATACATTCGAGCTATCTCAACTAACTAGACAGGTATCTTAAACTAACACGAATGCACCTCCACATCACTATTACTCTATCCTAAGTCAAAATCAAACATAACTTATCAGATAACAACGAAATACCTCCTCAAATAAATCTTGACTACAGAAACATCAACACTTATCCATGGCATCAAACGCCCCCTCGGTCCGAATATGCGTCGGATACGGATCCGGCTTCAACACGCCCGTCGTGGCAAACACCCCCGGCGGCGTATACACCCTGATACTCTCCGTGCGGGCCAATGTTTTCTTCGATGCTGGTCGACCCGGCTGTAGAGGTGTCACCGAGATCGGCAACGGGGGTACAGGAACCGGTACCCGAGCTGGCAGGCCGCCGCCTCGTTCTGGGACTAGTGTCTTTGGGGAGCTGGCTTTGGGCAAGGCGTTGGGGTTGAAGAGGCTCCGGACTCTTGTTCCGGTCCGTTGGAACCGTGAGCGGGCGCCCTCGGAGTACCGTTTCGTAGACCGGTTTCGACGCAGGAGGAAGTCCGTTCGGTAGGAGCTTTCGTCGGAGGGGATGGGAGAGGAGATCCCGATGAGGGTGCCTTTTGAGGAGCGGCGGGTGAATTGGGCTACTTTTGCTGAAGGGGGCTGGTGTTTTCTTTGCCATTTGCGGTAGATGAACATGCAGAGAAGGGCCAGTACGGCGCCAAATAAGGCCCCAGGGAAGAAGCCGGCTAGGATGGCGGTGGTGGGGTATGAAGAGCAGGTACTCTTTGATGTGAGGGCAGCGGCGGATGTGCCGTTGCTGCTGTTGTTGCTGCTACTGTCGGAGATGGCAGATTTGGAACCGGTGGTGACAGGGACGATGGTCGGATCGGAGGCATCGGTGGTGGAGGCGGAGGTTGTGAAGGAGGTCACTGAGCCTGTGGATGTTGACCCAGCTGTGGACGTGGACGTGGACATTGTGGAGGACTGGCTGGCAGCGCCAGTGGACGCGCTGGACGTGTTCATAGCACACAGCGAGTCCCCAGTGCAGGTGTATCCAAAGGGACAACACGCATCACCGCACGTAGGAAGGGAGTCGTCCAGCCGGGTGGTCTTGACGGAGTTCTTTGGATGTGCAGTTGCGTTCTGCAACTGTACATTGCAGGTGATGGGCTCGATGTAGTCACAGCTCTCGCCGTCCGGACAGCAAATGGCGGAGGTGGAATCATCCAAGCTGATACAGGTGGATGAGCTGGAGCAGCAAAATGTGTCCGGCAACTTGATGTCTGCACATCTGTTATAGTTGCTGGGACAGGAGTCGGAACTTCGCGGTAGTAAGCCAAAGGCCTGCGTTGGCGATACCGTCGAAGCGACGAGGGCGAGGAGCAGTATCATTGTCGGGCTGGTACCAGAAAGGATTGGTCTCGTCATTGCAGTAAGGCCTCTAAAGAATGAGCAGAAGGACGGTGTCAAAAGCAATAGAAGCTGAATCGAAGCTGAATGGACTTGAACCAAAGAAAGAACGTTGTGTGCAAGAAAGTTTAGACAAGGAACTCTGCACCAGGCAGTCAATGGGTGAAAGAACAATGAGCAACTTACAAAGACATTTGCCTCCTGCTACAAAGCGAGACCACGGCGGTCTCACCTTGCTGCTCAGCGCTATTTGCTGCCCGACTTCTGCAACATCATGATCCAAACATCACGCTGCAGGCGCCGCCCAAAATAGCCACAGTGGATGGCGCATCGGACAATGGGCTAATGAGGAGGGTTGAGATAGCGCCGGAGAGATCCACGGGAAGGCGCCAATGCATGACAGGCTCAGGGGTTTGGAATCCAACTGTCGTGTGCAGATGACGGCGCGTAGAGCTGAAGAAGAGGTGAAGAAGCGAAGCAGGAGAGGGAGCGATGGCTGGAAGTAAATCGCGGCGTGCTGATTGGCTCCGCTGGCGCCGGCTTACCTCATCCGCGCTAAACCCGAACGGGCCGACAGAGCGTCCGGCGACGGGAAATTCTGCGGTGGTCCTTCATCACCGCTGCTGCTCTGCAACTCGTCGCCTGCCCATCCATCACCATGTTGAACCGCCTCTTCCGGCCGCAGTCCGGCCTGCGTGCAGCCTCCGCCCTTGCCCAGGTGAGCTGGCTTTCCCCCAATGCCCCCCCGTGGCCTCGACTGACGACCTCCGCAGAAGCCCGTCTCCGCGCTCCCACGCTTCCAGGTCCGCAGCCTGCACCGCGTGCCCCAATTAACCAACGACCAATACTTCAAGACCAATGGCGTTCCGGAGCTGCTATCACCAGAGGCGTTTGACTTTTCCTGGACGCAATACCAGGGTCTGCTCATTGACAAGCTGAACCTGATGACGCAGGGTGGGTAGCCCTTTGCTCAGCCAGCGCCAGTGTCAGTGCTAACCAGCTCCAGACACCGTCGACGCCGACGCGAAGCCCGGAGAACTGCTGGTCAAGTACTCCCGGCGACCAGAGATGGCCTCCGTGTTCAACTACGCCTCGATGGCCCACAACAACCACTTCTTCTTCAACTGCCTGGTGAGTATACCCGACCGACTCACCCAGCTCTATCCAGCTAACAGACACCAGTCCCCCACCGCCACCGAGATCCCCGAAACCTTCGCCAAAGACATCGTCGATACCTGCTCCTCGATCGAATCCCTCAAGCTCGATTTCCTGGCCACCGCCAACGCCATGTTCGGCCCGGGCTTCGTCTGGCTCGCCAAGAACCTCGAGCGCGAGGGTCTGATGCACATTTTCTGCACGTATAATGCTGGCTCGCCGTACCCGGCTGCGCACGCGCGTCGCCAACCCGTCGACATGGCGACGCACTCGCCCGACGCGCCCCTGGGTAACCAGTTCGCTGGCGCGATGGGCGCGCACGCCGCTAACCAGAAGAACTTGGCGCCGGGAGCTCTGGAGGTGCACCCGATTCTGTGTGTCAACACGTGGGAGCATGTGTGGATGATGGACTACGGTATTGGTGGCAAGGCCGAGTACCTGGAGCGCTGGTGGGACCGGATTAACTGGGAGGTGGTGTTTGACAACTACAATGCGGTCAGCTCGGTGAAGGGTGGGCGGAACGCGGCCAACTTTGGGCGGAACCTGAGCATGCTGTAGCTGTAGTTTCTTTGTTTGTTCATTTGTGATAAACTGTATTATATACAATGTTCTATGCCAATACGTCTTCTCCACCTCCTCCACTTCTATCCCGTCTATGAATCCATCCCCAACCCCCAAAAGCACTCTAATTATTTTCTATCCCCCAAAACCGCCCTAATCCTCCTCTCAAAAGCCTGAATCATCACCCCCGCCATCTCCCCCTCCACCTTCCCCATCAACATCGCATGCAACTGACTCTTAAACTCAAACCGAATATCCAACTTGACCTCCGTCCCCTCCCCCTCCTTCCCCAGCTGCTTCAACTCCCACCTCGTACTCAAATACTCAAAGATCCCCTCATCCGCACCGGGAAACCCGGCCTCCCCCTGGCCATCCTTCTTCCCCACCCCAAAGACATTCCCACTCTTCGCTTCCACAATATGATTCTCCTCGTCGCAGATGACCTTTGAAGTGAAGGTTTCGCTGAGCGGGCCGTAGCCGACGGTGAGGAAGGCGCGGGTGGGGTAGTTTGTGGCCGGGTCGCGGTGCGTCACGGTCGAGGCGGTTAGGAAGGGGAGGAAGGATGAGTAGGATTCCACGGAGGAGATGATTTGGAATAATGGGCCTGGGGGGTAGGGGAGGGTGCGGGTTGCGGAGACGTGGCGTTTGTTGGTGTTGTTGGAGGAGGAGGAGGAGGAGCCGGGGAGGAGGGAGGAGAGGAAGGGGCGGGTTTGCGTTTGGGTGAGGGGGCGGAGGAGGGTGGTTGTTGTTGTTGTTGTTGTGTGGTTCTGGAGTGTTGGTCTGGTGGAGGGTTTGCGAAGGTGGAAAGTTGGTGATGGGGTTGGTTTGGTGGTGAGGTGGCGATGCGCGGGTCGCGAGAGAGGTAGTTGGGTACGTAAGGCGCGTGGTATCGGCGGGCGCATCATGGTTGTGGTGAGGTTGAGGTGTGTCGTGGTGTGGTGGATTGAGGGTGTGAGGGTGGTTGAAGGTAGAAGAGATGGTGTGTTGCAACTTTTTGTCGGCTTCCGAGGGATCTCCGCTCCGAGGAGCTTATCTCGGGTATGACACTACTATGTACTCCGTATGCTACTACTTACTATGTGACATTGTCTACAATACGATCCGGCTATACAGCCATGTCGGGGATATTTGTGTCGTCCCATAATCCCATGTCCGCTTCTCGGATCTGCTGGTCCCAGAGATCCTACGCTTGTTAGTCTTGATCGACGTCTGTGGCAAGCCACTTACCCAGTCCAGGTTGGTCGGCGCATCGAGCATCTCCCCGATCACGTCGAGTGAGTGATACTCCGGTGTGATGTCCATCGGTATCTCCCTCAGCGGGTACGGGTTCGACCAGCTTGCAGACGATGGTGGTTGCGCTGGACCCGTTAGCCTTGTATACCGCAACATTTCCTCGAACTCACTAGAAGTCAATTGCTCGCTACTCCTCTGCCCCCTCACCCGCCGGAGCATAATCGTTAGTCCTGCGTATGCCTTCTGGGCATCCGTTGACTTTTGCCGCTGTTGGTCGAAAATCCGATGCGACGTCTCAATGGTCGCGAGCAGGTCCTCTCGGCCTCGAACCTCGGCTACGTCCTTGTCGACGCCCTCTGCGCCGGCGCCGGTAGGGTTCTGTAACAGTTCCAAGCAGATGATCATTGCGGCTAGTAGGTAATCCGCATGCTGAAGGGAGTTGGGGAATTGACGGTCTCGGTAGAGGAGACCGCCCGGCTGCGTCTCGTTGTATACATCCGCCTGGTGCCGGAGAATCTCCTTGGATGCGCTCATACACACCCACCGTGAGAAGCCATAGCGGGGGTTAGTGTGTACCTCGGACAGATGTCTTCGATGCAACACGCAGCGGGCTTTCTGGTACAGCAGCTCCAGGGTGTACCGCCTCAGGATCAGGTACGACGGTTCCACGATGCACTGATCGAGGGAGCGCATCTTGAGGACCGGCGGGATTAGGTCGTGCGCTTCCTCGAGCTGTCGATCCAAGGCAAGAGTTTCATCATACGTCACCGGATTGCGCGAGTATGCCAGATCAGCAACCTTCCCGAACACCTCCATGAGTCGCAACTTGCCGCGGATATACGCCATCGTGGTGAGTTCGCTCTCCGGTCGAGACGGCGGGAGTTCCACGGTTGATTCGTCGAATTCCTCGTCGGAGATATTGCGCGGGGGCTCCGCGTCCTGCTGCCAGTCCTGTATACTCCGCGGAAGCCCAATCTGAAATGAGATGAGGACATCCAGCTGGCGCAGGATCGCCCAGACGCGCCGTCTCATCTCGCCTTCGTATGGCGACACATTAGGGAATTGCTGCGGGTCGCGGTGGTATCCTGTCCGCATGGCCAGCCGAATGGTGTTTCCCAGCAGAAACGACACTCCGGCCTGAGCATCCTCGCTCCGATAGAACTCGCCCATCGTGTAAAGGAAGAGGGCCTCCACTTTGTATCGGCCTGGCACAGTGTAGTTCGACTTGACTAGACACTGCGCCGTCGAGAGTCGGAACTTATTAATGACCTCCGTTGGATCCCCAAGGCCCAACGGCAACGGTTCCCCTGTGCGTTGGTGAATCGAAATCGCCATCGTCAGACATGCATAGAGCAGCCCCAACCAAGCGATAGACACATCCTTCGGCCTCGACCAGAACCGAATATACTGCGTATGTCAGCATCACTCTTCACTTCCGGAGCCAACCTACCTCTTTCTGAAACACCGGCATATGCACCAAAGCTATCACATCAGCACAGCACTTCGCCAATAGCACAGTAAGCACATACCCGTCGTCGGCTCTTTGCTATTCACAAACAGAGCCACCACCCGATCGACCACCGGCCTCGGAGGCAACCCATCCAACAACTCCTCTCGACTGACCTGCCGATGCAAGCCCAACAACAGTGTCGGCGCTGACGCACTCACAATCTCCTCATCCCCTTGTTCCTCATCCGAGGGTCCCATCTCCTCATTATCCCGCAGATACTCCCTCACCCCACTAATCTGCACCCACCATTAGCCCCCATCCTATTCCCCCCACCATCAAGAAAAAGACCACTCACCTCCTCAAGAATCGCACTCCAATGCGCCCCATCAATATACCTCGTGCCCTCCTCCCCAACCACCAACCGTCCCGCCGGATCCGACCCCGACGGCGATGCCTCCTCCTCCCCGTTCGACGACGGCGTCCGCTGCTGCTGCGGTACACCTCCAACCCCAACCCCAACCATCTGCCCACCCTCACCCCTCTGCTGTTCCCGCTCCTGATTCTGCTCCAACTGCTGCCTCTGTTTCTGTTTCTGTTGCTGCTGCTGCTGCGTAAACGACAAAATCAAATTCTCCAAATGCTGCAACCGATCCTGAACATGCGCGGGACTCGTCCGTCCATTGGAGACTTTTCCGCGCGGCCCGCGCCCGATGAATGTGCAGGTGGTGCCTTCGTTGCGCTTTTTGCAGTTCGTGCAGGGGTGGATGCGGTCGCATTTGAGCCTATCCTCATATAAATTTGGTGGTTAGTATGGGTTGGAGTGGGAATGTGGGGGAATGGAATGGGGTAAGGGTAGGGGTCATACTTCCGGCTGCGACATGCGGTACAGGAGAGTTGGACGCGGGTTCGTTTTTTGTCTTTAGTTGTGGTTGTTGGGTGGGAGGACATTATGATTATAGAGAAAGGGGGTGTGGGGGGTGGGGTTTATATGTAGGAATGAATGGATGGATAAGAAGGAATGAAGTGGGATTGAGGTTGGAGCTAGTGGTTGGATGTCAGATTTCAGGCTGGATGTGGTGGTGGCTGTTCTGGGGTTGGGGGACGATAAGAGGTTATCTCCGGTAAGTCCGAGCCCTGAGTATTATACTTTGTAAGAAGGTAGGTGGGTTGAAGAGGGGATTAGGGTGATGGTTGGGGTAGATGAATGTGTGATAATTTAATGGTTTTGAGATTGGTAATAGTGTGATTTTGTTGGTTGATATAGTTGTGTGTTGTGTAATCTCTATCCAGGGACAGTGTCAGACTATGCTCAATGTGAAGTTATAACGTGCTTCAGACAGTCACTTCTATTCAACGAAACTATATACATGCCTAACACTGCCACCTACTGGATCTCCGCCCTCATAGCAACCACCTCCCCCGGCGCAACAATCCGCACCCTCCCCACCCCATCCCCCGCCTCCTCATCCAACACAATCCGGTACTCCTCCTCGGCATACAACGGACTCGTCGCCCGGTAGGTGATCTTCTCCGGAAGAACCAGGTCCTCGCCCTCCCCCTTCCGCGTATCACGCCACAGATCCAAAATGGAGATGAGATTCAACGGTCCATGCACGACAATATCCTTATGCCCCTCCACATCGCGTGCCCACGGCGTCGAATAATGGATCTTATGCGGATTGAACGTCAGCGCTGAGAACCGGAACAACGTCACGGCGGTTTGGCGCAGAGTGCGCGTGTGTGTGTTGCCATTTGTCGTGGTGGATGAACTAGCGGGGCCATTGAATGCTGGTGTTGCTGGCGGGGTCGAGGAAGGTGTTGGTGTCGGAGTGGTGAGGGCTTTGCGGAAGACCCAGTTTCTGTATTATCATCAGCATCACTCCACCCAACTAATTAGAAAAGAATGTCATCTCACCTCCGATCCAACACCGCCACCCCATACTCATTCCGAAGTTCCTTCTCCACCCCCACAACAATCATCTCCTCGCCTGTTTTCCGTACAATCTTGGGCTCCGCGCTCAACACCGTCGTCGTCTCCTGGACATCCTGCCCCACTCGAAGGTAGTTCGGCTTCCCGTCTATTCCCCGAGGCCAGTGGACCTCCCCGCCGGCCCACATGCGGCGCGTAAATGGCGAGGCCGGGTTATAGGAGGTGTCGGTGCCGTCGGCGCCGAGGTCATTTTCGAGGAATGCGGGGGTGAAGTAGACGAGGTGGTAGCCGGCAGGGAGGGGAGTGTCGGGGGGGAGAGAGGTTGGTGTGTTGGTTAGGGAGGGGGCATTGGGGAAGAGGGAGGGACGGTTGAGCGTGAGAGAGAGTAATTGGAGTTGGTTTGCGTCGAGGGTTTGGGTGCGGGTTTGGGGGCCGAGGGATTGGAATCGGGAGAGGAAGGATGTTGCGATGGCTGATGCGGAGGTGGAGGTGGAGGTGGAGGTGGAAGTGCGGAGAGCGTAATGGATCGAGAATGTCCGGGTTGCGATGCTGGGTTGAGGGAGCGGACGGAGAAGGGATCGCGTGGACCACCGGGTTGCGGAGGAAAGGAACATGGTGGGATTGAGACGAAATCGGTTAAGTCATGGGTTGAGAAAGATGAAGACTGGAATACAAGGTGGTAAGTAAGGCGCTGGGTTTTGTACTCGGATGGCTGGCATTTCCGAGACCGGAATCGAGCGGCTAGTTTCCGAGTAGGCTTTATGCCTCGCGTCATCCCGCCGAACCCCGGCATGGCTCGCCGACCCTAGATACCAGGGCTGCGAGTCAGGTCTCAGGGATAATTCACTAGGTAGTATAGTGCTGATCTTTGGAATTGATTATGTGCCTGTCCCATAATAAACCAAAACTGAACCAGGAACCATGAGTTTGATAATCATAACCCTGTATATATATTTCCGTTACTCGTCAATATCCGCTGCTGTATATCCTCCAATAGTCCAGAACAAACGCAGAAATGACAACACCCAAAACAATCAAAAACAAAGAGTATGGCTCTAGCGTTGTACGCAAAGTTACGGTCAAATGCAATGGCCGGACTACAGCTTGGCCTGCCCAGCTTGCAATCGGTTCCAGTCCTTCGCTTCAAATGGAACATACTGGTTCCCCTGCAGCCAGTACATCTTATCGCTCGAAGCCACCAGCGAAGGATCCACGCCTTGTGTCCGAAGAACATGCTTTTGTTGCTTGTTGTTCCCCGTCGCTTCCATCTCCGTCATGACGCGCAGGAACTGGGGAGCAGCAAAGCGTGGCAGGTTTTTCAACACATGCGCTGCCACACTACTGAGAGTCTCATCCGAGGGAGTAAGCACCACAGACTGGTCCTCAGCCCGCGTCTGCTGCTGGAAAACAATGGCCGCACAGCCAGCACGCCCGTCGTGGTTCGGCAAAGCAACTCCATAGACGTTGGCTTCGTGCACCGCCGGATGCACGCCCAGGACTTCGGCCACCTCGCTGGTCGACACGTTCTCGCTCTTCCATCGGAACGTGTCGCCCAGACGGTCCGAGAAGTACCAGCGGCCCTCCTTGTCCCACCGAACCATGTCACCAGATCGGTAGTAGACATCGCCCTTGCGCAACACATCACGGAGGATCTTACTCTCGGTGGCCTTGGTATTCCCGTAATAACCGCCAAAGGTTTCCCCCGGGTCCTGGGGGTCGAGCGCGTGCAGCAGCTCACCGGGCTCGCCCCACGGAACTTTCTTGCAGAAACCCGTCTTGGGATCTCGCCAGGGTTCCTGTGATTCCTGATCGACTTGGACGATTGCGATGCCACGGCCGATGATCATACTGGTGAGCGCCCCGTTGCGGCCGATTGCTCCGGCGGAAAAGTCGTTGGACGAGAGGTTGAATAATCCGCCTGTTCCTTCGGTGGAAGCGTAAAGCTCCGCAATCGTAGGGATATTATAACGTTCCTTCACACGATTCCAGATGTCCGGACGCAAACCGTTGCCCAGGGCCAGCCGAACCCGGTGCTTCTTGTCCAGGTCTTCCCCTGTGATGGGATCGATCGAGGGCGGCACTGCTAGAAGATATCGCATGGTCTCACCCACGTACTGAATGATCGTCGCATCGGTTTCCCGGACTTCGGGCCAGAATTTCCGGGATGAGAATTTACGACCAATAATCACGGCCGCCCCTGTCCAAAGACACGACACAACGCCGATGATGGCCGCGGAGGAGTGATAGAGAGGCATGCACTACATATCATGTCAGCTTAATCAGAACGGAAAATGCCAGCGAAACCCGGTATAACGCACTGTGAACATCCGGTCCTCTTTGGTCAAATTTAGCCAGTTATGCATGAGTACACCACTAGCCCAGACCTTCCTCCAAGGGAGAATGGCGGGCTTGGGAAGGCCCGTAGTGCCACTCGTGTAAATCAGCACGGCCATGTCGCGGAGTTGAACACCACCCCGGGATTTGTTATCCTCCCGGGTGGGCTCCATCTGTAGGATCTGTGCATCGACCTCTGGCGTGAAGAAGATCAGCTCAACTGGGCCTTTCCCATCCCGAAAGTTAGGCGCAGCGAATGTCTCCAACTGTTCTGGAGAGAAACGTGGGCGAAGTTCCTCCTCCACGAGCAGTAGCCGTGAGGTCGATGCGTGTATCGAGTGTGTCAGAGGCTTTCCAGTCAGATTGTAATTGATAAAAGCGGGCACGGCTCCGATACTCCAGAGACCGAACCAAACGAAAAGAAATGTGGCAGAGTTCATAAAGTCCATGGCGACGACTTCTCGGGGCTTGACTCCGTGGACTTGCTTGAACCAGGCGCCGTACCGCAGCACCAGCACGTACGTCTCATGGAAGGTCCAGCTGCGTCCATTATACACGATAAAGGGTCGGTCCTTGGTTTTCGGATCGCGGGCGTGCTTCTCCAGCACGTAGAAATGGTTGATTTCATCACGAACTGTGGCGGAACTGGTATTTCTCCTAGTATTGATGATCGACTTGATCATATGATGATCGTAGGATATAGAGAATTTGGCATTGAGATATGCGAGTGTGGCTACCACCGCCGGGCCGGCGATGGTGAGAGGGATAGGGAGATCTGACAGGCCTTGAGGTCAGCAACGGAAATTCACCGGGCTAGGGTATTGTGCCAGAACGCTCACATACCGGGAATTGCAGGCATCGTCAAGTGAAGTCACTGGGTTACGTTGGATCGGTTGACCAAATGCCCAAGGGTATGTACGGCCTGCCTGCAGGAACCGGAAGAGAAGGAAGAGAGAACAAAGGCAGTCGGGTGAGAGACGGTTAGGATGGCCTGGATTTTAAGGAACGAGGCAACATGCGAGGTGGCATTGAATCCTGGTGTTCACAGCCTTGGAGGCTGACAGGCTCCGTGTACTCCTTACACCGTCATCTCCCAACGTAAGACGCAGAGTTGCCTCGGCTGGGTGGCCGGAATCTTCCAGGCGCTGAGCTATGACAAGTTATGCACCCGATGCACTGGAGATCATCCCCACCGGCGATTTGATGGCCACCGCAGAACCACCCCTTGATCGGGGCTTGGACTCAGGCGGGCATTGTTAGGCAAACAAGAAGGCGGGATTCTGCCAAGTTAACTGGCTGGTGAACCAGGCAATGGGCCAATGGAAATAATAAGCCTTGGATCTAACTAATGTTTCACATGTGCACTACTTGGCATCTAAGCGGTTTTTGTCCACGCGTCCATCTAAGAATTACCCACCACCGGCACATTCCTGTATTCCTCGAGCATGAACGATCGCAACGCCTCCATGGCCTGCTCCAGCACTTCCGTCTCGCACACAAATCCGATACGGACATAGCCCTTGAAATCCTTACCTTCCCCAAAACATAGACTTCCAGGGACAAACATTACGCCGACCCTTTCCAAGAGTCTCTCGCAGAAGACTACGTCATCAACTGGCCTCCCCATATTGTTAAAGCGTACAAAAGCGGTCGTACCCCCCTGTGGCTTGATCCAGTCACATGCCCACCGATGAGCCTCGATAAACGTTTCCAAAATGGCTAGGTTCCGTCGGGCTAGTTCAAGGTTTCTCTGGACGAGGTTGGTCTGACAAGCCGGAGATAAGGCGTAACCGGCAATAGCGTCGTCCAGCTGGCCAACGGAGATGGTTGTGTAGTCTCTGGCGTTGGCGCAGGTCTCGATGATCGAGCGATCGCGAGATGCAATCCAACCAACACGAAGTCCCGCCAGGCTATATGCCTTGGACATGGAGCCTGTCACTACAGTATGTTCGTATCCTAGGGAAAGGAGTGATGATGGGAACTGGTCGTCATCGGGGCTGATTGAATGAAATATCGGTCGATACACTTCATCTGCATGAATGATGATGGACGAGTTTCGCGCGATCTCGACAATGTCGTTCAATGTCGCTTGAGGTATCACAGCTCCGGTGGGTTTCTGGGGGGTTACTGGATGGAAACGCACGACTTCGTTTAGAGAACAACCTGGCTAGGGAGATCAAAAAAGGGCTTTATACTTGAAGATGATGAGCTTCGTATTCGGACGGATCAGGTTTCTCAGTTCACTGGTATCCAGCTTCCAGCCATCCGTCTCTTTCGACTTCCACAGACTCACCCGAGTGACGCTGGGACCGAGTAGAGCTGTTGATATGTGGGGTAGTGGCAGATAACATGGTCGCCTGGGTCAACCAAAGAGTACAGCAGAAGAAAATTGGCCTGAATGGCGCCAGCGGTGATCAAAATAGTGTCCAGAGGCAGGGGAGTCGGGGTCGAATACAGTTCGGCCAGATTTCCCCGGAGTCGTTCCGACCCACGAATTGCGCCGTAGGTGAGCTTAGTCGAAAAGTCGAGCGGATCGGATTTGTCCTCCGATAGCTCCCGGAGATCGTTCACCGAGATGGAGGCACAGCATGTTTCTGCCACGTTGTACTTGGCTGTAGTTTCAAACTGGTCCATGAACTGGTGGCATTGCGGTAGTAGGTTGCCAGCCAGGCTCGGTCGGGGTATGCGGGGCATAGAACATGGTGGCCAGTTGGGCGAACATACTTGCTCCACGGCAAACTCTTTGATGTGGACCATAATGTTGAGCTGGATGCACGGCCAGATTTCGCTCCTCTCTAGAACCGTTCTTTCTAGACGATGACTGAGTGGGTAGGAACTGTTCAAGTCTATTAATTGACTCTGGTGGGATCCAGACAGCCGTCACGTGGAAATTGGATCTGGGGTGGTTCGATTGGAACTTTGATACGGAGATACGGATAGAGTCTCCAGCGAATGATCGCCTCAGATGCAATCTCAAATGATATACATTGACCTCAACGCATTCCATACCACTAGCCATGGGGTCATCCCAGTCGATATCCACTCCATCTGTAGGCACTAGCGTACTCCGTAGCTACTCCGTGGGCCGGTAGGTACCCGACGATACCACGTCGTGCCGGGCCATCATTGGTGGGTGCCCCAGGCTGTCAGGCCACCGATTGGCGCTTCTCCGCCCTCGTCATCGCCTCAACCGGTTTCCCTTCCAACCTCCTCGTCCTCCTCTCGCTCCCCAACCCACTCTTACCGCTCCTTTGCTTGTCCTTTGGTTGTTATCTCCGTCGGTACAATCATTGGGTGGAAATCGCATCTTCCTCAATCTACGAGGAGAGTCTTCAGTCCTCCTATCTCCCCCTTCCAGATGTTCTATTCTTCCTCTTGATTCTTTGGCGTCCGTCGTCGTCGCTGCTTACTCCGCACCGGTTCTCTCCTCGGTCCGATAGCCTGCCACGCTGCCAGCCCGCCAGCTACGTACCCAAGTGTGAGGGTAACTCCCACACTTTCAGCACAGCATGCGGCTGCGGTCTTCGCTTCAGCTATCCCTAGCTCTCGGTCTCTCATTTTCGGTCTCTACCGTTGCAGCACGGAGTAACTACTCCGAGGCCGACCTCCTACCTCCGCTCTTCTCCGCACTCGACGATCGTCCAGATGGTTGCCCACCGTGCTTTAATTGCCAACTAGACGCTTTTCAGTGTGCCCAGTTCGCTTCGTGTGACAAATTCACCGGAAAATGTGTCTGTCCTCCAGGATTTGGTGGCGATGATTGCGCGCAGCCTCTGTGTGGGTCGCTGGCCGACGGTCACCAGAGGTCCCCTCGCCAGGGCGATCAGTGCTCCTGCAGAGATGGCTGGGAAGGACTCAACTGTAACGTCTGCCAAACCGATGATGCTTGCAGTGCGATAATGCCAGAAGGCGAAGGAGGAGTTTGCTACAAACAGGGTGTGACTGTCAAAGAGAACTTCCAGATGTGCGATGTGACCAATCGCAAGATCCTTGATCAGCTTAAAGATCGCAAGCCGCAGGTGACTTTCTCCTGTGAGGCGGAAGATCAGACCTGCAACTTCCAGTTTTGGGTGGGTCGGGTTGAATCGTTCTATTGTGGGTTGGATACGTGTCAGTGGGAGTTGGAGACCACCCATACCCAAAACAAAACCCGCTACACGTGTGAGAACATCAATTGCGAATGTATTCCAGGGCGCATGCTTTGTGGCGAAGAGGGCTCCATTGACATCGGTGACTTCCTCCGAGAGTCGATCGTGGGACCTGCTACGTTCACATCGTTGTCCACTGACGGAGGCAGCCCGGAAGATGGAAGCAAGTTTCAGGAGCCCGCCATGGACGAATTGATTAAAGCTGTCTTTGGTGACAAGAGTATCACGTTGAATTGCGACTCCGGCGAGTGTCTGTATCGGACAGATGTCCCTGGATACACTCGCCCGGTCAAACAGATCAACACTCCTCTCATTGCCGGCGTCATCGCGGGATGTGCTCTCTTTGTCGTGGCTGTGATCTTGTCGGTTTGGTATCTGTCGCGCAGGTCATATGCCGGCCGCATTCAGTTGCCGCTTTCGGATGATGAGGACGACGAAGGAGCCAAGCTCCTGGCGGAGCATAGGCCAGCCGCCTTGGCTTGGGACAGCGTTTCGTATTACCTGAACGGGAAGGAAATTCTCAGTGGTATACAAGGCACTTCCCAGCCGGGTCAAATCACTGCTATTATGGGCGCCTCGGGTGCGGGAAAGACCACGTTTCTTGACATTCTCGCTCGGAAGAACAAGCGGGGTACGGTCCGTGGCGATTTCTACGTCAATGGCGAGAAGATCAACGACCATGACTTCAAGGCTATGATTGGTTTCGTTGACCAAGAAGACACTATGCTTCCCACTCTAACTGTGCACGAAACTATCTTGACGAGTGCGTTGCTCCGGTTGCCGAGAGACATGAGCCGAGCTGCGAAGGAGCAACGGGTGTTCGAGGTCGAAAGGCAACTTGGGATATACCATATCAAGGACCAGCTGATTGGATCTGAGGAAGGCAAGGGCCGGGGCATCTCTGGTGGTGAGAAGCGCCGAGTCGGAATTGCTTGCGAGTTGGTCACCAGCCCGAGCATCCTCTTCCTAGATGAGCCTACCAGTGGCTTGGTAAGTTTTCATTTAATCCTATTGGCAACAAATCGGGCTTACAAGCTGAACAGGACGCCTATAACGCTTTCAATGTGGTCGAATGTCTCGTGACATTGGCCAAAACCTATAACCGTACCGTCATTTTCACTATCCACCAACCACGCTCCAACATCGTTGCATTGTTCGACCGACTTATTCTCCTAGCTCAAGGAAAGACCGTTTATTCAGGCCCATTCTCCACGTGTCAACAATACTTTGATAACTCCGGTTACTCCTGTCCTCCCGGTTTCAACATCGCCGACTACCTCGTGGACCTCACGATGCACGCTAGTGTGACCCGCTCCCACCAAAACGAGTCTCCCTTGCTCGATGTGCGAGTGGATCCCCCCAAGACGGCCTCGAGCAGCCTGAGAGCTGTCAAGTCAGTTGCTAGCGCATCAAATGCCAGCTTTGAGGACAATAGCAGCAGCACTTTTGAGGCAAACCGACGCCCTAAGAGTAAGCGGCGTGTTTCCCTCAAGCAAAAACAGGATAGACAGCTCTACTCCCGCAAGAAGGACCCGGAAGCGCCACCCACCCCCAAGACAGATGAAGAAGATGTGCAGTTGGACAATGTTGCTGATAACACTCAGCAATGGCTCCGCCTTTCCCGTCAACCAGGCAGTGCCCCATCTCAGATTCTTGATGACCCGGACCAACTACCCCCAGTCGCCCCAGGCCAGACGGATCTGGACATTCTGGTCGCGAACTACGCAGGATCGGATATCGCGCGCTCCGTGCATGATGAGATCGTGGCGGCGATCCAAAATGCGCGTGCGGCTAATGGATTTGCTAACCCGGAGCTGGCGTCTGCTCCTACTGCGACTGGCAAGAGTTACGCTCGCATTGGCCTTCTACGACAATTCGTGATCCTATCGCAGCGAACCTGGCGTAATCTGTATCGGAACCCAATGCTGATGCTCACGCATTATGCCATCTCTATCCTTCTTGCCGTCCTGTGTGGTTACCTCTTCTACGGGCTGACCGATGACATCAAGGGTTTTCAGAATCGGTTGGGTCTGTTCTTCTTCATTCTCGCGTTGTTCGGATTTAGCACGCTTACGAGTCTGACGGTATTCTCCGGGGAGCGACTCCTTTTCGTACGCGAGCGGGCCAATGGCTACTACCACCCAATTACCTACTTTGCGGCCAAGGTGGTGTTTGACATTGTGCCCCTCCGGCTCCTCCCCCCGATTATCATGGGTATCATTGTGTATCCCATGACCGGCTTGATCCCGGCTTGGGGCGAGTTCTTCCGTTTTATTTTGGTACTCGTTCTCTTCAACCTGGCCGCAGCCAATATCTGCTTGTTCATCGGCATTATCTTCCGGGATGGAGGCGTGGCCAACTTGATCGGGAGCCTGGTGATGTTGTTCAGTCTGCTCTTCGCTGGTCTCCTGCTCAACCACGATGCCATCCCCAAGTCTGCCTTGTGGCTGCAAACTGTGAGTTTCGACGAATTCTGTTCCTAGACACCAGATCAATTGCTGACTCCCTCCTAGCTTTCCATCTTCCACTATGGCTTCGAGGCCTTGATCGTCAATGAAGTGACTTATCTGACTTTGATTGATCACAAATACGGCCTGGACATTGAAGTGCCCGGCGCATCCATCCTAAGTGCCTTCGGGTTTGATACTTTGGCTCTGTGGAAGGATGTCATTGGACTGGCCATCATCTCGGGTGCATTCATTGTTATCGCTTATGGTGCGATGCATATCCTGCTGGTTGAGAAGCGGTGATAACTCGATATACGTGTCGGTGGCCATCTACGGCTGTGGCACTTGATTTTGTTCCATTATACACTGGTTACTTTTGCTGGTTAATGGGCTATGGTTGTTTTTGTATTGGGACTGTAACTTGTTGATGAGCCTGCTGATGAGACGCTTTCATTCTGTTATCTGCTGTTTCTTCTTTTCTCCTGCTTCAAATTCATGACGATGTCAGCTAGCTAATGACAGGTTACCTGTGTAAATAGAGGTCAATTCATTGATGACGCTGCTAGCGAGGTTATCATGCCGGTCTTCGGGCGGGCCAGTAGAAGCCGCCCGATGCGGATGGAAGCACGTGTTTCTCCACGTCATCGACGTCTGCGAAGCGCTGGCAAGGTTGCTAAATCATCCTGCACCTTTTCTCAGGGCCAGAGACGGCCGCTGTCTTGTATAATATGTGACCGCCGTCCTACCCTTGCTTCCGCAGCCCGCTCGCGTGATTGAGCTGCCGGGGTGGTGACTGGTAGTGGTGGTCTGCTGCCCGTGCGATATCCGGACCGCGGCCGAGCGTCAACTAGCGACTGGTCCACCAACACTGGTTGACCTAGCTATTTCATCTGGACACATGGTCTTTTCTGCCACTTGAGGCGTATCCGGGGGAGGTGTGAGAGACGTCGACACAGATAGTAGCGACGACCTGCGTTAAGTGTAAACAGTAAACTGTAAGCTGTAAACTGTCGGAACTGGAAGATCTCCACTGCCATCAGATCGCGGGACTCCCCAGAACCACCCGAACAAACCTCAGCCTCACCGCCTGCCAGCTCCAATCGCGGCTTTCCCCCATCGGTTCGAGTCCACAATCGCTCCAACTTCCTTCGCCTTCACTGCTCACCTGTGCTCCTTCTCCTCTGCTACCCTGAGTTCTATCCCTGTCCTGAGCCCGGCCGTCTCTCCGCTCTCCTCTACGCTCCCGCTTGTTCGATCGCACCTCTCGGGTCTTTTGATCCTCTCTTTTTCTTCCTGCCCACAATGTCTGGCGAAGCCTGGCTCTATCTGCTGGCGGTGTTGATCAACGCCGTCAACCTGTTCCTGCAGGTCTTCTTTACGATCATGTACAGTGATTTGGAATGGTATGGCCTGGTCGTACCTATGCGTCATTGTCTGCTGCTGTCCGGTGCTGGCACGAGCTCCCCGAAGCCGCGAGAGCTCGCCGTGTGGTTGCGACAGCACAGCATGATGAAACCAAGCATGAGCTAATCCGGTTCACTCCCGCAGTGACTACATCAACCCCATCGACCTCTGCAACCGCCTTAACGCCTACATTGTTCCCGAGGCCGCCGTTCATGCATTCCTGACCTTCCTGTTCATCATCAATGGCTACTGGGTTGCCATCGTCCTTAACCTGCCTCTGTTGGCGTTCAATGCCAAGAAGTACGCTGCTCCCAGCTCCGCCGCGCAAGGCGGCTCGTACCGAGCATCCCAGCTAATCGGATGTCCCTTTCTGTAGGATCTATGAGAACCAGCACCTCCTGGATGCGACCGAGATTTTCCGCAAGCTGAACGTGCACAAGAAGGTTAGACCGCACCGTCTCCACTCTGCTCCGATCGCGGACCGCCCGCTGACGCGAAATTGCAGGAATCTTTCATCAAGCTGGGCTTCCACCTCCTGATGTTCTTCTTCTACCTCTACAGCATGATCGTCGCCTTGATCCGCGACGAGTCTCACTGACTTCGCGGCAAGGCGGAGCACGCAATGCGCAACGGCCGCTCGGGCTGAAGTGTCGCGTGGTGCGTTTGTCTTGACTTCTCCTTGGAGTGGGAAGATGGGACTGAGCATGGTTTTGCGAGTATCTGCCTCGCTGCTGCATCCCGGCACACTCGCGTCACAAGTCCCGGCTACTCCGCGCTGTAGCCGGCGTGCGGGCGCATGCAACAGACGAGACCTTGTATATGACGTGACTATGAAAGCATATCATTGATGACAGCGAACGCGTGTGGGGTCTCCAGATCTTGATGTTTTGGTTGGGCGATAGATGAGGTAATCGTAATCGCCTGGGGGCAGCGGAAGGCTGCTTGAGTTGTTTGTTTGTTTCGTGTTACTTACGTCCTTTGGGTTCTAATGTTGCCAAATTCCTGTTGATGTCTTCAATAATGTTGTTGTATATACCTCAGCGGTGTGACATGAAGAGCGTACGATACTTGGAACTGCGTAGACAGTAGGTCTCCATCAGCTGTGGTGAAGCGGCCAGACCCGGCCATGGCATCGATAGACTACCGGCATTATTCTGCGCGGGCGGCCTCTCCGCCTCCCGTAAAATTCCCGCGTCCAACCTCGCCGCGCCGATCGTCAAGCTTCAGCTTCGACTTCATTCTCGCCAGATCGGGGAAGTTCAGTTTGCTCCTCCTGCCCTGGTATTCGGGAATTGTGATTATCATGGCTTCATTACTCGGTGCTGGCTACGAGTCCAGTGATGATGACACGACCAAGCCGGCCACCCAGGTCCAACCTGCGGTGCCCTCAGCGACCAAGATTGTTGCGGCGCCAGAAGTGAACACAGAGGTTTGGTCCCCCAATTCATTATTGTCGCTGGCCACCTAGTCTTGTTTTCGCCAATTCATGATGCGCGGGATATCTAACAACCTTATAGGACCAGGCACACATGCAGATGATGCTCGCCAACACCTCATCCACCGCCCTGACTTACAACGCAACCTACGATGATCTCTCGCGGCCCTCTCAAGGCCCCGTCAACCCGTTCAAGCCCGCCGGACCAGCAAACGGCCTGAAGCGCAAGAATGTCCCAACCGGATATGCCGAAGAAGCAGCCATCAGTGAGGCGACTTTCGCCGCGCAACATCGTACCTTCGAGAGTCTGGGCTACACCCGCAATCCCGGTCTCCCGGGTCAGTTCATCGGCAATCTTGACAGCGCGGCTCATTTCGGTGGCCGGGACGTCATCCAAATGAAGCCCTCTAAAGAGGCCTCGGCAGCGCTCCGCGCGAAGCGCCAAAGGAAGGGTGACCCCAGCATCGTCGAAGGCGAGGGCGCCTACCTCGGCCCATGGGCGAAATACCAACAGGACGAACGTGCCTACGATGAAGAGGATGTGCTGGAGGAGCGCGAACTCGCCAGTGACGAGGAATACGTCGAGGTGGAGGAGGAAGAGGAAGATCTGGCCCCATCCAACATGCCCGCCATGAGCAAAGAATCGACCGACTACCAAGACGACACGGCCAAGGTCGAAACCACCGAATTCCACGGCAGCGAACAATTCGACTACCAGGGCCGCACCTACATGCACGTCCCCCAGGATCTGGACATCGACCTCCGCAAGGAGCCCGGCAGCACCAAGAACTTCATCCCCAAGAAACTCATCCACACCTGGAAATCACACACCAAAGCCATCACCTCGCTCCGCTTCATCCCCCGCTCCGGACACCTCCTCCTCTCGTCCGCCGCAGACGGCAAGGCCAAGATCTGGGACGCCTACCACTCACGCGAGCTCCTCCGCACCTTCTCCGGCCACTCCAAAGCCATCACGGACACCGACTTCCACCCAACCGGCACCACCTTCCTCACGGCCTCCTACGACCGCCAGATCAAGCTCTGGGACACCGAATACGGCAAATGTCTCGGCCGCTTCTCCACCGGCAAAACCCCCCACGTCATCCGCTTCAACCCCGGCGCCGAGCACTCCCACGAATTCCTGGCCGGTATGTCCGACAAAAAGATCGTCCAATTCGACACCCGCTCCGGCGACCTGGTCCAAGAATACGATCACCACCTGGCAGCCATCAACACCATCACCTTCGTCGACGACAACCGTCGCTTCATCTCCACCTCGGACGACAAATCCCTTCGCGCCTGGGAATACGGCATCCCCGTCCCCATCAAATTCATCGCCGAACCCTACATGTTCGCCCTCACCCGCGCCGCTCCCCACCCGAACGGCAAATACGTCGCCTTCCAATCCGGCGACAACCAAATCGTCGTCTACGGCGCCACCGACAAGTTCCGTCAAAACCGGAAGAAAAGTTTCCGGGGCCATAATAACGCCGGCTACGCTATCGATATTAAAATCTCCCCTGATGGTCAGTTCATCGCCTCCGGTGATAGCGGTGGTTATGTCTGTTTCTGGGATTGGAAGACCGGGAAGATGTATCATAAGATTTTGGCGGGTGGGAAGGAAGGTGGTGCGACGACGTGCTTGGATTGGCATCCGCAGGAAACGAGTAAGGTTGTTACGGGTGGGTTGGATGGGTTGATTAAGTATTGGGATTGAATGGGGGGTTCGTGTATGGGTATGTGTGGGATAGATAGTTAGCATTAGGTATATTATAAGACTGCGGTGCATTTTATGGGATAGTATTCTTTGATTGGTTGGTTGGGTGAGTGGGTGGGTGTATTGTAAGGAGTGCTTAGTAGTTATGCGGAGTGAGAAGTTACTACGGATTGCCTGAGGTATGATTGGTATTGACTGGATCCGAGTCATCATTTCTATTCCGTCACGCCTATTCACCTCCACACCCACACCCACCAGCTAATATACAAATTCACCCTTGGGACTGTGCAATAGAATAGACAATGGAGACTAGACTAGAAACTCGCCATTTCAATCCAACTCGCCACGAATGCCAACGTGCGGCCGCGATCCAGCGCCATGCGTTGCGCAAACTCGGTGAAGTTGAGCTTTGCTCCGCTGCCGCCGCGTTCCTTGGCCTCGCGTTCGATCTTCTCGAGGTAGGCGAGGTGGGCTAGCTTAGCCTTGGAAGGGGGACGCGGGGGACTGGCTCGTCGGGGGAGGGTGGGTGATGACGGGAGGGGTGGGATGGGGGAGGGGGAGAGCTTTGGGGCAGTGGCTTCGGCTTCGGGGGAGGAGATTGAGGGGGAAGTCGGGACGGGGAAGGAGGTGGTGCCGCTAGGATCGAGACGGAGTTCGGCTGGGAGTTGAGGGGATTGTGGAGGGCCTTCGTCGTCGTCGAAGGCCAGGTGGGTGGACGAGGGGGGACTGGATAGGATGGGTTCGGGGTCCTCGCGGCTTTCGTCGCATTCGTCCTCATTGGGTCGGTGGTGGGGGAGGGTGGGATCGTAGTAGGAGGAGATAGAATGAGGGAGGGATACGTCGTCGTCCTCGAAGGTGGAAGCGTGGGAGGAGGGCGAGGTGGGGAGGATGGGAGACATCATGCGGCGGAGAAGGTCATGGTCATGGCCGGAAGATGGGGCGAGGATGGCCGCCTCTGCTTCAGCTTCGATCTCCTCGGGCACGCCGAGATAGACAACGTCGTCGTTGGGTAGGCCCAAGTCTGGGCTGGGAGGTGGAAGCACCGGGCCGTCCTGGACAGGCTCGAGAGGCGGGCTGCGGACGGAATATCCAGCCCGACTGAGCAGTTCGTCCAGCGGCCGGTCGCGCAATGGGTTGACCATAGAGGTTTCGGGCAGCTCATCCGCTTCGTCGGGTGACGGCCGGTCCTCTTGGGGAACTTGCGTGCCGGATTCCAATCGTTGGATCTCGTGCGCCCACATCTTGCGCTCGGCGCGCGATCGGAAGGCCTCCATGAGCAGATCCTCCTTCGGCTTGAAGAGGAGGTCGAGCAGCTCGTTGAACCCTTGCTGCGTGACCTGGTAGAGAATCTCTTTGCCCACGTCTCTCTCGACCTCGGGAATCTCGAATCCACCCCATCGCTCACCCACCAGGATGCTGCGAGATGAGGTGGACGGGTTGGACCGCACGTCATAGTCATCGGTGAGATCGTCCTGGAACCGCACCTTGGAGGAGGAGCGAGAGCGGGGAGACGGCGGGTGAGACTCGGGCTGGGGTTCATCGACTTCATCCTCATCTTCATCCTCTGTCAGGCCACCCACGTCCATGTCGCTATGGTAGCCCTGGGGAACAGTCGCGCCGTCTTCCTCGTCGGTGTAGAACCTGCGGCGCTGCCAGCGCTCGTGGATCCCGGTACTGCGAGCCATGTGCACGCGGAGTTGGTCCTGCTCGCACATTCTATTATAGACCGCTGCGCCAACGCGGTCCCTATCGGCAGGGTCGGTGATGTCGTTTATCGGCACGAAAGACCCAAGTGCGTCCACAATATCGTGGTCGCGAACTTGCCCCTCCGGCGGCGGCCACCTGTCGCTGCCACCGGACGAGACGGAGGCGTCCTCAGGAGGGTTACTCGCGTCCTCACCGTTAACATCCCGTCTCGTATTGCTTCCTGATGCATGTGCCACGCCAGAGCCGGACGGAGTCTCCAAACGAGCTGCGGTCGGGAACATAGGCCGTATGCGGTCGTACTGACTTCGAACCGCAGCGTCGCCCACCACCGAGTGTCGGTCCGCGGTATCAGTGCGGTCCGGTCGGACAATGCCTTCATTGTCCACGATCTCCAGGTCTCCGTCCTGATTCACCCGCTTGCCTTCCCCAGTTCTCGAAGCCTCCCCGGAGGGAATGCTGCCAGGAAAAGCCGAGCTGATCGGCTGGCTCCCCAGCACAACATCCCGCGCGCCGCCCTCCAGAAAGTCGTCTTCCATCCCAGCAACCATGTCCCGGGTCAACTCTCGACTCAGAGCGTAGTAGGCCCGGAACACTCGTAGAAAGTCCTTCCGTTCGATGTAGCCGTCGCCGTCAATGTCGTAACCACGGAACACGCGACGTAACCGCTCGTCGTTGCTCTTATTGTTGAGGCTGGCGATGCCTTTCAGGAACTCTTCAAATCCAATCAGCCCATCACTGTTGGTATCATAGAAGGCAAACATGCGATCGTAGATTAGGCTGGGCGCCGGTGGGCGGATGGACGTGTTCGGGACGAAACACCGGTCAAACGTCTTCCTGTCAATGGCCATATAGAGCTTATTCGGGTCGTCCTCCCACTCATGGTTGGCCAGGCACCGGAATTGGTCCCAAAGCGCATCCAACTCGGTGTTATCAAACCCGGTCTCTTTCATGAGGCGCTTGGCCAACGACCGAGACAAGTTGCGCGGCAGCATGGCGGGCTTCCCAGGATACCAGACCGGCTGCGACTGCCGGGGGTTGCCTAGGAATGGAGCGGGAATCCGGACCTTGTAGAACAGGTGTGTCTTGATATGCACACCCATTGCCTCGCACGTCTCACACAAATCATAGTCGATGCAGTTTGCGCATCGGTATCGAATTCCTTGGATGGGAATCGCCCCACAGCTATTGCACGTCACGCCTCGATGAATATAGCCATCGCGTCTGGCCTGATCCTCTGCAATATGATAGAGCAGATTGAGCAAATTCTGCCCCTCTCTCGTCGGCGGGCTCTCATTTTGGCCTTCCCTCCACGAAAACACACTTTGATCATCCACCACCGTCTCCCCACCATCCATATTCTGCGCCGGCGACGACTCTTCCGGAAACGTAGACGTAGACAATGTGACTCTCTCCCCGTTCTGCCGGCGCCGTCTCAGCTCCTCCCCATAGTTATTATCCTCATTAAACCGCACCAGGGCCCTCTCGATTCCGGCCCGCGAAATCCCTCGCCGCTGAAGCTGTTCGATCAAGTAATCTCGTTCCGGCGTACCCTCCTCCAACGTATGCGCGGGTGGAAAGTCCAGCGCCAAGAATGATTCCAGGAACGTATCTTCCATCATTTCGCGCATCCGCTCCGCATGGTCTTGGGGCACACCCACTTCCTCCATGAGCTGATCCCGCGTGGCGAGCAACGACGGAAGGAGTCCACTCTCCACGCGCCTGCCATCTTCGGTTTCTATGCGAAATGTCCCGTAAACACCGTTTTGACGCTCGAGTTGCTCCAGGTGTGCGATGGCTCGCGACGATGGCGTGTCCGCGGCGGCAGCATTGGCGGATTCGGACTCGCCTCTTCGTCGCTGGCGGCGGACGGCTCTGCGGCGGCGGAGGGGAGTCTGAGAAGTTGAGCTGGATGAGGAAAAGAATTGGTTGTGGATGTAAACTATTGCGTAGGCGGCTACCACGCCGGAGAGCAGGTAGAGGATGGGGCGATTTCGTGACAGCGCCGGCCGTGGGTGGGTGTCCGGCATGGCGGGCAACAACTGAATGTGACAGCTAGGCAGATGGGGTCATTCTTGTAGGAACGCCTTAGAATGGGCGAGTGGAAGCCTTCAGAAGCTGGACGGGCTGTTGATTTTCAAAGGGTGGCAGCTTGACGCAATTCCACGAGGCCAGTCTTGCGGGCTGAGAGTTGGGGATCCGGGGAAGTTGGTGGTTGCAGTGCAGCAGAACAACTGAACAAGCAAGCCATGACCGCCTCCGCAGCGACCCTCGCTTTCCGCCGACATTTGCTCTCCTCTCCTCTCCTCTCCTCCCCCTCTTTCCCTACGCAACTTGGCTTCCCTCTTCAAGTCGAGGCATCTGTTTGTAAATATCATCATCTACCAATTACCTCAATGGTTGAGTCTGACTGTCTGCACCAGTACTAATGTTGATCAACGGTTTCGCAGGTGTCGCTTATATATCCTGGGCACAAGCAGCAAGGCTAAATACTATTGGAAACATCGCTAAGGAGCATTTCACAACTTGGAAGAATTGTTTCAGATTATGGCCTCAATATCATGCTAAAAATATCCTCAAATGCTAATGATGTTTATCGTGCAAATATCGAACAGAACCTGGTTCTCTACTCAACTATGTCACGGAAATTAGAAAGATGAAAATAATACCTCTATCGTTCCTTTACTGACTCAAGAATCAATGTCGGCGTATTCACTGGAACTGTCGCCAGCTCGGAGCCCGAGGGGAATGTCTTCAATGTCAGGCTCCATCTCCGCTGCAATCTGCTCAAGGGACTTGTTGTTTCCCTGGGAGTCTCTCGTGTCGGGAATCCAGTACGTTGTGATGAGACCCATAAGCATGAAAAATGCAAGACTACCAGGTTTGAGTCAACAACAGACATAGACCCATGGACACGGGCAGCAGACGATGACTTACCACAAGAGAGCATAACCTAGCCAATTTGGAACATGTGCCCAACCTGCTTGAGGCCCGAAACTCACGTACCCCAGAAAGCATTGTGCAATTATGGAACCCAATTTGCCCGATGCTGCGGCAATGCCATGGCATGTGGAACGGAATCGGGTGGGAAAGAGCTCGGCGGGGATCTGCAAACATCAGTTCACGAATATCACGACATGGGCTACAGGATGCAGGCGCATACGATATAGGTTGTGGTGTTTGGTCCTATCATCATGATCAGTTGTCTCCTTTCCCCACATGGAATAGCAGCGACTAACCAAAGTTGAAGAAGATCTGTGTCAACAGATAGAGGACTACCAGAGCGGAAGAATTGCCATCGGTGCTCAGATAGTGGAATGCCGCTCCAATGATTATATTGAGAATCAAGAGCCAACAAAACCCAATGAACTGCAGGGTTCGCCGGCCGATCCGGTCGATGACTAGGATGGCGATGACGCTGCCCACGATTGCTCCGGATGAGACGACCACTATGCTTTGGTATGACATCCGCAAAAAGTACTGATATATTCCGACTGGTTTGGCACTCGAGGCGCTACCGGACCAAATTACGTTGATGACGTCCGCATTCATCAGGCCTAGCCCGTAGAAGGGCAAGTCGAGACAGAACCAGCACAAGGAAGTAGCCATAAGGATGCGCAGATTATGTCCGCGCCGCAGAAAACGTTTGAAATCTGACCATCGACTTGCTGGAATGATTGACTTACACTCACGATCTACCGTCTGTGATTGATGAGACGATACTGGTGACAAGATACGGCCTTCCTCGACATGGGAGGACCTGTGCGTAGACTCGAGCTGCTCATGCGACTCCTGACCGACGCTCAAGCTAGATGTCTGTGAAGGATTTCCTTGCTGATAGAACTGAGAGACATCGGCAACAGCTTGCAGGGTATTCTGCAACACATCGACGGTATACCTTGGTGACTCAATGATGGTTAACCGGAACCAGAGTGCGATGAAGGCAGGCACCGCTCCGAGGCCGACAATAAGCCGCCAAATCTTGTCAATATCACGGGCACAACTGATATCGCAATCCACATTGCTAGGGTCATCTGGTAAGCTGTGACGGAATCCAGCAACGGCAATGAGAGCGACCAAAGCTGCTGCTGCCTCCCCGATAGACTGACAGAAGAAGACTGCTGCCAGCATTCGGCCCCTGATGCGGGTTGGTGCAAATCTATCTCAGATGGGGGCATTAGCCGCGAACTTCTCTGACCAACACAGGCCGGGAGATGGGTGAATACGCACTCGGAACAGATTACGGCAGAAAGTGGATAGTCAGCTCCCACGCCCAGACCCATGAAGAAGCGCCAGAATAGAAGGACTCCAATCATGGACATGGAGTCATTCTTGCCCGAGGACGCCATAGCCATCCCAAGGGTGCTGAAAATCAGAATGATCAGCTCCAGTCCATACATCTTGCGGCGGCCCCAGATATCAGCCGCGATTCCAAAGATGAGCTGGCCGACCAACGCGCCTCCTAGAGTGACGATGCCGAGGGCTACCTCATAATTGTGCACGAGCGACGAAGCTGTACTGTTGACCTTGTCGTTCCAATAGACTACACTGAGCATCGGAGTCACCATATTCACCGAGAAGATCTGTCGAGTCAGTCATGGGAGGGGAGAAAGAGGACGTGCGCTTACGCAGTATGCGTCTGTGAAGAAACCGATGCCGGCAACCAGAACTACCCAGAGCCATTCCCTTCTGCGGGCATTTTCGAGTCGACTGATAACGAAGTCATGTCTTTGAGCGGGCTAGACAGCGAGTCAGTCCCACTAGTCAAGATTACTCGCCCAGGTGGTCATGTCGATGGTTACCGGGAGATGCTGGAAATTCTCATATTGCCCCCAGGGGTTTAGGAACAATCGGATCTTGAAGGGAGGGCCCATTTCCTTGAAGAGGCGCTGGTATTTCCAAGGAGGATACTTTGAACTTGTGCGGTTCCCCAGTCACTGCCAATAGATGGTCGCAATCTCCAGGTAACGAAGGGCACGATGGAAAAGCCACTCAATGATGCTCTTGACATCTTGTATGTAACCGCCTTTGTGATTTATCCTATCTACATGGGGGGGGGGCAGGGGTGTTCCCAGGCGTACGAGGCTGTGAGGCTGACGGCTGCGTTACTTCTTCCCGAGATGGGCAACCCGGGCATCGACAGGGGAGTACTAAATGCATCGAGCGGATTTAGCTCCGCGATCGAGGGCGATGTTACGCGAGTGCGATGCATTTGTCCGGCAGTAATTCTCCGAGTCCCACTGGAACGGGGTTCTGCAGCACGTTCCTGGATGGCTTCGGACCATTGGCCCAGGAGGTCAGACTAGACCCGGCGAACATGGCCGTGCTCCGCCACCACGCGGACTGGGCGTGAAGAATCGCTCGAGGTCCGATCCAGCCCCGTCGCCGCCCATGTGTCTGTCGTGTACGGAGGACTAGCGGTTCCTGAGCCTGGTGACTATGTACCCCTCAGCCTTGACTCATGACGGAAGCAGTCACCTGTCGATATCCCTCGGGCGTTCGAGCCGCAGGCTGCGAGAATGATAACGGCTGCGCAACTAGCCGATGAGGCGGAAGTTGTCCAACAGGAGGAGGCCAAGTACCACGCCTTAATCCTTGCACCTGAGCTGCTGGCCTTCTTGGGTCGGCCCCGTTATCAGCCTCCGTTGCTCACCAAGGGACAGTGTCATCCAAGTCGCACGACCCTTCTGCGCTTTCATGCTGAATGACCACCCACCCGGCAACTGACCCAATTGATACATGTCGTCATCCATTCCACCATGAGCTTCTTTCAGATGGGTCCTGGAGATCTCGTTACAGCTGCTAAAGCCATCTGGACGGTCTACGAGAGCATCGCGGGCGGCGCTGCGAAGGACTTTAACTCTTTCCTCGACGAGTTTCGTTCTATCAAAGATCTCCTAGAGAAGCTTGAAGAGGTAAAGGGCTCCACCTCCAATGATGGGGCGGATCTGGGGGCCTTTTATGATCAAACGCTCCGGGAATGTGCGAAGTTTGTGGAAACCCACAAAAAGCTCGCGCAAGACGAGGCTTTGACTGCAGGTGGTCACCGACATAGCCTGGGAACCAAGGTGTCCACATTGTTCGAGAAGAGCATCTGGCCTTTGGAACAGGATGAAGCCGAGAAGCTTCGTCGGAAACTGGAGCGCTGTCTGAAAATGGCAACCCTGAAGTCAACGGAAGAAACCCGAGGGATGGCCATTAAGATTATCCGGGAAGCAGAGCATGGGCGACTGGAGAACTTGGAGATGCTCAAATCTATCAAGTAGGGTGACTTGCGGGATATGCGCATTGTTCTATGGCTCCGAAGCTGACATCTTCCAGGACGATGACTGCCCAGATTTCCTCCCTTCTGCGGTGGTGTGTCCTCGAAGGCCCTACAGATGCCGATTCCTGGAACATGATGCACAATATGACCCATCTTCACTATCGATCGAGACCTGCCCTTCCTGAGCCTGGCCATGAGCTACGCATGATCCCCGAAGATGAGGAACTGTTCGTATTTGAGCGCCAGGGGAGCCTTGAGATATTAGATCGCATACGTGAGACTTCTGAGCGACTGGATAATTTGGTGCGGCGACTCAATCCGCATGACGCATCGGGCCGGAAGATGGAGCAGTGTCAACCTCCTGGTCGTGCATACACGCTGGAGAGTATGAGTGACGGAGCGCCGACGGTCGCCCCCGTGGCTGAACTTCTGCACCAAGCTAGCGATGATGTGCGCGCTGCATTGGAGATAGTAGGATATAAAGATGATTTTGTGCCCAGCCATGATTCTTCTCAGAAAGGCCACGACCTAGCTGGCCATCCTGGTTCCCAGAATATCAACGAAGCCGCCGAAGAATGGGAACAATTCCGCCAGTGGCTAGATTTCCAATTCAAGCACACCTTCAACACGATACCTGATGATCATGAGTCCCGAAATAGTATATCTAGGGTACAATCATCGTCTTTGCTCTCGTCGTCGCCAGAAACTGGCTTGCCGGGGATCTTCCTGTCGCGAACATCTACTCGTGAGTCTGATCTAGAATCGCAAGCATCACCTCTATATGGGCCGAGCGTGTTCATACCGGATCGGAGGGTTCAGCTCACTGAGCATCCGGTGCAGATGTAAGTCATTCTTACTGTGTTCCATCAGGTTCTAGGACCTTGTTTCCTGACTCTTTGTGCTCTAGAGAGTTTCCTCACCCCGATGTTGCTCACCGCACTGCATTCCGCAGTTTGACTTGCACCGTGACAGCTGTCTTCAACGCCCAAAATGAGCCGGAGGCGATTGAAGCAGTCGATATCCATAGTGGGGCCAAGGTGACACAAAAGATCCAGCCCTCTTCGCATCAGGTTCAGAGCTCAATGCTCCCTTACATGCCCAGCCGGCGCGTGTCCAGATCCTTTTCCGAAGACTATGTGATTTGGTTTCAAGGATCACATAGAACAAAGATTGAGGAGGAGCAGAGGCTAACGAGGTTGAGGATGGCACCAGTCTACCGGTGCCATGACCGTAAAGGTCAGTCCTTCGTTAGACAAATAACAGCAACAGGACACCTGGCTAACGGATAGGACTGCAGATTTCTATGATTTCCAGAAGGCCCTACTCAAGAGGCGAGTCATTCATTGTATTGACGTGAGGAACATATCCGTCAATACGGGGGAATACCACTGCAACTCCGCAGAGACCGTGCGGATCTTGGAGGATCCAATCACCAAAAGCCGGTCGCTCCTGTATTTTGCTTCATACCCTGGAACTGGTCGATGTGCGAAATTTGTCGATATGCAGGGTATGAAAATTGCTCCCTCAGAATAACCACAGACTGCTTACGCGTTCAGTAACTGAGTTTGGCAAACCCCATGCAAAGTCGAAGCACGTGAAGCTGCCTTACAACAGCATCTCGCGACGCAGTTCCATAGAAAGTGCCACTAGCGTTCTATCCCAGGAGTCACGGCATTCCATATCCTCGAAACACTCCCTTTCCACCTCGCCCGGATCAAGCAAAAGGGAAAAGTACCTAGAGTTCGAATTCTTCGAGGCTGCCGGTTAGTTCATCCGAACTGATACTCGTCCTTTACTAACAGCCCGTATACAGATTGCACCAAGTTTGTCAAAGCGTTGAGGGACGGAGAGGAGATTCTCAAATGAAGTTACTAGATTAATAATGCGAGTCACGAAACCTATAATATAATGTATATCAGTCCTGCCATGATTCCTTTCTTTTCGCGGTAAATGATAGTTATCACCTAGATAAAATACTTTCAAATAAGTTCCTCTCAGGAGTAGTCGACACAACAACGTCTCGATCGATACCTAAAACCAAATAGTATACATACTAAGCCAGACCTAAGCTCTATATGCATATGTACAAAACCAAGCCCCTATTCTAACAAGTTGCCACACTCAACCTAGTCAAGTTCAAGGCTAGCATCTTTCACCCTCCCTCGGACAATAGACATGCTATACGGCATATGCCCATGTAACCTCCTCCCGCCTTCTATCGATTTCATCTCGGTACTAAGTCACGCGACGTACCATCTAGACCAACACCACATTTGGGTGGTGGTCAGTTCTACCTTATATATCAGGATAGTCAGGTATATATAGCAATACGGGACCACGTCCTCCCTCCAACCTAGACATCCCATCCATGCAGTGGACCCGCATTCAAGCATCAACCCAACCAACCCTTTTCACTTGTCAATCCCTACCCAACGGGACTTTATTCCTCCCCCTACCCAAGCCAACCTAATCCAATGCAATGCAACGCAATCACCTCGACAACCTCATCTCCTTAATAAACAAACTACTCAACAACGCACAAAACACGACGCCAATCATGAAGGAAAAGCCCTTATTCGTCGCCCAGCCATAACAGCTACGCACGATCTTCCCGACCGCGGGATCGAGCGTCTTGATGAAGTCGAGACTTTGGCGGACGCCGTCGACGATCTCGTCGATGTCTTTGCTGTCGCGGAGGGCGTAGGCGAGGCGGTCGCGGAGGAGTTGTTGGACGACGGTCGAGGAGAGGGAGAGGCCGATTACGGAGCCGAGGGAGCGGAAGAGGTATGAGCAGGCGGTTACGACGGCTTGGTCTTCGGGGGTGGCGTTGGAGACTGGATTCCTTGTTAGTTGGGGAGATATAGGTTTGGTGGATGGTGGGGGCAGAAGAGGGAGGAGCTTACTGAGACTGATCAGGGTGGAGGTCACGCCGATGCCGTTTCCAAAGGCGCAGGCTACCATACCTAGCACCAGGAGGGTGGTGCTCTCGGTGACGGCGCCGGAGGCAAGGAAGATCGTGGTGAGTCCTAGGGTGAGACCGCCGTATGCCAGGACGGTGAGCCAGTAGAACTTGCCCGTCCACTTCATGACGTAGCCGGCGAAGAGAGATCCGCTGACGCCGGAGATAATGCTGGGGAGGAGACGCAATCCGGCAACGGTGGCAGAGACACCGTCCACGGCCTGGAAGTAGAGGGGAATGTAGAACAGGGCGGCGAGCCAGCCGCCAAAGCTGAAAAAGTTACAGGCGTACGCGGAAAAGAAGGCCCGGTTGAAGATGATGTGGCCGGGGGCGAAGGGTTCGGCGGCGTAGTAGACCTCGACAACGATGAAGAGGGCGAAGAGGGCCGTGGAGACGCTCAGAGAGACGATGGTGATCGGGATCGTCCAGGAGACGTTGCTGCCACGGTCCAGACCGAGGAGGAAACCAAAGACTGCGCCGACGAGGACAATGGCGCCGGGGAAGTCGATGCGGCGTAGCTTGTCCTTCCAGTGGCTATCTTCTTGGGCGGGGAGATCGAGCAAGATGGTAACAGCGATGAAGGCCAGGATGCAGAGGGGAACTTGAGCGATGAATGCCCTGTTACGTGTTAGAGACGATCTGAAGGAAAGAGAAAATGGAATTTGGCATACCATCGCCAGCCGATGAAGTCGGCTAAGATTCCACCTGTAGTTCTTGGTTAGAGACTCGTTCTGTCGCCATTAAGGATGCATCGCACCTAGAGGAGCTCCTATGCCCGCGCCAGTCGCGTAGATGATATTGATGACGCCCTGCCAAACGCCCCGATCGCGGAGAGGGACAATATCGCTCATCAGGATGCTCACGACGGTGGTCATGCCACCGCCTCCAATGCCTTGGAAAACCTATCGCCTCGTCAATGACTCTACACACTGAAAGGACTGCAGAGTGCAGGTCCACCTACGCGAGCAGCGATAAGTTGGTCAATATTCTGCGCAATTCCGCAAAACAAGCAACCAATGCCAAAGATGGCATATGCGAACAAAAGACACGCTTTGCGACCGAAAATATCACTCAATTTGCCATACAGCGGCTGGAACGAGGTTAAGGTAAGAAAGTAAGAGGTCGCGATCCAGCTGGTCAGATTGAGTGCCTCCAAATCACTGCCGATCTGACCGTAACTGGCCATGATGATGGTCTGGTCGGCTGCGGAGAGGAAAACCTGAGCGCGCATTAGCATCGGGAGGGACTTCCAATGCGACATGAAGTAGGATTTCATACTCCCAGAGAGATAGCCGGCAGGATATACCGCAGCCCCCTGCCGGTCTCGGGGACATCCTTGGTCTGCTCATCCTGCGCCAAAGGCGTCTGCTCGCCGGATTCCACATCGGGGCGGCCGATGTTCGGGATAGCCCCCGTAGTAGAGCCGTTGCTTTGGGGACCCAGCAACGGGGAGGTCTCGGTGGGATTCCTTTCTGGAGACATGGTGGCGGTACTCTAGAAAAGGGCCGTCTCCATTACCAGGGGGCCAGGGAACCGAAATGCTAGAGCAGCTGAGGGGATGAAGTAAGGGAAGCCAGTCAGCGGTCGGTTGACTCAGGATTATTCCCTCCGGCTTCGTTTAGTTCGGCCGCCCGCCAGGCCCCGGTACGGTCACGTGGAGATAAGGCACCCCCACTCAGCCGTGACGGAACTTGCATCCGCGCCGCCCGTCCATTTGGTTCCAGTGGTATCGTTCGCTCGCTCGGCCGAGGCTCAAATCATGTCGATAAAGAACATCGCTGCTTAAGGGTCTACTTTCAAGGGTGTGAGTTCTCATTCTAGGTGTAGCGGACTCAAATGAGGCATGCTTCTCAAACAATGGCCGCGTCAACGCGTCCACTAACAAGCACTACGTAGTAGATAGATGACGGATTAACCCGGTCCGGAGACGTGAGGGCCCGTTCGCGCGATGGCGATGCCCCCAACCCGGATATCGCAATCTCAACCTTATCCTGGACCGGCCTCGTACGTAATGCTCGGCTTTTACGTTGCCGAGGAAATTATGCATTGCCTGAACACCCCTCCGCGATTGTTATAGACTGCTCGCGAGCGAGGACAGACATAGACATAAACGCGCTACCCCTATACAGAAGGATATCATAACGACGAACAATGCAGTCGCGTGAGAATATCACCCAATCCAAAAGCTGCTCCGAATCATCACCCATCCCAACAAAACCTCGTGATCATAAACGCTCTATCTCGTGATTCTACCTGCATGCAATCATACTCTAAATCAGGCCTCCGCAGCGTCCAGCAAGGGAATGGGACCGCCGGGAGAGTCGGGGAAGCGGGCAGTCAGGACCTCAACGCCATCCTCGGTAACGAGAAGCGTGTGCTCAAACTGAGCCGAGAGGCCTCCATCCGCCGTGGAACTGGTCCAGTCGTCGGGCCAGGTGCGATCGCGGTGGGTACCGGTGTTGATCATGGGCTCGATTGTGAAGCACATGCCGGGCTTGGCGGTGCCCACGGCCTTGTTCTTCGCGTAGTGGGGGACGTTGGGAGCGCAGTGGAATAGCTGGTTGATACCATGGCCACAGTAGCTCTTGACCACACTGCAGTTGCGGGACTTGGCAAGCTTCTCGATCACGTTGCCGGGATCGCGGAACAGCATGCCGGGCTTCACCAGGTCAATGGACTTGTCCAGGCACTCGCGTGCGGTCTCCACCACGCGCACTGCATCCGGGTTGGCCTTGGCCTTGTCGCCAACGTAGTAAGTCTCGTTGATGTCGCCGTGGTATCCGTTGTGGTACAGGGTGACGTCGATGTTGACGATATCGCCGTCTTCAAGGGGTCGCTGATCGGGGATACCGTGACAGATGATCTCGTTGATGCTCGTGCAGACAGACTTGGGGAAGTTGTAGTAGTTGAGGGGGGAGGGGTAGGACTAGGAACACACATCAGTATCGAAAGGATCCACCGATATCACTGGAGACCCTTCGCTCCGGAAGAACCACTCACATCACGCTCCAGACAAGCCTTGTGAACCACTTCGTCGATGTAGTCGGTCGTGACACCGGGCTTCAATTCCCGCGCAGCAATATCCAGCACCTCACGGGCCAGACGGCACACCTTGCGCATGCCCTCCTGCTCCTCCTTATTCAGGATCTTGATGTTGTTCCGGCCGACGAACTTCTGCTCCGAGCGAGGAATGCCATCCTTGGCGTAATCGGGGTGAGGAATGGACTTGGGGACGGATCGGTGAGGCGACAGCGGGTAGACGGGACGGAGGTTGCCGGCGAACTGGAAGGCGGGGAAGGGGTTGTACAATCCCGTTGCTGGATCTGGTTCAGAAACTACCTTAGGAGGGAAGAGGTTGCTCAGGAAATTACTCTTCTTGTGAATGGTCTTGTGTTCGCTCTGCATCGGACGAGTCAGCCTTTGCCCATCACCGCGACAGCGTTCAACCCACGTGAGCCAGATGGGTCACGTAAGGCAGCCTACCCAACTCCGTTTGAAACAGTCCTGCGAGCAGAAGAAGCTATCCGTGCCGTTCTTCAGGCATGTCGGACACTGCAGCGTTCCTGCATTCTTGTCACAGTCCACCCCCATGCATTTGCGCGCGGCGACGTCGGCCATGTTGAAAACGAATCAGACGGCAATAGAATCGAGTCCGGGGAAGGGATCGCTAGGAGAACAGAAATGGAGATCAAGGTTCGCTGGGGAAATGAGCAGTCGCGCCAGAGGGAAAAAATGGGACAATCCCCCGCGGGATGGACCTGGCGGTTAGCCGCTCGGGCAATTCGAGTCCACTCCGGCAGGCACCATGCCTGATACGGCTAGTGTATCACCGGAAGAAGCCTAGCGCTTTCATTCAGTTCCCGTTCGTAAATGGACTAGCCTAGCCGAGATCATTTGGTTTAAGCGCGCGCACCCGCGCGCTTATACAATCAGGTGACGAGCAGCCGCCGCAGTGGAGGCCCTCGCTGGTTGGCTGGCGGCTAGGGCAAGCTCCGGTTGGCAAAAAAAAAAAGTTCCACGGATCCACCGGGATTGGCATGCGTGTGACGCAGCTGTCAGCCCCGATATCAATATTAAACTGCCCTCCCCATCTGCCACTGGCTGAAGCGTGCGGGCCCACGTGGAACAAGCTCAAAAGTCAAGACAGTAGTGATTGCTTCTAATCCCCTCACTGTGGCTGCTCTCATCATGGCACAACCGTCCGCGAGCCGACAGAAAGTGGTGATTGTGGGTGCTGGGCCGGTGGGGTCGCTGGCGGCTCTCTACGCCGCCGCCAGAGGCGACCAGGTTGAAGTGTACGAGTTACGCGGAGGTTAGTCGTTATGGCCTGTTTGGCTCTTTGGGACATTTTTCTTTGATCGTCAGGCACGGTGGTGGCAGCTGGATCCTCATTAGCCCCGCCTCAACCCCACCATGTGCCTTCTCTTGTGAACAAGAAGCCATTCTCACCCCACGTGTTGATTCGCAGATCTGCGTGATCCAAGTACCATCCCTCTGAACTTCACCAAGTCCATCAATCTCGCCCTATCCGAACGTGGCATCACTGCCATGCGGGAGTCCCACCGCGAGGACCTCATCAACCGGGTCCTCGCGGATGCGATCCCCATGCACGGACGGATGATTCACGGTCGAGACGACGGCAAGCTCTGGGAAGCCGCGCAAGCCTACGATGTCCACGGCCGGGTAAGTGAGCGTCAACCACTCCACAACCACCTCTCTCTAACCTCATCCCAGGCCATCAACGCCGCCGACCGGGGCACTCTCAACAACGCCCTCCTCGATGAGCTAGAAAAGACGCCCAATGTCCAGCTTTTCTTCAATCACAAGCTCACCGGAGCCGACTTCCGGACCAACAAGGCCTGGTTCGAGCGTCGCATCCCCGGCGACTCGTCCGACGACGTCACGGAGATTGAAACCTCCTTCGACTATCTCATCGGAGCCGACGGCGCCCACTCCGCCTCGCGCTACCACATGATGAAGTTCGCCCGAGTCGACTACCAACAGGAATACATCGACGCGCTCTGGTGCGAGTTCCGGATCCCCCCCTCCCCCACCGGCGACTTCCGCATCTCCCCCAACCACCTGCACATCTGGCCCGGCAAAGAGTTCATGTTCATCGCGATCCCCTCCGCCGACAAATCCTTCACCTGCACCCTCTTCGCCCCCGCCTGGTACTTCGAGCAACTCAAAACCCGCTCCTCCGAAGACCTGCACGAACTCTTCGACCACAACTTCCCCGGCGTCTGCCCGGACCTCATCTCCCCCGAGGATCTCTCCCAACAATTCACCACCAACCCACACCTCCCACTCATCAGCCTGAAATGCAAACCCCACCACTTCGGCTCCAGCGTCGTCATCGTCGGTGACGCCGCCCACGCCGTCCTCCCCTTCTACGGCCAAGGCCTCAACGCCGGACTCGAAGACATCCGAATCCTCTTCAATATCTTTGACCAACACAACGTCTACGACGAATCCGCCAGTCCCGAGACCCGCGAAGCCGCCCGTCGTGCCGCCCTCCAAGCCTACACCAACCAACGCACGGCCGACACCCACGCCATTAACGACCTCTCCAAGCAAAACTACCTCGAGATGCGCTGGGGCGTCAAATCCCCCCTCTACAAGCTGCGCAAGTCCGTCGAGGAAACCCTAGACCGCTACGTCCCGAGCCTAGGCTGGCAAACCCAATACGCCCGCGTCAGCTTCAGCAATCAGCGCTACTCGGAGGTGATCCAAGCGGTCAGCAGACAGGGCAGGGTACTGGGCATTGGCTTCAGCTCCGTACTAGTATCCGGACTAGCAGCTGTCGGCATCCTGATGTGGAAATGTCCGGATCGGTTCTCGTTGACCTCCGTGGTGCGGACCTCGTGGCAGGCTGTGAGGGGTCTGTGGATGAAGGCTTTCTGATCATGGTACATGATCCACGTACATAGTTCCTACTGTAGTACATAAAGGCGAGTTTGTATCACTAGCGCAAAATTCCTTTTCTCATCTCCCCAGCAAGGTCCAATTCCAATATACCTTGAATGTAAACTGTACAATTAATTCGAGGGGTGATAATGAACATACACATGCACGTTGACATTATGACCGTTTTTCACAAATAACGGACAGTTTGATCCCATCTAGTATCTTTCATTTAAAGAAATTCCCTATCAAGTACTCCGTACCGACATAGTAACTAAAACTTTCCATCGCCACCCTATGTGAGATCTTCCCTCAGTGTCAGATGATGATCGATCGAGATCGTGTCATGCTCCTGTTTCGTATGATCTTATTGCTTGGGTCTTCATTGCCCCATACATCAGGCTCATATACGCCTACATAGTTCAAATCAATTGGGGTGGGGGGTCGTGGATAGGAAAATGCTCTTTGTGGTCGGGTTATTTGACCTGGATGGAGAAAAGGAAGGTAGGTAGGTATCTGTGGCATTTTGTGTCGTTTTTCTTTTTCTTTCTCTCCTTTTTTTTCTCTTCTCCCGGTCTTTGGTGGGGTTCCTGTCTCTAGGTTGATGAAGATAGCAGGAAATGGGTGTCTTGTTATTCAAAAAGAGAAAAAAAAAAAGGTATGGCAAGACATGGTGGGTTGAATATGGTTCCAAGTGAGTGCTTTGGCTCATAGAGCCCTTGTGAAGTCTTTTCGATAACAACGCCGTCTGCATCACCGGGCTACTGGAGAACTTCCAGAAAGACGTGCCAAGCACTTGAGCCAGCATAAAAGCATCCAATTCAACCAGTCCAGATCCTGAGCCCAAGGTCAACCAATGCGCGATAAACTTGAATATTCCCACGTCCATGTAAAATCTAGATCAACAACGGTTGACCGCAACGGAGGCGAAACAGATAGCCACCCTTGATCCAACGGATTCGGGTTGTACAGTACTAAAGGCAAAAAATCCGAGCAAATGCTGAGGACAGAAAATCAAACAGGAATACCGAAACCGAAAGTAAAGTCCAAACCGAAAAGATGCTCCGGCCACGGAAAGTCCGAACCACAGATGTAACGAGACAGGCAACCAAAGGAGCGAGCAAAAATAGCTCCTTATTGCCAGCAACAGACAAAGAAAAAAAAAAGATCCTGATATCATAATCACAAATTTCATCATCCAATCGAGGGGAATCTATTGAACCAAAACCGTACGGGATCTCGGTAGTAAATCATTCTCAGTCTGGGCTCGGCCAATCCAGGGAGTACTTGGTAATCCAAATTCCAGGGCCGCATGTGGGACGCTTGGATAAATTCATTCCGTCCGTAAGGGTGGTAAGGTCCGCAGTTCCAGTCAATATACTGGACGGGTCATCCGGATATTCATTCCAAGGGCAGGGGACATATTTCCATGGGAGACTTCCTTCCTGGGAACAACCGTCCAAAAGGTGCGGAGGGGTAAGCCACAAAACAGGAGCATGGCGGTATCCTGCGGACATGGTCTGTGGCAAGGCAAAATCGTGGCCAGAACTCAAAGGTCATCATCATAATCATCATTCAGGCAAAGGCTGACAGACACGCATTCATGGACTGGCAAACTTCACTCGACGACTGCGTCGATCCTGGATGCGTTTCTCTGTATCAAGATAGAGGCGGTCAAGAAAATCCATGGCACTGGCATCCTTCAGGATCTTCGCCACCTGGGTACCGGCGGAAATAAGTTGGAGAACGTTCCGGTCGTCTTTGATGGGCCGGGACTGATGCTTGGCCGCATGCCTCATTTCCAGGGAGTTCTCCAGCACAGTGACTAACTGCTTGATCTGGCCATTATACAAAACCCGGGCGGGTATGCGACGTTTGGTCGCCAGTCTCTTGAGAAGATACACCCACTCGGTCCATTCACGGTCTGAGGGAACTCTCACCGGTCTCTTATCCGGCTCCAGCGGAATCGGAAATTGATACTTTGCAACGAAGTCAAATGCGCATTGTGACAGTCGGTCGTTGACCGATGTGAGGATTTGATCTTGCTCTGAGACATCGAGATTAGTAGGTAGATGAGGTAAATCCCGTCCTTGGGCTGCAATGACACGTGGTGAAGGAGGTTCAAGCAACTGATGGGGTCCATCAAACTCATCCCGGTTAGACGGCCGTCTCTGGGAGTGATATCGAGTAGTGCCTTTTAGCTTCTCTGTCGCACGTCGACCGTTCCTCTCCACCAGATACTCGGGAGTCTCGTAAGGTCTAACTAAATCATAATCACGCCGGAGAGATTCCGCTGGGAGGCGAGCAGGGTGGTCCCACTCCGGATAGAGAGCGGTAGGGCGTGGTAGGGTACCCCCTGCAGTCACGGGGATAGTTCCCAATGCATGTGAAGTCACTGGAAGTCCGCTGTAGGGCATAGCAAACTCCGGTGAAACTTGCTTGGGAGGCCTCACGGCAGTAGCCTGGGTATCTAAGGGTCCGCGCTCAAGATGTGGAGGGGAGAACCTTCTAGCGCTAAGCATGAGTAACATGAAAGTCTCAGTATGATAGATTCTGCAAAGGGAAGAACAAAAGTCGATACAAGATGACTAGGTACCTTGGATGGTAGATCACGGGAGCGTCGCCCGAAGTCCCGTACGCCGACGGTTGTTGGGGCATAATGCCACTGCACACGGTGAGCTTCCCTCGATAATATCACCAGAAAGGAAAGGGGAAACGAGGAGGATTTCCGTAGGGGCTGACCTGTGACGGGACCAGGAATCATCGCTGCTAACTGAATGGGTGCAGGAGCCACTGCTGCCTGTTGCTCTTGAAAAGTAGCTGAGTCCTGAAGACATTGCGATCGATGGAGGTGGAAGGACGGTGGACATGAGGCTGAAGATTGATGGTATATATAATAGCAGGATCGAACCCGGAGGATGGAGACAATCGAGAGGCAACCTCCGTGTGTCAGTCCAGACCGTTCAGAACAGTGCCTGACAGCGAGTTGAAGGGGGATGTTTATTATAGCAAGGAAGCAAATAATGGGGGGGGGACAGGAAATGGAATGTCCTCGGTGCTAGATAAGCTTTTAATTTCTCGACCGCGTGAGATATGGCAAGGCCAAAAGGATATGAAGAACTCCACCGCAGTGGCAAGAGGAGACTGGATTGCTCAAGGCCGGGCTCCGCTCATGTCAGGGAGCAAGCGCGTGCCGGAAGTGACCCTCGCACTATACGGAGAATAACAAATCCATCTTGCTTCCATGGCCAATCGAGCTGGGCCCCCACTGTGCCTCGTCGACAGGGTTGACGGGGATCGATTGAGCCAGCGACGCCCGGGAGAACAAGGGACGATAAAGAGCAATAAGGATGCCAGACCGCGCAGCACCAAGAAAATAATACCCGGAGCTAGACGCCCTGCCAGTCTTCCGTGCAATCAGTGGAGCTGCACAGGCATACTGGGGTACATAGCCATGGATGGACCCGGCAGTAAATCGCAGCGCGACTCCACCAGCGGGACATCGCCAGCTCCCATATGCTGATCTTGCCCCCAACCGCGCATGTCAGGACAGAAAGTGAGGAGTCGCAGGTCGCAGGATCCGGCGCTGCATAGGGTTTTGGGCAGCAACCGCAGGACTCGGCAGGGAACATGCGTGCGTCCACTGGTGCATCCACTGGGCATGGCGACGGAAAACCGATTCAAGGCTTGGCCCGTTGGCAGTCCATTTGCTGATGGAAACTGCGGCCAGCTGCTTGAGAGGTGGGGGGAAATTAATGGAAGAATGGAGCCATTAGAGTTACTGGGCACCGAGGCGATGGTCCCATGCTTTCCCCACTGACTCCGACTGGGCCTGGGTTGGATCCAGTTTCTGGAGTCCAGACTAGTACGATGTAAGTAGTAGTACTACTATGTACTAAGAGGTTGGGGATGGGAGATGAGAGCTGGGAACTGGGAAGAGGAGTTCAAGAGGAAAACCGCCAACCAGCGCGATTCCCATCACGGGGCGGGCGGCGGGACGGGCGTGGGTGCCTGAGTCCACCGGCCGATGGGAAACTCGATTTCGCCCGCGAAATGGAACGATCTTCATTCCCATCGGGACTCTGCTACCGCTTCCTCCGTCATGGTTGCTCCACTCGAGATCATCAGGAATGGTGTAGTATGGAGCTACATACATCCGGAGTACGGAGTACGGCCGGTGAGAACGATCCTAACACAGATAGTGGTATACTGTCTGTACGGAGCTGCAAGTGGCACCCCCTTGTCTATGGCAACTGATCCCCCCATTCGAGAGGATGGGCGACTCGACGTTCACGGCCACCTACACCGGAGGGAAGGACCCAGTTCCCGCTACCACAGATATGCCGGGAATATATTGGAGAGTGGATCGTGGTGAGCAGGCACCATGGTCCAAGACGGATGGCGGCCTAAAGTTGAGAATCCAGGGTGGGGAGCTTCTGGATCCCGGCCTGAATGTCATTGCTCCTCGACGAGTTGGGCACACATGTCTGCAGGCTTTGTCGCCCAAAACCAGGGCGTCCGTGTTAGCCAATGCTCGATTCCCGACGTTGACTTGATGAAACTTCTCCCTCGTACGAGGTCGCCGACCTGCAGAGGGCAATCCAGCTAAGGGCCGATAATAGATTCTAGGACTTACAATCCGGCCTAAGGGACGGGCTTTGGCTATACTGATGGGATCCTTGGCTATACTACAATCCTGGGCTATATGTTCCCTACCTGGATGCATTAACTGGCTGTTACCTTGGCAATAAAATGCGTCAGACCGACGACATGGTCAAACGGAGACAAATTGGACAAAAGTAATCGGGGAAGGACAAGCGAGAAAAGCTCTCTTCTTTCAGGTTGGAGCGATGATTCGATCAGGTTGATCCAGCACCAGCTGTGAGACACTGCCGGGATGCGTATGGCGTACATTATTGCGACCCAACGGGAAGTCGCTGAGGTAACCTCCCGCGAAAGAAGTGTGAATGATTCGTGGCGTCTGATATTACTTCAATGCTCGTCCGATGCTATCCTGTCAAACTCACGCAAACGCCTGGGGTTGTCCTTCCCTAACCACCATGGTTTCACAGTGCTACCCAGACCATACCTGCTTTGTCTTGACCTGCGCCTCCTTGCTACCAATATCGTCCGATGTACAGATGATGAACTGATTTGTCTCAGTGATGTCGAGCAAAGATCCGGATAGCCCGGAGATAATGTTGCTGGCTTGCATCTACCACACACCTTTGTTTCCAGCATAACATGGACTTCATATTAGGCTTAGTCCGAATTCTATCACCAACATCTAGAAGGACTGCCGCCCTTTCATCTGCACAGTTCAACGGCAGCACTTGCAGATACAGCCCATGCACCGTCAACAGGAAACTATTACCGATGGTATCTCGCATGGAGTGATTTGCTGGAGGCAAATGGATGTCCCTCGAACTAGCAAAGTCGAGCAATACGAGTCTCCTCGTACGCGTGAGTACTCCATGAAGGCGTTGCTTAGATCAGCGCAGCCACGACATTGTCCTAGGCGTAAGGCAGCTTCTAAACACCCGATGTACTCATTCGCCGAGCGGTACGAACCGAGACAACCGCCGCAAAAGAGATAGCCATGACCAAGTGTTCGCGTGCATGGAGACTAGAATAGTGTCAGCAGACACTGCCGGACGCAATCAGCATGATCTACGGAGTAAACCAGGTCGGTGGTAGAGGGAGCGTGCTGCGGGTATGATACCCGTTGAGTCTCGTCATTCCAACGGTGGCAATCCGAACCTGATCAGCAAGCTATCGGTCATCCCCTGCTCTTGCTATGTTCAAGTAGAAAGAAGTAAGTTCCTCGCTCGTGAGGGCATGTTAAGAGATGGAGTCAATAGGACAAGCCATCTATTGTAATCGTAAGCGGCCTTGGCTAGAGCACCAGAACGTCTTTTCCAACCATTCAGCCAGATTCCGATAATAGCTGGCTTGCCTCTGATCAGTTGGGTGGCAGGTTTAGGGCAACAAAACTCTATTCAAAACAAGACCACGGCCTGATGAACAGGATGACTAACAGTCACCAGATCCTGAACAGATTATTCATACCGGAAATACTCAATGAATAGTTGAGAAACAACCGGGTCCTTCAAAAATGGTAAATAGTACATGAAGTCACTTATGTTACTATACAAGGTCTCCATCCCAAAGTCGCAACATAAACACACAAAGCATGGGATAAGACACAGTGACTGACCAAACTCCGCTATAAATGCAAAACCTCAGATAAAACAACCGTCTCCTTGGTGAGACCCTTAGCGAACCCGGCAAAGGACCAGGCCACCAACCTTCTTCTCAACACATTCCCTCGCTTCCATGATACCCTTATCTGTGGAAATGTACAAGGCCTCGCCAGGCGACCGAAGACCCTCGACGGAGTTACTCCGCTCGCCACGGATCACACGACGAAGGCCCGCCAAGTCGATGTTCACCCGTTTCGTAGGCTTGCTGACCATCGTCAGCTTGCCGAGAACAGGCTCGCTCTGCCAGTATTTCAGGCCGAGCCAGAGTCGTCGTGAGGCGACGTTACTCTGAGTCACGGGTTCGACGCCTTCGCTTTCGTCGACTGCGCTCGGGGTGCCGAGAATGGGGTGCAGGGGGGGAGGAGCCCGACTGCCGCGGACGACGGAGGAGATGAGGCCGTCATTTTGAAGGGCCAAGCAAAGTTTCAGGTGTAGCTTGGTATTATTGATGGACGTAAGGGCAAGACGAGCCTTGGAGGCATTGTTCAGGTGCGAACAGACATGGGAGAGGTTGACGAGAGACATTTTGAATCGTAAGGTGGAAGGGATGGCCCAACGGGGGCCTGGTCGTGACGAGGGCTGGAGAAGTGACTGGGGTCGGCGTGTCAACAGTGGCGCGCGAACCAGGAGCGGAAGAGAAAAGATTCACTGTACCTGTGGCAGCGCACGAGGGATTAGTTCCCTATCAGCTCAATTGAGGATTGCAGCAGCAAATGATCGGATTCAATGTCCCGCGGGCAGACAATCTCCAATGATGCGGAAGCTCAGATGAAATTTTCGGAGAAACAGAATTGCCGGTACCGACAGGGACGAGGCCTCGCCGCCTCAGGCCGCGTTGGTGCCGTTCGGGGCCTCGCCGGCGGCAGCAAATCATCGGCCAGGAAGCTGTCGAAGCGCTCTGTAGCCGCCGGGCTTCTGCACGCTGCATCTCGCGGCATCTTACAGGCCGGTGTGATTCCCCTCATTCAGCTATAAAGCATGGCGCTCTCTCCCCCCAATTCCCGCTTTGCGCGGTGTCCTTCTTCTTTTCTACACGCCCGGGTGGCCTTATCAACGCTGATCGCCCATCATGCCGCTGTTGTCGGGGGAAGAGCGTATACTGACCGTGTGAGTCCTGCTACCCCGCTGATCTTCTCAGCAGCTGCAGCCTTATCACATCTCGTCACTCGAGCTCCGGCTAACCGCCTGGTAGGTTTGCCGATATCCATTACTACTTTGCAGCGCCGACTCCCAGGCCTGTCCATCACCGGTTTGATAAGGGTTGCTATTTGTATCTATATCTCAACGCCGCGAACAAGATACGGGTCGAAGTAGCAAACAATCCAGGGACTCCGGAACAGGATGCATTCAACGGCGGTTAGTTGACCTTCTCTTGTCTCCCATCAGTGTACTGACCTCACATAGTTCTCGATAACATCCACCTCCGTCATTCAACTAAATTCCCAACTCTGTGCACTGTGACCGTGGATGGACAAGTGCCGAGCCCACCCTCGGGCCAACCGTCATTTCCGCCGCCCCCAGGTGCCATTTCAAATGAATGGCAATTATCTGGCAATGACTCGCTGAATCTCTTACGTCTACACACACTGGACATCTATTTCTGGACGACGGATGATGTCACGCAGTTCCTAGACCTGCTCGAGCGCCATCTATCTCAGTCACAGATCGAGACAGATCGGCATCCTTTCCCGCCTCCACCGCAAAGCACGGTCAGCTCAGTCGTCCAGCAGCTGGAGACTGTGGCCATTACTGATCCCGGCTACCAAAATGGACAAACACGGAATTCTCAATCTGAGGTTGTCGCAAACCCTGTGCCTAGCTACCAAGCTATCACGCCCCCAAGCAACCTGCCCCCTCCCCCTCCATTGGGCGGATTGGCAACGGTACAGCCTATAATTCCGGGCATCCAGGCTGTTACCAGCGAGCAGCAGGATGCCGCCCCAACTCCCGCTCCTCTGCCGTACAATCCGGCTGCACCAGCCGCCCCGGAACCCATCAAACACCGAGAGAAGACTCCTCCCCCGATTGATGCAGAGACCGGCACTGGACTCGCGACGGCAGCGGCTGTCGACAACGGGATGGCGTTCCCTCCGTCATCTCAGACGCCCGGTCTATCGGCAACAAGAGGATTCTCCTCGCCTCCTTCGGGCCCCGCCCCGCCATATACCATGCCGGGGAGCTATATCCCGCCCCCACCCAGTGCAGGTCTCTCGGGGACATTTCCGACATCCATGCCCAGCCCTGGACTCCCATCCTACTCTGCTTCATTTCTGTCAGGTGACGGCGCTGGCGCCGGCCTCAGCACCGTAGGACAACCCCCGATGAACCCGGCTGCGACGCAACCCCAGATGTCCATGTCATTCGGCCCGCCGCCGACAGATCCGAACGCGCACCTTTACGGCCAGAGCATATTCAGAACCTCCACCGAGTCATCTACTCCTCCCGTCCCGCTTCAACTGGGCGGGTACGCGAACTACTCGTACGAGCAACCGAAGCGCCATGCTTCCGTATCGAGCAACGATTATGACGTCCACAACCAGCTCTATCGACCCACCGAGCTGGAGTCGACGTCCCGCCATCAGAAGTACTCGCGCGAAGCGATGAAGGACCCGGGGAATCCACATCGGCCGCAGTATTTTGTCAAGAATGCGTACAAGGTGGAACATGGGGTGAACCGGCTGTTGAGGAAGCTGGAGAAGAAGCTATGATGTGTTGCAGCTACCTGGCTGTGCTTGATGAGCTGTTTGTGTCTGCGTTCTGTACATGCTTTTAGCAAGACACCAAGGGATACCAGGGTTTTGTTCATATTGCTTTGTGCATATTTTGAAGTCTGATTTACCCGCATCTATCTATATCCAGCGTGCAATCTTACTCTCGCTATTTTCACGTGTCATTCAACATTCCGGTTCAGTAGCATAAGGGTAGATATGTGCTTGATATTACATTCGAGGGAAGATTATCATAACCCATCATCCTAACGCCGTCCATCTTTCCGCCCAATGCCCCATATGACCCATTACCTACCACCCCGTTCCGTTCCATTCCCTTCCCTATCCCCTGCCCCCCGCAACAAGCCATCCATCCCTCACCACCAACATCCCCATCCCCAAACCACCCTACGCAAACGGATCCACCCCCCCATCCCTCCACCTCCTAAACTCAATAATCCTCTCCACCTGATCCGCGACCTCCGCCCCCCAAACCCCCTCCACCCACTCCAAACACATATCCACCCCGGCACTCACCCCCGCCGAACTCCACACCTTCCCACCGTAATCACTCACCCACCTCGCCTCCCTCACCCACTCCACGCCCGGCGCCAACGCAACCACCTCCTCCCAATCAATCTTATTCGTCGTGGCGCGTTTCCCATCCAACACGCCCGCCCTAGCGGCCAGTCTTGCCCCAGTACATACCGTCAACAGGTACTTGAGCGATGGATAGACGCGTTGAATGTAGGTGATGTATTCGGGGAGGGGGGCGCGGGTGCCCCATCCGCCGGGGATGATGAGGACGTTGATGGGGGGCGCGGTGGTGAGGGTGTGGGTTGGGAGGATGGATTGGGAGAGTGCGGAGGGGAGGTGTGGGGGTTGGGTTGAGACGGGGGAGAGGGTGCGGGAGATGAGGGAGAGGGTGAGGGAGGGCGTGATGGTGGGGTTTTTCCAGGAGATCACGTTTAGGCAGTCCAGGGGGCCGAAGACGTCGAGGGCTTGGAAGCCGGGGAAGAGGAGGATGCCGATGTGGAGGGTTGAGGGTTGGGGTTGGGGTTCGGAGGGGGGGTTGGATGGAGGATGAGATGTGGTTGATGGGGGGGTTGGCTCTGTGAGGGGTTGGTTGAATGGGGTGAGTTGGAGGCGGGGTAGGTGGGATGGGAAATGTACCTGACATGGTGGGTGGGGATGATGTTGTCGACCGTCGACGTGATTGTCGTGGTGTGGATGTGAGGACGAGGGAGTTAATGTGACAGTGGATTGAAAGTGAATGTATAGATAGAGGGTGTTGAATGTTGTGCTGTGACAGTACTTATACTTCGAGAGCAGACCGCCTACAGAGAGCTATCCAATTGGGTTTGAGACTGTACGTGTCTGGCGCATGGGATGCAGTGGCATCCAACGTCAGCATGGTCTAGAAACAGTTTGGCACCGGCTATCCCGGCATGATATACGAGCTGATGGCCTATCCAGGGAACTATGACCTCAACGCAGCCCTGAAAGCTTTCTGTCGGGTACGTTTTTCCGCAAGTTTTAGTCCTTGTGGAGATTATCCATGTTTGGAATACTATATCTGCTCATGAAGCAATGGGGGTTGCATCTCCTATCACGATGTGCCATCTGCATCTTTGACTACGCTCTAGTGGTGGGTATAAGTTAATGCTATTCAAGGTGAATGACACTACTAATACTGAATCAATGAGAACCTCCTAAGTAATATGCTAGGAGAATCCAGTACATATGCAAGATGCAGTACTCCGTACACATCGCTAAGATCACATCCGAATCAACTCCGCCAGCAATGCTCCGACATGCACGTCGGCGGTCTGGTCGACAGCCAACAAGGTGCTCCGCTCCCTACCCGAGATACCGAAGATAACTGGAGATCAGAATGGAAAGAAGGCAAAAGAAGCAGAGAAGAGGAACAAAGCCCAAGAATAAAATCAGTATCGAGAAACGTGGGACAAGTATGTACCTGGTCACATCACGATTGTCAAGGGTATAACAACGTATATCACGAGAAACGAATAAGAAGAGAAGATTTCTATTTCAACTTGTCAAGTGCTCTGCAAGTCAGTTGAGGGTGAGGACGCCCATGTCAATGTCAACCTCGCTCGACTGCGCCTCCGCAGCAACTTCAGCAGGAGCCTCGGTGGAAGCCTCGATCGAAGCCTTGGGCTCAGTGGACTCCTTGGTCGCCTCTTCTACCGGCACCGTAGTCTCCGCAACGGGCTCGGTCTCAGGAACTGGCGGAAGGTCGGTGGCTTGTTCCACAGCAGCTTCAGCCGAATCCTCAGTCACCCCATTGGCCTCAGGGACAGCCTCCGTCGCGGGAACGGCAACTTCCTCAGCCACAGCTTCAGCGGAGGCCTGCACAGGCTCCTCAGCAGGAACTTCCTCGGCAACCTCGACAGGCTTCTCGGGGACGACGGCGGTCTCAGCCACACTCTCCTTAGCGGCTTCCTCCACCGCCTTTGCCTGTGGTGGTTCGGACTTCACGGGTTCAGGGGTTGCCCGCTTCTCCAGGGGCTTGCCCGGTTCCAGCTTGGTGGCGCGCGAGGTGCGGGTGTCAAGCTTGGAAGGGACACGTCTGGGAGCCCGAGCCGGCTTGGCGGGCCGTGGAGGGCTCTTCACCTCGACCTTGTCGTGCGTCTTACTCGCAGAGCTTGCGGTGGGACGCATCATCCGAGCCAAGAAACCCTCGTCAAGTGGTCTGGAGCTAGTGTTGCTCACCCGAGAGTGAGGCCGTTCGCTTCCGGAGTGAGTGGGAGGAGAGGGACGAGACGACGGCTTACGAGTGGTGGAAGCAGTCGGAGTAATTGCGCGTTGCTGGGTCGCAGTGGTCGAGCTCTTGATTGTGGACGGCTTCCGAGACAGAGTAGACGTTGTGGTGGCTCCCTTTCTGACAGTAGAGGAGGCAGTCGAAGTCGTTGCAGAAGCCGAAGGGCGAGTAGTGTTGGCCGGCGTGACCTTGGTGGTGCGAGAAGCAGCCGAGGTTGTGGGCTTCGTCAAGTCACGAGCAGGCATGGAAGACCGTGCGGGTCTCGTGGCGGGCTTCGTTGCAGGGTTCAAAGACGTCCGGCTCAGCTTGTGTGTTGCAACTTTGGGAGCCTCGGTGGCTGTAGCCCTGGTAGTCGCTGGACGGGCAGTTCGTGTGGTCCGAGTTGCCTTGTCTTCGGGTTTGGCAGGCGAGGTGGGCGTGCGGGGCTGCGCCGGGGATTTCGCAGCAGGCTTCGGCGCCGGCTTGTTCACTTGGATGGTGGATGGTCGCTTGGTAACGGTCTTGGTCGGTTTAGGAGAAGAGACCTCGGGAACCTTTAGAGTTGGCTCTGGGGCTGGAGGACTCTCAACGACTTCCACGGGCTTTTCGGGCTCTACCGGGGCGGGGTCATTCTTCTCCGGAAGCTCTTCCTGCTTTGTCTCCAAGGTTGCAGCTGGTGGTTCAGTAATCTTGAAGGGGAAGCTGTTTCGAGTTGGAGAAACGGACAGTGGACTTTTCAAGCCACCTTCAAAATCCTCCGAATTGAAGCTTCTGACCCGGGACGGGGCGGCAGGGCTGTCGCTGCGACCACTCACACTCCGTAGCCCTGCAAGAGGGTTCGGCTGAGTAGCACCATCAACAGCGACAAAGCTTGCGCGCACCTTAGACAAAGGTCTACCTGAGCCGGAATGTTCCGAGCCAACAGGGGATCGACCCCGAGAGGGCGGGGAGGTGGTATTGCTCTGATTGTTCTCGAATCGAGCGAGGAGGTTTCGCACACCGGGGTGACCACCTGCCTCGTTCATGATGGCAGCTCGTTTGGGGGACAAGTGGCGGTAACGAGAGGTCAGCAGAGGGTATTGGTCTTGCCGGCTAGGACTGGGGAGAGGGGAGTCGGAGGTGGATGTAGTCGAGGACACTGAAGTGGACAGGCGAAGTGGAGATTCAGCACTTCGCACGGATGCTGAGAAGGAATCGGAGGGCATTCACGTTGGACGCGTCCCAAAGGGAGGGGGACGGGTGACGTGATATAAACAGAGCCCAACCACAAACGGGGGGGAAACGGTGGTTCGTTGGTGGGGGGGAAAGTCAATGCTGGTGAGACAACGCAGCGGCGGGGGACACAACCATGGTGGACAGCAACAAAGAGCGAAAGAGGGGACGGTGAGAGGGTGATTGGGGGCTGAACGAATGGGTGCCCGGAGGAAGAGTAGGTGAGAGAAAAAAAGGAAAAGGGATAAAGGAAGCGAAGAAGAGGGAGAAGGAGGGAGAAGTAGTGAGGAGGAGGAGAAACGGCGAAACAAAGTGGAGAGACAAGGCCCCGACACCTCAGGCAGCGCGCTCAGGGGTCGGATCCGCGGCTTCACTTTGATGGCGCGCCGTCTCAGATCAGGATGCTTCGCTTCCCGACGCCCTCTCCAACTTACGTACTTTCGGTATTATTAAATAATCATATTCATCCCCTCTGCCCGGTGGATGCCCCTGGCCTGAATAGTCTCCGGCACTATTGAACCCCCCAGGCTGATTCTTCGTTTCTTTTGCGATCGACTGAATAATCGACCACTCCTTGCAAAAAGTTCCTCCCACGATTGAGGGAGTTGAAACAGTCCTCTTACGGGCTGAAACTCTTCCTTCCCACGGCTTCACATGTCCAGCGACTGTCATGGTGGCCATGGAGCCCGATTAGCCGGACTTCCTGCAATCTCCTGCAGTCCCGATCGTCCCCCCACGCCCCTAGAGGCCAGCTTGCAGCTCTCTGCGAAACAAATAGCTGAACCTTGATCGTGCTTTTCGGTTGTCCAAACTTTGTTCCCACGCCTGCACCGATCTTGCATCCCCCCGGTGGCAATCCAGTCCGCCCACTGCCATGGCTGGATGGTGTTCATCTGGCCAGGCAGGCCAGTTCCTGGATGACCGATGACCAGGTAAACGCCGGGTGGATCAGGGATGGACTCCATGATGCTAACGTCGACCAATTTCCCTCTAGTGCCATTCTAGCCCTTCTAGATCATTCATGGAATAATCAAAGGATGTCATTAGTGCTTTTCCGTTAATTGCCCCGGTGGGCAACGCTGCACAGACCTCCTCCCTCCCTTTCTCTCTGGCATGGACACTGTCACACAACACATGGCGGCACTGCTCGCCGAAGTATCCATGGCACGGTTCCAGACCATCCGCAAATTTAGTAAACAATAGGTATCTACTGTTACAAGGCAGATAAATCCACAGAGAGTGGCAACAACAAAGAGACGAGAAACTGGTCCAGGTTGAGATCCAAGCGCCCCCACCTGCGGGATTAACCTTATAATGCAGGGAGTCGCACTCTACCACGGTAACTCCCAGCAGCCATCAGACCGCTGTTAACGGTGCTCTCTCCCGGTCGGCTACACTGCCATTCACGAAGCATAATTTACAATAGACTTGAGCCAAGCAAGGACCAAAGCCCGGCACTGAGGCTAGGCTTGAAGCAACCTACGTGTCCGAGGCTGAGACCGACAGGCCTGCTGATCGCTTCAGCTTGCATTCTACCACGTTCACATAGACGAAAGATACAATCACCATCCTAAATGTCTACATTGGTGCACCCTTTCAGAAACATCCTGTCGGCGAAGTCATTGTCCGCCATATGATAATTTAACCGAGTAAAATCTGTGGGGCTACGAGTGCTATGCTCCAACCTCCAAGAACCTTAAAAGAAGACTGGACACATCTTGGTGGGCGTGTTTGGATGCATCAGATAGCTTCACTCCGCCAGCTCTGCCAGATGGCATTCAACTGATTTCACCGCTTCCTGCTTGAATGTCACAGGCAACCAGTCCCAGACATGGAAGTACCGGACAATCCTGCAGGGTCTGTGTATAGGCCAATTGGAAACATCTCAGGATGCACCACAAGCTTAACGCACTTGAGGGTTGGAGCTCATTGGTGTTCATGGGGTGTCTAGCCTGGGATGGTGAGTTCCCCGCGCAGCCTATCGCGCCGTACACCGTAAACCGCGGCCCAGGTAGTCAAAGCTAAAATGGATTGCAAGGAATGATAGAACGGTTGATTTCTGATCAATGGCCAGCATACTATACGATAACTATGAATACCCTATTCCAATACAAGCACTGCCCGCCCCAAAACACCATGGAACAGATCCTTATACTCAAATATGTCAAGACTTAAATGCACGAAAACAACCTATAAATCAGCCGGGTCAGAAGGCAACGACTCCGGCATAATATGACCAACTCCAGCATCCTCGAGGTCATCCTCGGAGAGTATCCCAATTGCACTATCCAGTGGCTTACGATGCTTGCCCCGACCAGCCTCCACATCAACATATCTTGTCATGCTGACCGGTGTGATGGGTTCGCTGCCGATATTCAAGCTATCGGATTGGATTTCGTCCGATTGAAGCTCCCAGTTAGCAGCTCGGACCCTGGCTCTCCGTCGCTCGTTGTTGACGGATTCCTTCATGAACGCATATGACCGCGCTTGCTCCGCAGCCCAATTGTCCAATAGATTGTCTCTCGCCTCAACTTCCAGGCGCAGCTGATTTTCCAGCCCACTGTTACTGCGCCGAAGCCTCTCAATATCTGACTTGGCCTCCTCGAGCGACGTGTTGAGCTCGGAAACTCGAACATTCATCGATCCAACTTCCTGTTCGAGGCGCTGTTGCTGCTCTGCTGCCCCTTGCTCCAGAGTCTGGACCACTTGCATGCGCTCGACCTCAAGTGACTCAACCTTGGCTGTCAGGTCACACACAAGGCTGCGATTTTGCTGAACGATCTCTTCCAGTTCTCGAATGCGTGTCTCTCGCTCTGCAATTGTGGACTCGGCAATACGAATAGCACTCTTCTGTCCCTCCATTCGCCGCTGCAGCTCCTCCACCTTTTTCTTGTGCGCCTCATTGCTTTTGGCTTTATCCGTCTCTAGCTCTGTTACTAACGCTTCGAGCGCCTTGACTTCTTCACGGTATTTGTCGAGAGCTGCATTGAGCCTGTCAATACTGACTGCCTGCTCCTTTCCTTCGCCTTCAAGCTCTTGCATACGCATTCGCGTATGAAGCATGTCTCCGGCGGAAGTTGTAATTGATTCTTCCAGGTCTTGGATTTTCTTTGACGCTGCCTCATACCGAGCCAGCAGAATATCGAATTGACCCCGGAGTGCGTTCTCCCGGCCGACAGAGCCTTCTAGTCGTGTCTGCTCGTCTCCAAGATTCTTGACAAGCACCTCTACTCTCTTTACCAATGCCCCAAGAGTTGCATTGCCGTCACCTAAACTGGCATTGGCAGTTTCGCCAGGGACTGCTCGCTCTAGTTGGAGGCGTGCTGTGCGGAAGCGCTCGCGCATCGTAGAGATGATGTCGTTGGCGTTATCTCCTGGAAATCCTAGACCCGACAGCTCTTCCTTAATATGGTCAAGTGCTTGAGCGGCATCAGAAGCGCGATGCAGGGTCTGGGTCAAGGTAGGCAGGACTTGATCTAGGAAGTCTGGTGGTGGAGAGGATCGACGAAGAAGACCCTCAATTGCCGTGCCTCCAAATGAAGCAACTCGGGCACGGCATGCATCAAACAGGTCTCTTTTCTCTTTTCTGGCGGCTGCGAGGTCGGCTGACAGTGCAATTATTTCCGCCTCTCTTTTATGGTCCGGTATAGAGGCCTGGGTCGATGCATCGGCATTTGCATGTCCTTGGCTGAGAAGCGAAAAGTCGTCGGGAACCAAAAGCCGCCGGGCTTCTAGTCCTCGGAAATCTGGCGAATCTGATATCAGCACTGTATCGTAATCCCACCCACTATCGTTGATGATCATTGTCTCGCCCTCGGTGTTGATCATCGTGTCATGGTCAGAATGACTATCCGGTGAAGGGAATGAACGTTGCTCCTTTAGTTGGGTATTTTCAGACACGACCTGTTCAACTATCGATTGCGGTGACAGCCATGTGGTTTCACCATTCGATGGTTGACTCTCCGATACAGGCTGGATTCTTTTGACCGATTCCAACTCATGCTTCAAGGAATCTCGCTCGCGCCGTAGTGACTGGAGCGTCTTCTCGTATTGAGCGGTTTCTCGTTTCTCGCGCTCCAGCTGGTTGATCTCATCACTCAACCCTACCCGCCGGATCCTTCGTTGGGTCCGCGCGTCTAGGAGTTGTCGCAGGGGTGTGAACTGTACTACACACCCCGATGAAGCTGGGTCGGCAGCACTTGGAGAGCTCATGCAGCGGCGAGACTGTGCAAGAGCGGTCGAGCGCCTTCGTAGGCGGCGGCTGGGAGTGCGCGTCAGAGGATCATCCTCTGCGCGCTCCTCGAAGGAGGTGCGAAACATGGCGGGAGTGAGGCCCGTCGAGTAGTCGAGGCCATGTTGCAGCTCAGGGCCCGGGCCTGAGAACCGAACTCTCTTGCTAGACCGACGAGGGGTCTCGCAGGACGATGCTGAGGCAACATGGCGAGTCTTCTTAGTAGAAGCCGGCGAAGGGGGCACTTGACCAGATGTAGAGCTGTTTTGTCTCTTTCGCCTAGTTTGTCTCGTGTCCATGGCGATTGTGTATTGGTCCAACTGGTGTGAGTCAAGTGTCGCACGAGCCCCTCAGCCCCTGATTAGTAGTATTGTGGGGGGTGGGGGAGAAGTTGCTAAGATGTTGGAGGGGCACCTGGCTAAGACAATAAGAATGATATAATCGGGGAGTCGTAGATGGTCATAGATATACTGTGTCGTAATGATGATCGGGGTACCACAACAAGCGACGGCAAATCACCCCGGGAGCTGGCGTATTGTGATTTTTCCCAAATAGGCAAGGGCCCATCGTGCCTGCCTACGCGTGGCCCAGGTCACTGCCTGATTGGGAACGCGTAAACAAACCGCCCTTGCACCGGTCAGGTGACCTCTGAATTCGATACCTTGTATTTCAGGCCCACATATGTTTCCCTACCCTGCTGAGGCTGCTGATATGGATGCGATGTGCAAAGGTAGACAGATAGTACCTAGTGGTACGAAGTGGTGGCAGACTCCGTACTATTGTTTTTGTTCGAGAATGACCAATGAGGATAGATGGCCCGTATCTTATCTCCCGCCCAAAAACCATCCTGGGCACCCGTTGCCGTTCTGTCATTTTGCCGTCCTCCCACCACCATGGGATTTTGCGCTGGAATATGCTTCTGGGTACACAGTCAATATACACCCTCCAGTGAGATGTGGCTGCATGTCTAGACTTGAGTACCGTCCCTCGCGATCAATGGACATCCCGCTCTTCCCTCCACGGCTCTTGATGAGGTGATGGGATGGGGCCTGCAAGGGTGATGTCATGCGGGAGGCCAGCTGGGCTCGCCTTCCCCTCGCTAACTGAGAGGCTAACTTAGTATGCAGATCGTCAACCACTTACCTCCCAACCCACCCATCTTTATTATACCATCGCTTGCTGTCAACTTTATTATTCAGGCCGTTATCTGGCGAGAAGCTTCGTGCCTGGCCTGTCATCCTTGGTTTCTCGGCTTTGTCAGCCCGAGGACTCGTGATGGCTGCTGCACTTGTGGATGAGGATTCCAAGCAGCCGGCCGTGGAGGAACGGAACCAGGGACCGGCCGAGATGGGGGACGATCCCCAAGCGTCTCTATCGGACTCGGCCTCCAGCTCCCCTGGTGAAATTGGACCGCCCTTTTTAGAGCTCCCTCCTGAGCTGGTTCAGCTGATCCTATCCTATTTATCGGCCCCAGATCTTGCTCGCCTGTCTGCCGCCTGCTGCACCTTGGCTGAACATGCGACCAACGAACTCTTGTGGATGAACATAGTCAACTCCCACCTTCCAGAGCCAATACATGACCCTGGGGTGTTTGACTCGTTCCGCACTCTTTACATTGCCCATCACCCTTGCTGGTTTGTTCCTCGCAATAAAGTGTGGTTTTCGGATATCGAGCACACGGGGAATCTAATTCTCGCCCGGTACGATCACCGACGGGGAGTCATAGAGGCTTACCGAGTCATTGCGGAACGACGTTCCCATCAGTTCCAGCTTTGGGATTTGAACCCAGATGTCATAGTTCAAAGCTTCAATCCTAAGGTCCGTCTCTGGCTAGATGATCCAGTCCTCCTGTTGAAGAATCGTCATGGGGCTCGACCGCAATATCTACGCGGCGAGACACGCATGGCTATGCCGGTTGAAAGCCAAAATATCTTTAATGCCTTTTCACTGTGCTCCACTAGCCTGCCTGCTGATCTGAAGGCGAACCAAGAATGGCCCCCGTCAAACATCCCGAGTAAACACCGTGTTTGTCGTGCTGTAGAACATGAGCTACCGGAACGGGACCTCCAGCCTCAACAGCTGGACAATGTTTCGCAACATGCATTCCGAATCAAGAGGTGGGCACATTTCCAAACGGGGATGCCCATATTCACTGCTGGTCGGAGCGAAACGCTGTCGACCTATGCAACACTCGACCCTGATTTATACACGCCCACAAAAGAGAAGCCATATCAAGGGATTTGGGTTGGAGACTACTCGGCGCATGGATGTGAATTCCTGCTTTTCCTGCAACGCGAGCGGGTGGATGAGCATGCTAGCCCTGAGAATTCAAGCGATTCCGACGAAGAATCCATCCCACAATGCGGCCTGGAGGCAATCAAGCTTACCGGAGACCCCAACGTTCCCCGTGGCGAGATATCCTTCTCGGCGGATGATATTGGCTCAGGGGGGCTTATCCGGATCGCAGAGGAGGCGCTTTTCCAGGGGGCCCGGATAGTACGTAGCAGAGGCCATGTCGCCGGCCTTGGCTTCAGAGATGGTAGGCTCGATCTGTGTTCGTCTGATTGTTTGCTTGGAGTCTAACTGGGCCTGACAGATACCTTCATCGCATCTCAACTGATTCTAATATCGACTGAATGTGTGGCTCACTATTGGGAAACCATGGGCCACATCTCCTATTACCGCCGTCTTGACATCGACGCATTGCTTCGGACCTAAGTGCCGATGGTTACGAAAGTCACGATTAACGAGTCATGCTGTTCACCCCTACGGTGCTTCCAGAATATGTATTTGGTCCTTTTGGGTGACGGTTATGCGAGCAGAGAGGTTCTGCATTCCACGCCTTGTTTGAGCGAGCACGCCATGCTGCGTTTGATAGATCTATATGGGCCTGCAGAGGCTTAACGAACTATTTTTATGATGAAACTGCTATTCGATGCAGCTTTTGGGATCGGGACGTGTCGAGAATAATACTACAGAGTTACCACCGATGAATGAAGTGAATGAAATCGGAGACAATTGTACAAGTTTATCCTAGCCAGTGGCCTGCGCGTGGCTTTACGGGTAAACATAAACCGGGAGAACCTCGATGGATAGCCTGTCAGAAACGGCCGTCGTTAGGCTAAAACAGAAGAGATGCAGTTGTTTCCCACCAACCGGGAAGCTATGTACATGCAGACATACCGCAGATGCGGACGATCCAAAGTAGGAGATATCAATGGAGCGGATGAAGGTATACAGTCAACGCGAGATACCTAACGCCGTGACGCGCTACTCAAACGAGCCTCAGCGGACCCAATGCCATGATCAATCATGGGCCACCATCGCACACATGGACAATCATTCCGCCGCGATGGATGGCTTTTTTTCTTCCTTAAACGCACTTCTCCAAAAGCACGGGACCGATAGCGTCTAACTTCCCGACCCGGCCACCGCAATTGAGATGCCGCCGCAGGGAGTTCATATACCGAGAAGCGATTCCTGAATCGACGCTGATTACCGTCTGCGCTCAAAATAGCTCGTAGAACCCAACACCGCCACAGACTGATCCATCACCCACTCGCCCACACCAAGGTAATTATCAATCCACTTCTTGAAGTCCTTGTTATCGGTGATTTTGTCGGAGTTGAGACTGGGGCTGTGAAGGACCCCACGCATGTCCCCGATCAGGGACGTGGGGTGAATGGATTAGCTGGATTCGTGGTGACACCTCGCGGGTGATGATCAAGGCTGGAGAAGTAATGGGGTTAGTTACGTTAGGCCAGTTGAGCGCTTGACGCCCGCTAGGAAGGCGGAGACTGGAAAGTACATGGTTAGTCAGATAGATGGTTCAGGATATGGAGGAGACACGTACGAAGAACCGCATCGAATGCGTAGTGAGTTAGACGGCCGAGCTAGATGATAGAGCGAGCTGGTCAGTAAAGATAGCCTCAGCCAGCCTCGTACCCGAGGTTACTCTCCAACCACCGCAGGACATACGTACCATTTTGAGGGGGGAGGCTTCCACGAGTGTGGTACTCAAATATTCCGAACTTGATTATACTCTGAGTATATCACACCAGCAGAGGAATAGCAATAGCAATAGCTATGAGTGTAAACGTTCCAGGATAAATTCGATCGAAAGAAAGTGTTCAGTGACCCCACAGACCAGCTGGATGGTCAGTCATCGAGGTGGGTTCACGTGCCGCGGCTCGCACATGACGTGGGCAACTGACTGGCTGAGGCGGTGAGCCGGGGAGGAGGGGGCTGGGTCATGCTTTGTGGGTGGCTGGGTGGGTGGTTGATGTGGCTGGTGGATAGGCATGCTTACCCGGAGACAAACAAAACAAAACATCTGGCTGCGGGCAGCATCCTCCACCTGGTCTCCGTCTTGGTGCCTCACTGCCAGCCTACAATGTATACTTTACTCCGACGTACGGAGTACGGAGTGCGAAGCACAAAAGTAAGCAAGACGGAAACCTCCGTCTAAATACCCACTCACCTCCCCACCTAAGCCAACCTTTCCCATTGAAATCACAAAGTCCGTCCCAACCTACTCCGTACAAAGGAATGATACCCCTCAAGCTGAAGAAAGCACCTCATCTCCGAAGTCCGAACACCAAGACCGCCAAGTCCCTACCATAAATAGTACATAGTGTATAGATAACTAGTGGGTGGACTTTCTGCAGGAGGGGTTGATAACCGGGTCTTGGCTCTGCAGATTAACTTACCTGTCTATCTTACCTAGACCGGAGGGGTGTGGTCTAGTTTGCATATACTATGTCTTGGGGGATTCACCGGGGGCTGTGTTGGGTTTATATACTGGGTATAGTATAGGGGGTACATAATATATGTGGTGACTGAATTTTAGAGTCGGAATACAGATGCCTAGATGTCTAGGTGGGAGGGACGGGGATAGGATACTCAGACTCGGCCTGTAGGTCAGTACTGTGCAGACTATAAAAAATACTAGTATGGAGGGCATCGTGCCCCACGACCCATCCAATAAAAGTAAGAGATAGATTGACCATTAGGTATCCTAACGGTGGAGTGATCATATAGGACTTCATTATTGCTAGCCAGGCTTACGATGTGGAGATGGGAAAGATACCTACTTAAATAGGTAGGCATATACCGTGGTCAGAACCGAGACGGAATTCGGATGTAAATGGTTGAGGTGCTTTACATGGTATTATCTCCATCTTCTATTCCGCACTTGGTTGAATCTGTCTATGTTGAGGAAGTGGCATAGTGGCATAGTGGCATGGTATGGCAGACGGAGGACTCCGAGGGCACCGACAGTAACCCCTAAGTACACAGTAGGACAATTCGCGGCAAATCTATAATTACCCCCATACCAACCAACCCGGACGGTCCTTCTCCATACCTACTGGGTCCCGGATGAGCAAATTTCAGCCTTATGGGTTATGATGGATCAAAGACGGGTTCTGGGAAAAACTCAACAAACTAGAGGAAAGACAACCACTCATGTCGCTGGATGTGGGGACGACAGGAGAGGTTTTCCTCCAGTCAAAATATCATGTGGTCCGTCCAGACGCTCTGAAGGTCCAGGGCGATTTATTTTTGTTTTTTAATTTTCCCAACAGATGGATGTGGATGCCTGAGACGGAGGGGATTAGATGCCTGAGGATGACACACGGCTGGGGTATGGATGACTACGGAGGGACTGGTTTGCCCACCGTTCTCGGCGGGCACCTTGGCCGGCCAGTCAAAAGCGCGGAGGGAGGCAGCAGACAGCGGACGAGGGCGTCACCCGTCACGGGTCTGAATTGAGTTTTTGGGGGATAGATATCTGGCGATAGTGCCGGGGCAAGAATAAATGAAAGATATCTCATTAATAATGGGAATTGGGGACTGTGCTGGTAAGTACTCGGTAGGAGGAGGCACGCCGCAAAGCTGGCCGGTGACCGAGAGGGGACCACCCAAGCAAGTACTGACGGAGGTGAGCCACCCGCGGGGAACCGACCGAGAGGACGGGCCAGTCCCAATGTGGGAATCCCGCCAACCAGCGGCCAATGGCGGCCACCAACATTTTCCTTCCCGGGCACCCCTCCTCTAGTCCATCTCGCTCTCGCTCACCGGCTCCGTCTTTTCTTCCCTATCATCCCTCCTTTTCTTCCCCCTCCTCTCTTCTCCGTCTTCTCTTCCCTCTGCCATTCTGCTCGTCAGTTCTTCTCCAACTGTTGTTCAGTAAAAGACATCATCCTTCACTATGGCTGCCACCAACTCCCTCGACCACCTGAGCAACCGCATGAAGCTGGAGTGGCACTCCAAGCTCAACACCGAGATGGTGCCCTCCAAGAACTTCCGCCGCACCTCCATCATCGGCACCATCGGTACGTCTTTTCTGTCGCGCGGTGGCGAATTCCATCTGGAAGCTCCCACGTCAATTAGCGTCATCCTGTGCTAACCTCTCATTTTTCTCTAGGTCCCAAGACCAACTCCGTGGAGAAGATCAACGCTCTCCGCAGATGTACGCGCATCGCATTCCTTGATTGCGGTCGTTATCAAGCTGACTAGATCTGTAGCCGGTCTGAACGTTGTTCGTATGAACTTCTCTCACGGCTCTTATGAGGTAGGTTTGCTTTGGTCGCAACCATTAAGCCGTTTCGTACCGGCGTGCTGACCCCGCTAAGTACCACCAATCCGTCATCGACAACGCCCGTGAGGCCGCCAGAACCCAGACCGGCCGTCCTCTCGCCATTGCTCTGGACACCGTAAGCTAAAGCTCCAATCATTTGGAATACCAATCTGACCCTTCTCAGAAAGGTCCCGAGATCCGTACCGGAAACACTCCCGGCGATGTGGATATCCCCATCAAGCAGGGCCACGAGCTCAACATCACCACTGACGAACAATATGCCACTGCCTCCGACGACAAGAACATGTAAGACCACTCCCGCTGCTTCCGTCCGTGCCATTGGAGCTATTTCTGCCACTGGATGGATCCCGCTGACCCGCCGTTGGTAGGTACCTGGACTACAAGAACATCACCAAGGTGATCTCGCCCGGCAAGCTCATCTATGTCGATGATGGTATCCTTTCCTTCGAGGTCCTGGAGGTCGTTGACGACAAGACCCTGCGTGTCAAGTGCTTGAACAACGGCAACATCTCTTCCCGAAAGGGTGTCAACTTGCCCGGCACTGACGTCGACCTTCCCGCTCTCTCCGAGAAGGACATTGCCGATCTCCGCTTTGGTGTCAAGAACGATGTTGACATGGTCTTCGCTTCTTTCATCCGTCGCGGCAGCGACATCCGCCACATCCGTGAGATTCTCGGCGAGGAGGGCAAGGAGATCCAGATCATTGCCAAGATCGAGAACCAACAGGGTGTCAACAACTTCGACGAGATTCTCGAGGAGACCGACGGTGTCATGGTCGCCCGTGGTGACCTTGGTATCGAGATCCCCGCCCCCAAGGTCTTCATCGCCCAGAAGATGATGATCGCCAAGTGTAACATCAAGGGTAAGCCCGTCATCTGTGCCACTCAGATGCTCGAGTCCATGACGTACAACCCTCGTCCCACTCGTGCCGAGGTGTCTGATGTTGCCAACGCCGTCCTGGATGGCGCCGACTGTGTCATGCTGTCGGGAGAGACCGCCAAGGGCTCTTACCCCGAGGAGGCCGTCAAGATGATGTCCGAGACCTGCCTGCTCGCCGAGGTTGCCATCCCCCACTTCAACGTGTTCGATGAGCTCCGCAACCTTGCTCCCCGCCCCACCGACACCGTTGAGTCCATTGCCATGGCTGCTGTTTCCGCCAGTCTGGAGCTCAACGCCGGTGCCATTGTTGTCTTGACCACCAGGTATGTCGATGCCGTGTCGTCCGATCGGATAACTTGCTGACGTGTTCCAGTGGTAAAACCGCTCGCCTCCTTTCCAAGTACCGCCCCGTCTGCCCCATTGTTATGGTTTCCCGTAACCCCAAGGCCACTCGGGTAAGTTGCGAGCGTCGTGTTATTGGCTTGACTCATGCTAACGAACTGTTCAGTACTCTCACCTGTACCGCGGTGTCTGGCCCTTCCTCTTCCCCGAGAAGAAGCCCGACTTCAACGTCAAGATCTGGCAGGAGGATGTTGACCGCCGTCTCAAGTGGGGTATCTCCCACGCTCTTAAGCTCGGCATCATCAACAAGGGCGACAACATCGTCTGTGTCCAGGGATGGCGCGGCGGTATGGGCCACACCAACACCGTCCGTGTGGTCCCTGCTGAGGAGAACCTCGGCCTGGCTGAGTAAATGCAATCCGGGATGCCACCGTGCGGTGGATGACGCGGTAACGACAGCGATTGGATAGAAGCGCCAAGGGGGTGTCTCTGGATATCGTAGACCGGTCTCGTCACGACGCGACGACCAGGGAGTCTGCACGCGAGCAGGCTGCTTGTGTCTTCACTGCGAGACTCGTTAGTCGGGGTAGGACGAGGAGCACCAGGAGTGCGCACTTGGGTCTACCACATCATTCTTTGACCCGGACGCGCTGGGGGCGGCACGCACCTTTGGAGACGTAATCTGTATTCATCTTGATTTGACGTTAGTTAGCCAGCCATATGGTGGACTTTGCTGCGATCAAAAGCTAGATTAATAAGTTATCCATTCATGGCTGAATGATAGATTTGCTGAGCAATGCTGGACATAATGCAAGTAATGCCCTGATGGATGTGAGTCGCAGACAATTCAGATAAAGTAGTGAGTGCTTCATCTCGTAAGTTCATTCAAGAATCAGGCGTTGCTCCTGTCAACAATCACAGACTGTCGTCTCATGAAAGAGAGAAGAGAAGACGAAAGACTGTCACCTCCCCCTTCCCGTCAGAAATGCGGGGAAAATCACTCAGCCCAGCAAGGGCGAGAGGGGTGGTGGGTGGACAAGAAAACCACTCAACCGAGGCAATTCAATTCACTCAGTCTCCCCTCAGTCATTCAGCCTGTAGTTAGTTGCTTGAATCCAGTTGCTAAATGAATCCATTAATCAAGATGCCCATGAATGAGTCACGTAGGTAAGGTAGCCAGTCAGTCAGTCAATCAGTCACGATCGCAATCCTCAACCAACCCGCATCCCCAAAACGCAAAAAGAGAGAGAGAACAGAATAAAGCAAGCGAAGCAAAACACGTCACAAAGAAGAAAAAAAAGAGATTAAGAAAGGGGAAAAGAGAAAGAGACGAAAATCGCGAAACTCCATCAGGTCGAGAACTAAGACCGCCAAAGGGCAAATCAGATTAAATCATTCCCGAGTGGTGAACCCGAAGCGTCCCGGGTTCAGCCGATGGGATGGATGTTGGTGGACTGGTGGTGGTGGTGGTGCCGGTGGGTTGTGGTCGGGAGGTCGGGGGACCGGAAGGGAAGGGTTACGTTTTACCGGGCCGGGTAAGCTCTCTCTCTCTCTTTCTCTGTCTTAGCTTCTCCTGTCGCTGTCTGTGGGTTGACTACGTTGGAGTGGGATTGGAGTATATATTGTTGTTTGATTTGATTAAATTTATTAAAGATTGAGGGTTGGTATTATGGTTAGGTAGGTAGACAGGCTAGTCTAGGGGTGTTCTCGTACAGTCATGAGGTGGAAGGAATGCTTGCTTGTAAAGAGAAAATGGCAAAGATGGTGGTGCGTAAAGCTGGATGGTTGCTGCATGTCGCTGGTGTAAGTGTAGCAATGAGTGAACGTTTAATACATCAGGTCGTGTCGTAAAGTCATATTCGTCATGAGGTCTATCGGTACAGAATAATCCGCGGCGGACCTGCTCAACTCGCCATCTCCTCAACATCACCGTCCGTGGTAGAGTAGGTATGGCTGGGGTAGTGTTCGACTGGGGCATATCGGTATACCTGGGGTTGTTGGAATTGTTGCCAGCAGCTGATGACGATATTAGCGGTGTAGAGAATGGGGGGGATGGAATAACTTACCTTGGGGCCTGGAGCACGTATCGGGCCATCGCCTCCCTGAATCGACTCTTGTACTCCTTCGGACTGGTGACGGTAGGTCGGTTCTTCCCACCGCCAGCGAATCCGCGATCTTTGATCCATGATTCCAATTTCTTGTCCCAGGTGTATGTGCGGATGCAGTCAATCACGCCGACCACCAGCTCCGATCGACTCTCGTCGATGGCGATCATAAGCGAGTAATCCATCACGTTCTGACGCCCTAGGAACAGAGTATCGTTCCAAACGCTTTGGCTCAGAAGCTTCTTCGAGTGCTCCCGGGCGAATAGCGGTGTCTCGTAGATAAAGTCCACCATATTTTCATCCAGGAGGACCTCGTTGCGTTCTCCGGTGCTCTGGACTTTACGGTTTCTCATGGAGCCCTTCAGGTCGAAGATCCGCGTGGGCACACGGTCATAGAACAAGTTCTCCATCAACAGAAGGAACCAGTTGAACTCCGTCCCCGTAGCTGGATTTTTGATGATCACCTGGTAGAAGCCGAACATCTTCGCGATCGCAGACGGTAGCTCGTGGAAGAGCGCCTCGGACATGATCTGGAAATACGCCGGAGCGAACTTCAAGAATGCCTGCGTTTCAATGGGTGAGAGAGATTTGAGAATGAAGCGATCATCGAGGGTTTTCAAGAACAAGGACTTGGTTTTGCCACCCTTTGAGTCCCATTTGGCGCAGCGAGACAGTGACTCTACAATCCGCTCCGCAACTCCACATTTCTTCCGCAGGGCGTCGAACTGCTCGGCATAGAAGATCTTGCAGAGCATCTTGGCCTGGCCTTCCTGGAATTGATACTTGAGGTGCGTGCCAGTAGACCTTAGAAGCGCGTGTTCAACGCGGGTTTCATCCAAACCATCCGTGCCATCTTCCAGGATTGTGCTTTTCTCGTCAGGCTCCTCGTATCGCCTTTGAATCGCCTCGAGCTTCTCCTTGTAATCGCTGGAGTCCAACGCGAACGCGACCAAGGAGCTTGGTTCATCCTCACGCACAATGATATCGCAATCTGCGAAGACATGGTCGGACATGGTGAGTGGGTAGTCCAGAGGTGCCCAGCCGCTGGCAGAACGCTCTGACCAGAAATTGGTTAGGAGCTTCAAGAGCGTGCTCCTTTCATGTTTAGGGAACTCCTTCAGGTCCATCGACTCATCCTCGGGCGACCCCTTTATCTCATCATTCGAATCGGTCCTTTGGAGCCCCTCACGATCTTCGTCACTGTGGCCATCGTCACCTTCAACTTCGGACAAGATATGTTCATCCTCCAGGTTAGTGTTTTCCTTGTCCTCCTTCGGTGCCGACGGCTCAGGAGAAATAACCTCTTTTCTATCCTCTTCCTCCGAGTCCCGCCTCAGTAGGTCTTCGCTGTTTCTGCTCGACTGATCCAGATGGATTTCGTGCGTCGCTGGAGGTATGAGATCTTCTCCCTCGCCCGAAGGCTCTCGTTCTTCGACCGCCTCCCTGACGTTCTTGTATACCTCCACGATGGGTTTCGAGGAGGCTATTGGGATCGCGCGAGAATGGGTGCCCTTAGCAGCCCGTCGTGCCCTCTCACGCTGGCGTTCTTTCTCAAACTCTCGGCTCAACTGCTCAAAGTGCTTGGCCAGATTAGATACGCGGGAGGAGTTCTTCCTGGTGGGGATCGAACGGGGTATGAGAGATGGAGTTGGAGTCATTCTTCCATTTCTAAAGGCGTGAAGGCCGAAGCGGTCGGAGATCTTCTTGTCCGATGACCGGAATTTAGCTTCCAGGGGAGGACTCGGAGCACCCTCGGACGGCGGCAATCTACCAAATGCGATCTTCATGCCCCTCACAGGAGTACCGTCATTGCCGAGAACAGGCTGGGTTTGAGAACGGAATAATGGTGGAGAAGTCGATTTCCCACCGCGCCGCATACTACCTTCGGCAAGTCGGGGGATAGCGGATGGCAAGCGACTTGGGGTGGTTCTTTCGACCTCATCACTTTTCTTCCTGGGAGAAATAGACGATTCCTCCGAAGGAGAAGCCTCCACCACATCAGGCTCAGGAGAAGTGACCATAGGTAGCGGGGACTCTGGAGTGTCTATTGTGCTTGTAGCAGGCGGGGTTAGTACAGGTTGTTCGGAGTGATTCAGAGGTGCTGCAAGATCAAGATGCTGCACGTCTTTCTCCGTCACCATCTCAGCTTGCGGGGGCGAGAACTGCGAGCTCCCCGAGCTAGAAGAGAGGGTTGCAGATTCCATATCATCGGGTTTGGTGGCCTCGTGACCCTGATTCGCAGCAGCGTTCTTCTTCCCCGAGTGCTCTTCAACAACTGATACGAGGACGTCCTGGGCCTTCTCCGGGGACAGAGTCATACGACGCGTCGGCCGCAATGGTTGTGACTCTTGGGCATCTTCATTATCACGATCCACTGGCGTGGTAGGGGGTTCTTCGGGAATCACCTCCTTGTCCAGGAAGATTTTTTTCAGCTGCAACGTGGCCAGTCGTCTGATATCCTTTTCTGAGGGGAAGAAATTCTTCTCAAATTCAGCAAAGGCAGTATCCCACTCGACAACTTTCTCCTGGACGGAGCGAAGCACTTCATTCAGAGGAATGACTTCCCAGTATCGAGAATTCGTGTATTTATCTTGCAACTGCTTCACCAAGACGACATGGTCCTCATTGGCCTTTTTGCTCAGGTGCTCTATTTGAGTTTTGCACTCTTCTGCCAGCTTCGGGATGACGGTCTCCACGCTGATTCCCTTGAGCCGTGCCTTAACAGAGACCATGAACCTGTTGATGCGATGTTCCACTCGCTGGTAGACTTCGTTCCTCAACTTCAAGTCATTGTCCACTTTCCATGTAACCCGAGTCCTGGGAACAATGATTTCGAGTAGATTGATGCTGTCGTAATGGATTCGTATGGCAACATCCTTGAAGCCGAAAAAGCGAAGGTGGTCACGCTGTAAGTCATGAGGGCAGACTCCCGCCCGAGCGTGCAGGTTTTTGCTCCAGAACGAGAGTTCCAAGTATTTGCCGAATGAATATTTCCAAGTGCTCTCGGACATCGGGAAGACCTGTGTCTCATTGCCGCAGACCTTGCAACAGCTCCACATCAAGATTGTATCTTGGAGACCTCGAAGTTTAGAGGGATAGGGCTGGGTGAAAACGCTTATCTGGGCTTCACCATGCACATATTGACGGTGATGCTCAAACATCCGCTTCTCGCAGCCATTCGCTGTGCACACTGCATTTGCGTGTAAACAGACATCCTCGACATACTGGCCGAGGGTACAATCTGGCTCAAATATCGAGTCTCCGCCATGCTCGTTGTAGTACTCGAGGGCCAGAAGATCTGGGCCAGAGCAGGGAATCGATGATGTCGTGCAGACTAGACTGAAGAGAACGACAATGTTCTGGTGGGCGTACGGATCGAAGAGACCGACGCTTCCGGCAACATAAGCTTCCCACTGCCGCTTCTGTGTTTGATAATGATGGAGAGCTCTATCATATTCGGCATCATGGGCTGCGCGCAAGACTTCTTTAACCTTAGGCGGAGCACCTTGAGGGGCCTCATGGACCATTTCTGGAGTGACCAGTATGAACTTCTGAGACTTGGCCTTCTCATCCGAGGTCTGGTCAAGGTCGAGGTCTTTGTCACGGAGACGCTTGAGGTAAGCCAATCTGCGTTCCATTTCTCTAGCACGCATAAGCAGGTAGGGCGGCTCGAACTTGACAAATGGAGACGCAGACAGAACCTTGGTTTCATGGTCCCGAACGATATCTTCGTAATATGTTGGCATGGGGACATCATCAGGCACCTCGCCAGCAGGGTCTGTTCCTGCGACCGAGTCTTTTATGGGGGCGCTGCTCATCTTCTCGTTGGAACTAGGCTCTGCATCGGACTTCTGTTCCGTCTCGACTTCGGAGAAGGTTGGCATCTGCGCGAATTCGTCTCGCATCAGACAGGTCTCCAGTTTGAGATTGTAAACCACGTAGGCCATGAATTCAGTGATTCTCTTGACCTTTGCAAGTACGTTGCTATCACCGCCGCGCAAAACAATCGTACAACCCAGTTCTTTGCGACAGCCAGATAAGTACATGTATGTTTTCTTTCGACCGTTGTAAACATATGTCTTGACATCGAAGCTGCCGCAGTCACTATGCACTGGGGTGGTCACCAGTTTATCCATGGACGTGATGATTCTTGTCTGAGTGCATCGGGAAACGGCTTCAAGAACCGACGACTTGACATTGTAGGCAGTCGCAATGTTGGCCTTTTCTAACAGTTCCAGGGCCAAGCCGGACACATTCTTTTCCACGAGCAGCAAGTTGGGCCGTAGAGCAGCTATTCTGCTCACTAGGTTTTCAAGGAACTCGCGCTCCTGACGAATGACGGGTGCCAGGCTCATAAAGTGTTGCTGATGTCGCGCATATTCAAGGGGGAATGCGATTATCAAGATCTTGGGTTGCGGAATGCTCCTTGGCATACTTTTGAGAGCAAGGTTCTTCGTGAATACTAATCCTGAAACGTAGGAGGTATCTCCTGGACGGCCGCCTAGGATCTTTTTTAGCTTAATGTAATGCCGGATATCCATATCATCGCCCCTCTGCACGTCTGGTACAACCTCATCCGCCGCCTTCAAGAGAATTGGAAGCAGTGCTGTCTCCCATTTCAGGGCATTTGGCACGGACGCATCCCTTAGGAGCTGCCGTAGGAGTTTGCGAACGTGCTGTAGGCTCGCTTTATTTAGCTCAACCGGAGGTGCGCCTGCGCCTCTCATCGATGAGCTCCTCGTCATCTTGAATCCGCTTGTAGAGACCCCAGTGGGGAAGACATGGACGGCGGTCGATGGCTCGTGGGGGTTAAACACGCTATCTTTCGATGCTCTCGGAGAGTGGCGTTGATGGACACTACTTGCAACACTAAGGTTGCGTCGGCGGGAAGGACGAGGTAAATTTACCGCTCTCGAGCTGCTAACGCTACCATCATCGGGGTTCAGGCCTGCAACACTTCGGTCCCCAAATGCGGACCGGCCCTTCTTCATGGCCGCTAGAAGTCCACTGAATGTGGTTCGCTCGCTTTCTCCACCGCTTTTAGACAACGACCCTTCCGACACAGCAGACATGAGATTTGGCTGTTCCTCGCCACTGGAAGCGTCATCCGACAGGTACTGTGCCAGATCTGGGTCAATGATATTATCTTTATGAAATGCAGGCAGCCTGGACTCGTGGCTAGCGTCATCTGCCTGGCGCCGCTGGAAAGGTGCTCGGTCATCGTGGTAAGGTTTGAAGTTGCGGATGTACTGCTGCCGAGAATGATGGCGCTTGTGGCCCATGGAGTAAGGCCTCCCACTCAATGTCGACTTCAAGGACCTTGAGGAAGTCGGCCGTGCCAGTGGCCTATCCGGACTGATTTCCAACACAGCCGAGCGGCGGTTGTGGCCTTCCCCTGCGCGTCTCGTTGCAGGAATGGCCATCGTAGGTGTCTTCATCACATGCTCTATGGATTGCGATACCACCGATGATGTATCATCTTCTTCGGAGGGGATACGTGGATAGAAGCCTGCGCCGAACTCGGACATGCGAGGATTCACCGGTATGGGGCTCTGTTCGCTATCCGAAAATTCGGAAGAGTCGTCATCATGACCATTGATCATAGCCTCACAAGGTTTGCACACACGTATGGTACCCGGTTGACCAAAGCGGTCTCCCGGGATCAAGAGCGTGCATTTGGAATCGAAAATCTGTCCGCAAGTCCGGCAATGGTGTTTTCGTCGAAACGTGGAGAACGGTTCTCCGCAGTGGAAACAGTCCTTGGCATTTTCGTCTCGCATCCAAAACTCCTTGCTGAGTAGCTTGCTCCTGAGTTGCGACATGACACCTTCACCACTAGCATGCGGGCGCCAACCTCGTCCGTCTGTGCCGGAAACGCGGTCCACAGCTGTGTTCAATGGTGTCAAAGCCGGCGGGCCTGATACTGAGTCCGCTGTGGAGGCTTGGGACGTCACATAGCCCGGCAGACGGCTGGAGCTCGAGATAGATGGTCTGTCGGACTTATGTTTCGCGGAAGCCTTTGATAATTCCTTCAACTGAGCCTCGCCATCGGGTAGCGGTATAGGCGTACCCACTGCAGACGGCACCTGTGCTTCAATAAATGGAGCTCCCTCGCTGGGATACTGAGTAACGCTATTCGCCCTGGACCCGGAGGCAGCCCTGTCCAGGTTGAAAGAGGCTCCTGAATTCGACCGTAGTCTTTCCGGAAGAAATGACGCGCCATCTTGGCCTGCATCAATAGATCGTTTGGCCTTCCGCAGCGGACCAGGCAAATTAGCCTCTATCTCATGGATCCCTTGCGAATCTGACCTTCTGAAACTATCAGGTACCTGACTGCCCACTGTGGATGATCTGCTAAGATCCTGAATTCCTGGGTTTTCGTAGGCACTGTTAAGTGTTTTGACCTGCAAGATTGGAGAGTTTGAAAGCCGTTGGCTCCAACCCGAGGAGGACAGTGATGCCGGATGAGGACCCTCTTCTCTGTCCGTACCAGTGGAATCCACAGTGTGTAGGCTGTTGGAGGACAGATTGAAAGAATTATTTCCCGAAGCATGAGTAGCATTCACGTGGAGTTCGGTTACCGTGGGGTCCACGGCTGTTGAGCTCCCCGTGGCTTTCGGCAAGGGTGGCACAGGTGATTTCAGCGCAGGTGACGGTAGAATCATCGTCTTAGAGGATGTACTCGCCGGTTTGGAGGCATGTTTGGAGTTCTTCCCCGGTCCAGCAACATGAGGCCCCTCATGGATGGACTGTTGGCTCCCAGGCGCTGGTGAGTGCAGCCTGGATCCCTGGGATGAGCTCACATGATACAGCTGAGACTCTGATATCGAATCAGGCGCAGGCTTGGTCGACGAGCGCTCTGACGGGGGACTTTTCACGCCGCTGTCTTCAGCAGGAGTCTTATCAGAAGACTTCCCAACCCCGCTCACGATCCCACCCACTGAGGTCCTAAAACGACTATATAGCCCGCTCAGTCCACCTTGCAGCTCGCCAGAGAAGGTCTTTTCGTCTGTTGCGGACGTCGGGGCAGGCGGGCTCGTGAAATCGTTGAAAACGGTCAAGGAGTCCGACTGATAGGCTGCGGTATGGATTTGGTCAAGGGCTGCATGTAGACTTTCACGTTCGGCTTGGGTCGATACAGACGCTCGAGAACCGCGGCGACCGAGTGGGAGGAAGACCGACGACGCGGAGGGGCTTGATGTCCCTTGGGATCGTTGGGAAGCCATACAGGCTCCGTCGTACCCAGAGACGGATAAATGAAACGAAGGTATCCCCGCGGAGTCTTATCGAGCGTTAATCAGAGGGGCTTAGCACGAGCAAGGGGTAGCAAGCATTTGCGGTATCTTGCTGCGGAGAAGCTTCCGTTGCTCGGTGATCGGAGTCTGTGCGGTGAGTATCCATGCATCAGGAGATCGACTCCACATTCTCTGGAGGCGTTCAGATGGGAGATTATTAGTCAGTCGGGGGCAGCGAAGGGACAGGAAAAGACAACCTTTGTCTCCGAGGGGTGAGAGGAGCAAAGCGGGGGAATGATGCTGGATGAGACAACGTGCCTTGTCTAGACCTCGTCGATTACCACCAGCAGCGACTCGGCCGCTGCCCATGACATGTGCCGCTGCCCAATGACGTGGCCGCGGCGATGCCCGCCTTGTGGCTGGGTCAGTGCCTGCGCCACATCAAAGGCGGTCAGGCGCGTCGCGTCTGCCAGGAACAATAATTATCACCGGCTCGTAGCTCCGGCTTCACCGTGGGCTGGGTGCAGCATTCAATGAACATGCGACAATCATGAATATTCCTACCTATCTCAGAGCACTGCTAATGGAGTAAAAGCGGAGGGCTCCGTATTTACGTACACTGACCAAACCCTCATATCCGTTAAATCCATCCTCAGACTATGGGGCGCTCTACCAAAGCACTCACCTTTCTTGGCCTGTTTCTAGATCCTCATGATGAGCTCCACAGAGATCTGGATCACATCCGTACTTGAGAGGTGTCTCACTGCCTACGGTCGAGGCCCGGCTGACACATACGAGTGTGAAGATGACGGTAACAGCCTTCGTTTCTCCGCCCCTGCTCAGTACTCGGCTCTGATATACAACGTAAGCTCTCGTCTTCCTGGTACCCCAAGGCCGTTATACTAATCATGTCTTCCGAGTAGTGGACGGAACAGGCAAAAACGCCCACCCTGACCCTGACCGATTCGACAACACAAATCGAGGCGGTTCTGGCACCAGAGGCGTTAAAGGAATACGGGAAAACCTCCCCGGAACATCCCTTGAGCAGGGATGTGGCTCGGGGGTACTACATTCAACTGCTGGAGTTTCAGATAGTTCTGGAGTATTTCACGGTTGAGCCGAAAGTCCACCTCTACGTCCAAAGCTTTGACATTGACTGGCACCGGGGCAAGATCAAGTCGGCCCCACAGGGCAAGTTTGTTAATAAAAACGCTTCTGTCAAGAAGTTGATGCAGCATGCCTTCAGGCAAGCCAAAGGCCCTGAACCGCGGGAGGTACATAGTGAGCGATTCGATGACACTTTCGGGTCACAGGCCTACCAGGGCCCTGCCTCGCAGGACATTCTTATGTCTCAAATACCTTCCATTATCCCTGCTAGAAGCCCAGTCGCCCATCGTTCATCAATCAGCAGTTCTATAATTACAAATAAGTTGCTGGGTAACCCCGGACTGCAATCTGCGACATCGGATGGTCGGTCCCCGCAGCAGATGAAATGGACTGTTCCCGAATTCAGTAATGACAAGGTGCACACACTACTAGGGACGAAGGCTGCAGAGCAGCTTCGAAGTAGGCAAGACAGTGATGAGATGACCAAAGCACCCGATCCCATTACTGGTCGGCGAAATTCGTCAGCCACTAGTCCCGGGACGCATGGAAATTCTAGGGAGACGGGCAAACCAGAGGCACTTGTTCAACGGCCGAGCACTGAGCGCGAAGTGCTAGCTGACGGAGCCGTTCATAAAGCGTCTTGTGCGGCAGAAATGTCACATCACGTAACCACAGAATCTGGGACAACATCTTCCCCCTCTCAGGAAATAAACTCTGATAAGCCATCATTTGGGGTGACCAAATCCCGGGGGAATCCGTGTGCCAGCAATACTGACCCTTGGCATGGCATGACAAGAATTCGACGCAGGGATGTCCAGATCCCAAAGGAGCAAGCTGAATTGCTAGAACAGCATAGGCGCCGCTGGATACCACCCTCTCCGGGAGAGAGCACTCCGCAAGGACATGTGCCGCCCCGGCTCCTTGATCAATGGAATAAAATCGCGCTGCGAAGGAGCCACATGGCCAGAGACCAGCAATCTATGGACGTGGGATCTGAACCACTTGAGACTCACGAGCCTCTGCCTAGTCGCCCTAGCCCTACACCTCAAATGGATTCGGATTCAGACGGCGAGCCCTTGACGTCACAATGGTCAAGTTCACCAGAAAAAGCGCCTCGTTCACGTCAAGTCTTGCCAGAAGATAGTAGTCCAGTACGTGGTAGGGCCCTTCGAAAGGAAGAGCCACTTGACGGAAAGCAAAAACAGCCGCCGGGGAGAGCTAGCGTGAACCCTACCTATGGCAACCAAGTTGGACCGCATTCGATTTCCATGGACCGAGAGGCTTCCAGGGGTGCAGCCTCCAGCAGGAAGAATCGGTTGCTAAACAAAGATGATGTCTCTCAATTGGAAGACAAACCCAATATTTACGGCCTTCAGGACGAATCCGATGCTGAAAGCGACGACTCGGTGATGGACACGTCTGTCCCGTGTCCACTTGGAGGTGACATACAGCAAAGCCAGGTCACCAGCCATTCGGAACAGGCAATCACGAGCTCTGGCCTGTCGCTTTCTGGGGCTTCTGTCCACGGACATGTACAGGTAGTGGACACGCCAGACACCAATCGTCATCGTTCAACAGATCTTGCTGCTGAAGTTCCTGAATTGCAAGCCCGTCATTCTGAGCTGTCATCTGAGGCAGCTAAGTGGTCATCTCAGTCACGAATCCAAAACACATATGTCAGTAGTGGTTCTAAAGGCAACTCATCGCAGGATAAGCCCGATACGCATCGAGCAGATGGGAGGGCAGTTCCTCATGACATCAATATGAATGGTACTCAAGTCATCAGCGGCAGCTTGCCCACGAATGGTTCCACGGAACGTACGACATCCGATGTGTCAATGGATTCTTCTGCTCCACGAGTTCAGCCCGGCGTTTCCAACAATGTGCCGGAACATCAATCACAAGCGTCGAATCAGTCTTCTTCATACCGAGAAATACCTTCGTCGATACCATCAGAGACCGGAGAGGAGGCACCGACGGATATGGAGACGCGGAAGATGTCAGCCAAACATGCTGCAATTCCGCCCACCAAACGCCGGGCTTCCGAGATGGAGCATGAGCAGCTGTCCCCCGCAAAACGACCTAAAATCCAGCGAAATCGAGAATCAACCGAGGAACCAGTGTTGAATGTAGTGGTTCGTCGAGAGAGCTACATCAGTCACTCCGCCCAAAAATGGGAAGCGCAAAGGGTCTATGAGAAGTTTCGACGAGACTATCCCAACTACTTGGGGGACTTTGACCACTTTGTCATGGTTTGCTCGAAGCTCTACGCCGTTCGCTCCAGGGGCCGCCTACAGCGATCTTTCCTGTGGGATGACTTTATAATCAAGCACCTTGAGGAATACTCACTCTATCTTGAGCAGTGTCTTTCGGCTGATACTAAGTCTCTGGTATATGAAGAATTCTTCTCGGCAACTTGCATTAAACCTTCTTACAAGAAACGGAGCCTCACCGCACATGGAATCGATATCAGCGCGGCGCAGTACGTCCCCGACAATCAGGCCAATGCGCCTAGTATGGATGCTTTGCCTAACAAGCCAAGTACCTCCTTCACGGGGAGTTTGATCGAGCGATTCACTAACTTCCACGCACATTCGTTCACCGGGACCCAGGACACTCAGTCCGATGCAGATATGGAATACATGTCATGCTTTATGTCGTCCCCCACAGTCCAGACAAAGGCCAGGCGTGCCATCAATGAACCTGGAAGTCTCACGGTAATGGCAGGGAAACCTATGGATGTGGACTCGACACCGGAACAATCCGCAGGGCATGAGACTGAGCCTGCGTCGGATGGCCAAACAGCTGTACAACACACAACGGTTGATTCCGAGCAACCATCGCAATTTTCCGCCTCCCAGAGCGAGCTTTATTACGAACTTGCAGACCCAGCTGCGGATGAAGACTCCCCATCGGTACAATTAGAGCAGCACCTTAAGTCTACCGTGGAAGAAAGCGAGTTTGACCTTCGTAAGAAAGGATCAAGTATGGATCAATCTTTTGCAATGATAGTGGAACAACCACTCAGCCCCGATCCTGTGCAAAGCGAAGTTGATCACATAGAGAGTTCTCCAGCTGCGCACGACCACTCTCAAGCGGAAGATCTAGACTCTTATGTCCAAAGTCAGGTGGAGGAGGATTATACCATGCGCGAGCAACCCATGGTCGACCTGGACTCTAGTATCCCGGAGAGCCTCACCGAAAACCGATTCCTGGGTCTGCATGATCAATCTAGGGATATAGACTTGGGCTCCAGTATACCCGAGAGTGAAGCCGGAGGAACAAACCCAGCAATGATCGAACAAGTCGAAGCTCTAGAACCTGGACAACCCTCGGAATCTATGATCATACGGGATTCGACCGAATCCGACCTCGAGACAGCATTCAGCCCCGAAAACAAGTCCACGGCGCCAGAACCACACCACCCAGTCTCCTTTCCCCCCGATAGCGAGGCCGGGTTTGACCCCGAGGACGAAGACGAAGACGAAGACATGAATGACGAAACGCACGAAACAGCCAGCATCGAGCTCGGCGAAGACACGCAACCCGCGGACGCTCAATTGGCGTCGGACACCGACTCCGATGCCGAAAGCGGCAACGAGAACTGGTTCCTGTCCTTGCGACACATCCGTCCCACGAGCCCTGTCTGGTCCGATGACCCTAACACGCCCTTTAAACAATGGGCCCGAGCAGACCAGAACGTACTCTCGGAACGCAACCGACGAGGCGGCGCATATCTGCCTGTCGATGAGAAGGGCGTGATCCAGCGTCCTGGGTATCGGCAATGATTGCAGACGTCTGTCTCATTTACTGCCTACATTCATATCTGGAGTGATTTCTACCTTCTTCGTCTGTTTTATTATTGTTACCATCATTTTCCTATCTATTGAATCGGAACATACTCAACGGATATACGGTTATGCGCATGATGATATCCCAGTCGGTTTTCTTTGCTTTTATTCCTAGGTGTGGCTATCATGACGGGACTGTATTATCTCAAAATCAAAAGGACATGAGAATGTAATGGATGAGATTTTAGGTAGATTTTCATCGTAACCCGTATTCGATAATTACCGTTTCTCTAGGACCTCAAGCCTACTTATGTAAGTTTGACTATGCAACAAGATAATACTATGCAATTACGAAGGACAGAAATATTGGAATAAATAGATAAATTTGATTTCAGTCGCATACAATGCAACTAGCATTAAGTCATCATGCCAAGAGTTCCAGTCCCAGTTCTGAGTCCCATAATCTATTCCAACCCTCCATACTCGGGGTATCACGGGTATGTACTAGTAAGTACTAAGCTTCCTGCCTTTTCCTGGCTAGCTAAGAACAATGAAAGAAGAAAAAAATGTAAAAGAAAATATCGTCATAAGGGTGTCATTAGTTCCAAGCAACTCCACCTAGAACGCCAGTGTGAGTCGTGGATATTGGTTCCCGTTTGTTTTGGGGGTATTTTTTAATGTTTGTGGTTGTGGTTGTGGTGGTTTAGACGTGACGGAACGGCTCATAGGCGTTCGTCCTCGTGTTGGCCTGGTTCTGGTGGGTAGGGGGCGGAGGAGGGTACGAGGTGTTGGTGTAGGGAGTCTGTTGAGGCTGGCCGTAGGGACCCAGGGCCTCGTAGGTGTAGGGAGTCTTCTCGGCCATGACGCCACGGGTGTTGTTACGGTTGCGGTGGTTGTAGGGAGAGCGACCGGAGCAGCAGCAGGAGCTGAGGACCCAGAAGAGACTGGCTCCCAGGGAGAAGGCGACGGCGAGCCAGGTGGCGACGTAGATGTTCTTGCCCATGGAGCCTTTGATGCCGTATTGCTCGAGATCGGCTTTGAAGACGCCCTTGAGGACGACGAACATGGCGGTGGAAGTGATGGAGGCGGCGGTGGTGAAGAAGAAGGCGACCTGGAGTTGTTAGTTGGGTTGAATGAGTGGGTGGGGGAAGTAGAACGTACAGCAGACACCAAGCTCGTCACGCAGCTACCCCAGCGGCTGCAGATGGCGAAAACTCCGACCACTAGCTCGGCGATGGTGGCAGCGAAGGCGATGATGTAGGCGATGAACATCCATCGGGAGACGGAGTGGTAGGTGTTGAGGGCCTTTCTCACTTTGCTGGAAAGGGCATTTTCCAGACCCGTGTCTTCCAGGTTCCACACATCGAGAGGGTTGAACCAGAATTCGGCCTCGGGCTTGGAGCAGTTGGTGGTGTGGTAGGTGCTGCTGTTGGTGATGTTGCCTTCGCAGTAGCCCCAGAGACCGATGGTGTAGAAGTCGGCGATGTTGTATTCCTTCTCGATTTCCTCCAGCGCGGCGGAGAGATCGCCATCCGACACACCGGTGATGTCGTCGACGACCGATTGTACCGTTGAAACTGTGGACGAGGCTTTGGAGGTGATGTTATCGAGGTTGGCCTGGCGGAGTTAGTCAGACTCAGATGAGTGGGGTTCGCAGATAAGACATACTCTGAAGAAGTAGAGATCATTTAGCGTGTCTGAGCTGGATTTGGTGCAGCCCAGGCCCACCATGATGATGCATATTAAGGATGCGATGGTGAGGACATATGGAGTGAAGATGCAGACAATGCGACCGCCTTTACCCATGGTGACGGTGGAGATGACGTCGGTGGTTCCTTGCTTATCGTGAGTATCAGTATCGGGTATTGAATATCGAGAATCCGCTCGTGGAGATGAGAATGCGATTGATGGCGAGGTTTGAGAATGATGAGAAAAGCGATGGAAGAAGGCTGGGAGGATGGTTTTATAAAAACGAGCTGATGATCAACAATGGGGAATCCCGTCAGTGGGAGGCTTTGGGGGCGCAGTCAGCAAGTCCACTTCAAGGTTTGCTGTTTTCCCGGCTGGGGTCGATCAGCGGACCAATCACACGGCCGGGATGGGACTACGCCACGCTTGTTTCTATAATAAATCGGCCGGGTTTCCACCGCAACCCAAGGATGGACTGCGCAAGTCCCAGCACGGTTGATGGTGGGCCAGGGCAGGGCCTCCTTCAGCCTAACTTAGATAAGGGTTCTGGACGAGAAATTCTGGTCATCGGTATGGGACGGTACGGGGCTAGCTGAATCAGGGCAAGTGCCCCTCGTGGCGGAGACTCACCAGCCCTACCGCCACGTCAGGCGTGGCTGGGGAATACGCGGCCTCATACTAATACTCGATACCATCGTATTAACGGTCTCATCAACGCTACTGGACAGTAAGGGAGTGTTTTGAAGAACACGGACTTATCGATAGGACAGACTCAGTATTCTGTCCTCTGTACACAGTAGTCACAGTAGTGCTCAGCTGCATCCTGACAGCGTCTATCTGATACATGCGGACGGGACGCAAAGGAGGATCGTCGATATATTTGCTGCTGATCTCGGATCCAGCGACGAGGGCGTCTCACCGTCAGCCCACAACCACGGCTCTCGCTGGCTAGGCTTCATCATTCCGAGCTTGGCACTACGCGGTCGTCTTGGCTGACGGGCCAGTCTGACTTTGCAACTGCTGCATGCACGACATTCAGCAGAACTCTGAAGTCTTCTTGCGTGGTTTCCGTCGCCGTCCATGGATCCCTCAGGAACGATCCGAAGTCAGCATCTCACCGAGTCAACATTTACCGGTAACATCAATTTTCATCTAAAGAAGCAATGATAGTGCCGGGATTGAGCAACTCCGATCGACGACTATTGATTTAACGGCTTACGTCGAAGGCTTGGCGATGCCGCTCTCCATTCAATTCCGGCCATCCAATATCCATGCATCCCGCACCATATTCATCAGCTGCAGCTCTCATCTGGGGTTCAATAGGACACTGGTCGACTGAATCGATTTATCTGGTGAAGCTTATGTATGCGACGAAGCAGTGGGTCTAGCTCAGCCACATTGGAATAAAGAGGCTGCCTAGTGATCCATCGAGGCATCTGCATCACAGGCAACACTCAACAAATTGCACGTTGATGGGTCTAAAAAGCAATTTCGTGACGTCAGGCAATCTGCACTACCCTACTGTACTACCATCCTGATAAGAAACTCCGTATAGTTCTCCGACGCACGGCTCTCCGACCCGTCTACAGATACGGTTCCAAAATATCCAACATGCCCGTGTACGCCGTTCCATCCGGGGGCTCCATGCTGAAGATGTAATCTCCCCACCAGGGTCCGGCCGCCCACCACACTGCACCCTTCCACACGTCCGTGTTGTTGGCCATGTACTCCAGCATCCCGGACACGGCCGTCCGACACACATCATTGTCTCCCCCGGCATACTCGCCCAGAATGCCGACCTTGTTATTGTCCTTGAGCCACTGCGTGGCATCGGTGACCCGCTCCACCCCGATCGTCCCGGACACGCAGGTCTCCGAGGTCCCGGAACCGTCGGAGTCGAGATACTGGTGCATCTCATAGACGATTTTGTCTTCCGGATCGGTCAGGTTCTTCATGTTATCGTTGACGTCAACCCAGGTCCAGGCACCGGTCCAGGAATTGCCTTCGACGAAGATGTACTGGGTGGTGGCACCGGCGGCGCGGATGCCGTTGATGGCTGCTTGGTTGAGCTCCAGCACCAGGTCTTGATCCATGCTGTTGTACTCGTTGTCTACATTGTTAGCCTTGCGCTGAACAAATGTGGGGCACCTACTGGTATCGAAGATGGCCAAGTCGTTATCTTTGAACTGTCCGGCAAGGTTCTCCCAGAAGGTTTGGAAATCCGACGTGCTGGAAATGATCTCGCCGTTGCTGGGGTTGTTAGCTCAGCCTAACGCTAGGTGGCGTACTCACTATCGGCCATAATTGTGAGGGTCGATGATAGCATGGACGCCTGCATCCGTGACCGCATTCACCACCTAAGCCGTCAGCATTGCACCAGACAATAGCCAACACAATCTCACCGTCGTCAAATTGGTCAGATATTCCTCATCATAAGACCCGGTCATGGAGTCGGGCACCAATCGCTCCATCATGAACTGGACACGGAAGATGCTCATCCCTTTGTCAATTAAAGTAGCGATAGTCGAGGGGTCAGGAAAGATATAGTCGGTGCCCTACGACGTCAGCATACCTTCTTCTTCTCAGTCAACGGAAACATACATAGACGCCCGGGATATTAGTCCCAAACTCAGCTCCCGACTCATTCGATCCGAACCCTATCACATCAGCATATGCAGCACACACTAACAAGAAACACACATTCAAAAACCGACGCCCTCTTATGTCCCCGCTGGGGAGCCGCCAACGCGGCCGCCGCAAAAAGCAGAGTATATAACTTCATTGCAGACTTTGCCTGGTATCTCAACATCCACCACCATCACGTTGCAAACCACCTCATTTATACCCACCCAACCCGCACACCTTCCCCATTCAAAACGGACAAACCCACGAGCCAAATCCCTCCGTCGACATCATACCTCCACCCCTCTATGACTGAAACATCCAACGTACGGAGTAGAGAATCAGGCATTTCGGGCCGTGGATGTGCAGATCTTCAGCATCTGCAGAATCATCCACGCTGACAGGATGGATAAATGGGATTGATATCGGGGGAGGGGATCTATTCTGCATGCATGGTTCGGTCATGGATCCGCCTTGGCAGGTCCGGTGCATGAAACGCGGGAATGGTGTCCGTGACGAGGGGGGAAGGATTTGCATCGTCACAATTTTCTGTGGAGGATGTGTACTAAGTGATGATTATTCTATATGGTAAGTTCTGCGAAGTAGATTTGACTGATATCATTGATTTCATCCTATAGCATAATCCAACTCTCCGATCCGTCCTACCCTATATAACCGCCATATCAAGGCCCAACCTACACAGCTAACCACTCATCTCTAAACTCCCCAACTCTCCCCCTCCTCCCCCTCAATCTAACCCCCACCCTCCCCCTAACAAGAAAGAGAAAGAAAGAGAAGATTACCACCCCCCCAACCCGCCCAAAAACCCCTTCATATCCTCCGCCTGCAAAGCATGATACTTCAACCCGGGGTGATAATTATTCCACCACACACACGACGTCCCATCATCATTAATGCACGTCGCATCCGGGAACCCATACGCCGTCGGATCATCCAGGATTTTACTCATGAACGACCAGCTGTCGTAGAGGACGGTCGTTACCTGCCATACCATCATCCCATCATTAGCGCCTCCACCCCAACCCCAAAACGAAAAAGGATATAGAGAAAAAAAAAAAGAAGGAACTTACATCCCCCTTTTCTACCCCCCACTCCTCCACCTTCTCCTTCAAATTCCGATTATATACCGCTAGATAGCTCTTCACCGCCGCGGTCGTCTCATTCCCCTGATCGATGAAAAACGGGGTCCGATCGGTCGGGGGAACATTCAAAAAGAGAAACTTCCGACCCCCGTTCTCGTAGATCTCCTCCACGAGGGAGAGGAGTCGGTTGATGAGTTTGGGGGTGAATGTTTCGGCGTCGGTGTTGTAGAATGCGTTGCCGATGCTATTTTCCATCCCCTTTTCTTAGTATTGTAATTTGGTTTGGGGGGGGAGGTGTGAAGGAAAAGGATAGGTTAGAAGGTGGGAGAGGAAGGGGTACTCATTAATCCCAATCCAGACCCCAAAGACGGCATTCTGGGGTGTCCACGGCGCGGAGGCAGGTTTGGTACTGTAGACGTCTTCGAAGAGTTTCACTTGGGAGCGGACGTCGCCGGCGTAGGCGGAGACGAGGGAATTGTCGATGGTGGCGCCGCCGACGGCGAGGTTGTAGGAGAGGACCAGGGAGGTGTTTTCGGTTGTGGTGAGGTAGCCGATCCAGTTGGGGCCGTTGGTTGTGGTTCCGGTTCCTGTTTTTTATTTTCTTATTAGGTATTGTTTGGGGGTTGGGGGGGTGAGGATGGGGGGGTGAGGATGGGGGGGGAACCTAGGTCGGGGTTGCCCATGGGGTTGGAAGCAGAGGGTTGGGTGCCGCTCGTGCTGAAGCCGGTTTGGGAGTAGGAGTCTCCGCTGGGTTTTGGTCAGTACTGAGTGGGTGTGGGGTGGGTATAGGTAGGGTAGGTACAAGGTGAAGAAGTAGGTGGCATCGGTGGTGTTGGCTGCGCGGGTCCAGGGTCGGGCTGCCACGGTGGAGAGACTGGCGAGGAGCCAGGGTTGGATCTTCATGCTGAATACTAGATAGTAGAGCGGGAGACTAGAATGGAAGAATGGGAGTGTAGTCTTGGCTGACTGAGTTGTAGATCTTCATGACATTCATATATATGCCCGTTTCCGGGAGGGGAACTCCGAATCAGGGTTGGGATAGCTGCATGCATGTTTGCTGGCAGCAGCAGCAGCATCCTGCACTGCGGTTGATGGGATCAGATTTCCCGAGTGCTGGCTTGCGGGGTAGAGCCCGATTGTCAATCGCTGCACTGAATCACTACACTGCATACGAAACTAGACCGTTTTGGCTACGGATGAGATGCAGTGTCCGGGCTGGGATCCGGAAAGGCCGGAATGTGACAGCTATTCTATGTTCTATGGATCAATACGTCGCTTCGTTACTCGGCGGACTATAGTCGAACACTCAACATCTCCATGCCAGCGCCGCAGACAATCAGCTTGCTTCCTGACTCATCGTGGAGAGTGTCCAACGAGGAAATGTCCGCCACTGAGCTGTACCGCTCGGCGGCCTTGCTGATCTGGATCCGGTCCGGCCCGTTCTGCCTCGCGTCGATGTCGATCCACCAAATCTTGACCTGGTGATCGTTCCCGGATGAAGCAACGGCGAACCGCGCCGTCCCTTCGCTCGGGTTCTGGCTCTGGGTGAGGATCTTGGTGGCGGCGATGCAGGCGGCGTGGGCATCGGGGACCGCGATCGTGCATGCGCCGGCTGCATTTTCAACGCTCGTGTCTAGCAGAGTGACTGTCATCGCATTGTCATCACCACCGGCAACAATCAAGGAGAGGGTGTCTGAGAGATCGGCCAGCTCCAGGCATTTGATGCTGTTCCAGTGGATCTGGTAGCGGTTCTCGCAGGAAATGTTCGCTGGGGTGATGGAGACTCCCTCAACGGGTTGCTTCAGACGCAGGGGTGACATCGTATAGAATGGCTCCAGGACGGTTGTCAAGTCCCAGAGTGTAAAGTAGCCATCGGTGGAAGAGGTGATCAGACTCAGTGAAGAGCCCTTGACCATAAAGCGTGCTTGCGTCAGGCAGTTGCTCATGTAAGTGCCATTCGCCAGCAGCGTGAACCTGCCTCCTTGGGCTGATGAGGAATAATGGAAGATCTGCCTAATTAGCGTGCATCAAGAACAGCGGGACTGGCTTACCTTGATGGTGGAATTCGAGTAGGTCAAACAGAGTAGGAATGCAGCCTCGACTTGCTCGTCCTCTACATCCAGCACATCAAAGCTGGTCACCCGAAGATCGGAATTGGGATCGCTCTTAGGGCACGTTGCATCCAAGATCGTCCCAAGCCCGAACCGAGGGATCGAATGTGTCCGCCAAACCAAGAACTGCTCGTACCCACCACTGGTGAAGAGAAACTTTCCATCCTTGGACCATCCTACACTCTGCAGGCCCGTATGATGCTCCCTCAACAGTCGCAAACATTTGAACGCACCCCAACGGCTCTCCACCTGCGGTTCACAGGGAGCAAAGATACGCACATTCGTATCTTCCGACCCCGTGGCAAACAAGGGGCCGAGCCCGTCTGACTGTTGGGTTGCGCACATGGCCTTCACCTCTCTCCCGTGATTCCCGGAGCGCAAGGTACGACTGGCGTCGGGCTGTATATCCATCGCATTAAAGCCGGATTGGACCCAGAGGAATGACCCAGCCCAGGCGTTCGTGTGACTGGGCTGGAAAGCCCACGACCGCCGCCCCCCGTTGCTCTTGTGTCTAGCAACCTCGGTCTGCGCCGATTCATTCCAGAGCACAAAGTCCATGGGTTGGAACCCGTAGATCATAAGGTCTTGGGTGACCTTGTCGATATATGCTCCCTGCACTTCACAGTTGAAGGCTAGAGAAGCCAAATGCAGGGTGCGCATGGAAACCGAAGGCTCGGCGCCTTCTGAGATCACCAGCTTGTGGACTCCGTAGGCACCACTCCGTCCACAGGTCAAGAAATACGGCTGCAGCTGTTCTTCCCCTCCGTAAAGCGTTGAGAAGGATGCAATGTAGCTCAGTCCTTCGCGGCCGTGTAGCTTGCTAGGGGGCATGACAGGTTCAAGACTATCCGTCTTTGACACTTGGTACAGAGCAAAATTCCCAGTCATGGAGCCCAGCGCCAGGTACTGGTTGTAATATACCAAGGATGCAGATGCCACGCCAAAGCCGTACGGAAGCTTCAGTGCTATTCTATCCACTGAAGGTTCTGCGTCTCCTGATATCGAAACCATGAACAGATCTGCTATCTCGGACTTGGCATAGGCCGCAACAAATGTCAAGTACGCTGTCGATTCTGAAGCCTGGTTGTAATCAAGGGCGAGCAAAACCAAAGGCCTTTGTCCAGCGTTGACAAGCTTTGTAAGTGACTGGGTGTTATGATTGTAGAGCCAAACCAGACCTCTTGCATTACCTAAAAGTGCCACGCCTTTCTGTGACAGACTGCCAACGACAGAGTAGGACCGCAGGTCGTCTTCAATAAATTTCGTTTCCTTGAAGATGTGCTGGGTAGCCCGATTATGGGACTTGATCTGGCCGATTTGAATCTCACCACGAGCAGTCACCGCAACAAACTCATCCTGGGAGACAAAATCAAATCCCTTGATAGATGTCTCAACATGAGGTTCTGGGTTCTGTGAGTCAACTGACATCCCGATGCGGTTGTGTAGATTGGGTAGGATGAGGCCACCCTGCTCATCCGCCTCGATGGTGAAGTTCTTGACCGCTCCATCAGCACCCCCAGTGTAGATGACTGCTGCATTATCTGCGCTGCGCACATCCAGAGACCAGATATGTTTGCCGGTGTGCTTGCGGATAGACATTCCTTCACTCAGTTGGAACTGAGGCGTCTGCAAGGACGGGTCCCAAGTGAGATCCCACAGTATACACGTCGCGTCCTCGCCACGAGACAGGATATTCATCTTGCCCGGACCTTCACCTACAGGGAGGAAATGCACGCCCCATATACGAGCCAAGTGTCCGAAAGCGCTCGCAATCGTAGACTCGGAGCCGAGCTCGTTGTCATGGCCTGCGCCAAAGCCGGTGCTTCGGAGTTCAAAGCCATCTGTGGAATAAGCCGGCGCATCCTCACGCGATGTACGCTCGCAGTCAGATATGTCCCAGATCCGGACGGTCCTGTCGTCGCTACAGCTAGCCAGCAGCCGTCCGCTCTGATCGCCGCGCAAGGAAGCAATGACAGGAGATATGCGAACCCCGAAGATGGACCCTTCATGGCCGGTGAAGAAGTGATGGATCGAGCCGGTTGCTTGGCCAGCCTCAGTGAAGCAGGACCAGACTATGATTTCGCCAAAGACCGTGCCAGCAGCAATCAAGATGTGGGATTCGGAAAGGGCGATGATATCCGCCGAATAAAGGATGGTGTTGACTCCGGTGACAAGTGGCCGGATTTGAATGGCGTTTTCATAGTTGGACTGGTCTGCATCGACTATTTGCAGACCAAGGACAGCATTGTGGGCCGTCAATACATATACACTCTTGGACTCCTCATCGTCAGGGGCACAACCAGCAAGGATCCAATCCGGTCCCTGGTACTCTGCACTTGTAGCCACCAGTCGTGGCTCGTACTCCTTTTGAGCATCATCATCACTTGAAACCACCAAGTTAAAGGCTCTCACGGACTGCCCTCCCCAAGCAACGAACCGGGCATGTGAGCTTCCCGTTTCCGTTTGACTGAGCGCAATGAACCCATGGACATTGTTCCGCTTAAAAGCCTTCAGCTCTGCCAGCTGTCGCCCGCTCACTTCATCGATCAATCTGATATAAGTGCCTTGGGCTTGAAGGAGAAGCTTGACATCCCTCAACACAAGCGCTTTCAGCGCCGTTACGGGGACGCAAGTATCAATGTGCTGGGTGGTCAGCAATATCCACGTGCTTAAGAGCTGGGACGGCGACTCACCTCAAGGGAGGGATGCATTGACACTAAGCCCGAGGCACATTATCTATAAATGATGGCTCCCCCGCATGAGATCGTCTCAATCCAGAATTTCCTCCACTGTGAATGGCTTACGTAAGGATGGCGGGATGTCCACTATGGAAGGCACGTGATACATGCCTTGAATTATAGTCGGTGGACAACGAATCGGAGCAGGATATCGTCTCTTACAGCTAATGGTGTCTTATCTAGCATTAACTAGATATTCTGGTCAATTGTAAGTACTATAGAGATCTTCAAGAGGGATAGAGATGGACAATAACTCAAACTCTCTAAACAATGCAATCGAGAGTTCGACGCACTGTCTTTCACTCTTCATACGGCTACTTCCTGACTAGATAGTAAATGCAGATTACTGTGGGCCTTCAACAAAAAACTTGGTATGATTGCAACCTTCTGTCAGTCAATATATCTTACGAGAACAACCTAATTATGGATTGATGAAGAACCTTAACTGAAGGCCAAGGTGAGTGCAAGAATTGAGGACCTTGGTAGGTGCTTGTCATCTTCGGACAAAAGCTTCACCACTAAGTTGCAAGTGCCGAACACATATTGTGGTTCCGAGACAGTTGGTCCATGCGGTGCGGCATACTGAACCAAAGGAGATACCATACTGGAGGGATAGGACAGCTCCACGAGCTACGGGCAATGCTCACCTGCCTTGGCAAGCAGTGAAGAAAGTGGGGCATGTTGAGGATACACTCGTGGTGACGATATGACTGGGTGGTCGGAAAGTCCGATAAGGTACAAAACCTGTCCTGGACTGCCATCGAATCGCTTCTCCAAGGACAGGCAGGTCACGGGCTCAGGTCCAATATAAGCCAACGAAAAGTCTGCAGTTGATGGAGATAAGAAGCCCCCACCGTTCGTCATGATGTTGCAGCATCACTAAGCAAGTGCCGCTGGAGCCGAGTCCAGGAGTTCTGGGTTGGGCGATCCGAATGCGGAGATGGTCGATCACCTGGGCGATGCACTATCTAGACCTCCATCTGTGCGTTATATGAGCCTAAATTATAGTCTCACATTCTGCCCCTGAGTAACTGGATAGTTCGTCCCCGATGGGTGTTCTCACTGGGAACCAGGTACCTCAATCGTTCTGTAGCATCTGAGTGAGAAAATCAATTAGCGTAGAACGTGAAGCAAATTGAAGAAGAACCAGCACAAGCCACAGACGCCAGCACCTTCTCAGCATAGCCCAAACTCTGTATGACATTAACGAGTTGGCAAAGCATCAACGGATCGAAACGAGAAATCGATGACATCAGATCCCGGCGGGATCTTTGGGTCGTCATGACGTCGCGGGTCTCCGAGAGCCAGAGGGTGGTATATGAAGCTGCAGAGGTTTTCCTTTCCCCTGCGAACCCCCTTCTTGGTGTTCCTTAGGTTCCTCTGGACTGAAGTTAATCTGCAGCCGTTCGCCGCCCTTGATTTGCCAATTGCCTTGCGTCGAACCCGCCGGTCGTCATTTCGATTCCTGCCTGAATCATCACTGCCTGGCGTGACCCCCGAATCGGGTTAGCCGGCACTGGGTCCAGTCTCGACGTCACCAACAGTGCGCCGTCCAGAGTTGCACCCAACGTCAAGGGGAAAAAGCACCCAAAACCCCCCTCCCCGGGCAGCAAAACACAGCCAAGGTGTCATCGACCCATTTCTCATCGGCTTCCTCAAGCGTGGTTCCTCACACTAAGCTTCTGAACGATCGCTTGTCTCGATCGCGAACCGGTTGCATCTCCCACCCTCTCCCTGATCGTTCTTCCGTCGCATCCCGCTGCGCCCTCGGCCACACGTCACTCCTGCGCAAAGATCACTTGAAAGATACCGCCTCGTCCGATTCGCAGCAGACCTGAGCGGATTCCTTTGCTATTCCTTCGTTTCATCACCTGTGCCTAATCTTTCGCACACGGACAATTCACCATGCATCGCACGTACTCTATGCGCCAGTCGCGCCTGCCAACGGCTTCGCAAATCGAAAACCCTCCCCCGCCGTTGTCCTCCACCAAGACAAACAGACTCTTTGGAAAGGGCGGTTTCGGTGAGTGTTCTCCCAGGGGGCCGAGCCATGGTGCTTGGCCTTGTGCCAGAGTGCCTTGGTCGGTCGCCATCTACTCAGGACAGGCTGACTGTGTATGACTACTTTACTAATACTGCTAGCTTCAGGCCATGCCTTGCGCAAAAACACGGCCGGTGCCTTCGGGCCCGACCTGGCCAGGAAACTGTCTCAGCTAGTGAAGATGGAGAAGAACGTTATGCGCAGCATGGAAATGGTGTCGAGGGAGCGTATGGAGACTGCTGTGCGTATGAGTGATTCATGATTTGGAGATTAATGACTAACTCGCTTGTGTTGTAGCAACAACTCTCGATCTGGGGCGAAAACTGCGACGAAGATGTGTCCGATGTCACTGACAAGCTCGGCGTCTTGCTCTATGAAATTGGAGAACTGGAGGATCTGTTCGTCGACCGCTACGACCAGTACCGTGTCACCATCAAGAGCATTCGCAACATTGAGGCTTCTGTCCAGCCCAGCCGCGACCGTATGTATTCTCTTAATGATTGTCTCGGTCGGTACTAACACTGGCTCTAGGCAAGCAGAAGATCACCGATGAAATCGCCAAGCTCAAGTACAAGGACCCCAATTCCCCCCGCATCGTCGTTCTGGAGCAAGAGCTGGTCCGTGCGGAAGCCGAGTCCCTCGTGGCTGAGGCTCAGCTCTCCAACATCACCCGCGAGAAGCTCAAGGCGGCCTTCCAGTACCAGTTCGATGCGCTCCGTGAGCATTGCGAAAAGGTGGCCCTCATCGCTGGTTACGGCAAGCACCTCCTGGATCTGGTCGATGATACGCCGGTGACTCCTGGCGAGACTCGTCACGCGTATGATGGATACGATGCCAGCAAAGCGATCATTCAGGACTGCGAGGAAGCGCTCGCCAACTGGGTTTCGTCCAAGGCTTCGGTCAAGCCCGCACTCTCGCAACGCTCCCGCACCCTATCCCAGCGTCACCGTGATACCCTCAAGGGCCGCGAAGGTGTCGACCTTTCCGGACAGGACCAGCCATTGGGCCGTGACTCGTGGGTACCCGCGGACCAGCATGCGACCTACCAGCATGAGGTCGAAGACGGTGAAGATGTGGCCAGCACCGTGGATGGAGAGTCTCGGGGTCGAGAAGAGGAACGGGAGCCGGTCACAGTTTCAGTTTGAACATGGTGTGACGCAACCCGCTTCTTGAACGCCGAGTACTCAATCTCATCTTTGTCTCTATATGCGGATTGAGATTCCCGCTTAACGTGATGTTCTCGTTTTCCTGATGTTTGTTCTTACCCCAATGAGTTTACTTACGATTAATTCACCTGATAACGCATGTCTGGATACGTGGCATCGCTTCAGCAACTATGGTGTTGACATGTTGGTCTAGACACAACACGTGGTGACATCTGCGGCACCAGACATGACGGGTCAGGTTTCCTCTACTGTCGATCGAGTAATGTAATACTATACCACGGCGAGGTGACGGAGACGGAGAGGGTATTATAGTTGATGCTTCTGGATTTATGCTTGGTTGAAAGTCTGGAGTAGGTTACTCAATATTCTAATAAGCTTGCTGCCATGCGTACCACCATACCCACTTTCATCCATCAACAATTATGCTCTAGGCAATACCTATTTACTCCGTGTAATGCAGCACAATAAATCCTACACCCTCCCAATATACGAAGTACCTGAATAAACCTAGCTAATCAAACCCGCCCAAACAAAACCAATCACACCCCACTAATTAATTATCCTACCAAACCAATCATCGATCCGCATTCCAACCCAATACGAAAGAAAGTAGCAAAGCACGCCATCCCACAAAACCAAGATCCTACCGATCGAACCAACCAGATACAGTCTCCTCCCTACTTAATTACCATATCGTAATTGATGAGTTAGGTAAGTACATACTAACTACACAGTAGGGGCACTAATAAATACGAAGGAGTTACAATACGATACGATACATCCATTCATCTTTACTCCTGAGCGCACACACGCACACATACCTCTTTCGTACATATATTTCAATCCTTTCACTTTAAACATAAAACAAGTACATTATCCTCCCTCCCAAATACCCCCAAGGCCCAATTACTACATAGTATGTCGGGATTAAAACACACCGGAGTATATTTCACCCACCCCACCCCCCACCCAATCCAGGCAGTTGCCTGAGGTGCCCACCCAAGGCAAATTACCGAATCCGGGAGGGATGCGCGGGTGATGTCACGGGCGCGGGCAGAGAGTCGGTCGGTCGTCCGGTCGGGTCCATGCGTGCGGTGTGGGTGTGGCACTGCCCGCCAGGTCGGGGGGAGCGGATTCCCCGGATCTGCTTGTTTGCCCTGGCTTGTAGGTTGTCTCCAAGGTCCACGAGGGTACGGAGGAGGTGGTTTATGCTTGGGTTTGGGGCTTGGCTTTTGTGTTTATTATGTAGATGTGAGTATGGAGTATGGAGTGGAGTAGAATGGGTTTATTTTGGGACTGTGTATGTAATGGTGTTGTTGATTGTTTTGTTGGTAGGTAGGTAGTAGGTATGGGGATCGTGTAGGATGTACAGTGTATCTGGTTTACTGTGAAAGTTAGATGCTGAGATGTCTACTGAATAGAACTACAGTAGCACTGTATAATCGCTCGGCCGCGCCAATTCTTGTATAACGGTATGTCGAGTCAGACAATCGCATATGGGCGGTCAATGCATCACCAAATAAAAAGTACAATCGAATATAACCGTCCCAGTACTCCGGTTGCGGGAGATATATCTATAAAGGGCCCAGAGACTCTATCCCGGACCCATCCCGCGAAAGCTCACAACCAAATCGAAACCACGTCCATGGCCCCTGAAATATACCGAACCAGCTGAAGACGACCCGCAAACCTCAACTTCGCAGACAGGAGAGAAAACAACAACGGAAACAGGTCATTACATCGTCATCTGACTCCATCCTAGGACGGACAACCAGCCTAAATGAGGGACAACAACAGATGCGAAGAAGGGCCATCCAAATAATGAGCCCGCAAACAAACCCATGACATCGCCCAGGTAAATGTCGAACGGATAACGACGAACAAGAACGCGAGAAGAAAACTTCAAAAGAAAATGTACTTCTTTCTTTGGTCTTCAGTTGTCGGTGCCCACGCCCTTCTTTTTTGGCTGGATATGTTTTTGCCCGGGCCCGGTAGCGTTGGTGCCTGGGGACACCAAGGCTGTGCTGTCACTCGGGGGAGGAACCAGCCGGGTACTGCTGGCTTCATGTTTCTCGGTCAAGAGGTTCTTCAGCCATCGGTTCTCCATTTCGAGTTGTGCCACGCGCGCCTCGAGGGTGGCGTTCTTTTCAGTCGTCTCGCGCACGGTACGTTCGAGAGTCTGTTCGCGTTGTTTCTTCTTCATGCGAAACCGGGCGCTGGCTGCCGTGTTCCGGCGGCGCCGGTCTTCTTCGGCAGCACGGCGGACGGACTCTTCCTGGCCCAGGGCGGAGGCAAGGTGGTCGCCAGGAATTTGCGTGCTGTACTTGCTGTGGTTGATGTGGCCGTTGGGGGGTGATATGGATGAGGAGACATCCGAGGGTGTCATAGCACCCCCGGGCCCCAGATCATCAGGGGGGCCATATGAGATAGGTGGATAGATGGAATGAGCTGAGTAGGACAGCATTTGATCTGGTATCAAGTGGTCAATAGACTGGTCCCCAACAGATAGGTAGCGTGGGTGGTGAGGTCCCAAGCCAGGAGGTAGTATAGACAAGGCAAGTGGAAGGGTTAATCCTCAAGACAAGAAACAAAAGCAAGGGAATCATGGAACTCTTGAAGGGGATCTTGGATGATCAAGGGGAGTAAGCTCGGAACAAGGGTCCGTTAACGACAGGGCTCCCGACGTTGTCATTGGTGTGATGGATTGCGTGCTCGAATAGAGCGCTCAACCCAACATGCACAAGAACACCCACCAACACATCGAGGAAAGGCCAGAAAAAACGGGCGAAAAGCACGCGAACAGAATCAAGAGGGCTAATATGGCCAGAGGCCGAAGGAATTTGACGTGGCCGCGAAACCGACAATTCAGGGACCCAGGGAGGTCCAAGTATAGGGGTTACAGAATCACGGTATAGGCCATCACCAGGCAGCCAGAATTAAAAGACGCAGGGAGGATCATGGTCAAGAGAATCCTGTCACGAGCGACAGGAAACGAGCTGCTGCGGTTACATGCGCTTCCACAGCAGTTCAAGCAAGACAACCCATCCAATGCCGTAGGGCTAGTGAAATTAAAGCGAACCACAAACCACGAAAATTGCGCAAACAATGCAGCGATGAGAGTCATAAATCTTAGACTTACCATGATACGGGTATCCTCGCACATCGATCGGGCTGCGTTCGTCCTCGATGCTATCATAGGAACTGACCGAGAGGCCGCCCATCCCTTCCGTCTGGTCGTATTCCATGTTCAGATTCGAAAAGGCCGCCAGGCCGGTGGAATCTGCGTCAAAGGAATAATGCCGACTCTTCGCCAGGTTAGGATCGTGTCGAGAGAGAAGAAAGTTGAAGTTTTCGAGCCTATCGAAGCTTGAGGCTGTCTGACGAGCGAGGTGCTCATCTGACATATTGGCTGTGGAGGAGGTATTTAGAGGGAATCCGGTCCTCACCCTCTAAATTAGGTTCGTTTTTGGTATTTTTATTTTTCGTAACCGGTGTTGCCCCCAGACTGCTTGGTGGCTGCGTCCCGGAAAAGCAAGATCCAGAAGTAGTTAGGTGACCACCGCCGGTACAGCAGGCTCAAGCCAATGTCAACCCCCAGATCAGCCAAGGGAAGGAGGGGGGGAGGCAAGTTCGGGAATAATACAGATTGGGAGGAATTTCGCAGGGTGCAGATTGGGTGACTTGTAGCAAAGATATCTGTTCTGCATTCACTTCATCACTATGGCATGGCCCGGGACGGGCTAGCCACGTACGCAGAAGCACGAGCAATGGACAATGGACGACCGGGGGGGAAGGGCAGGGCCACTGTCTAGTGACTCGAGGTGTGGATCGAGACCAAGTGTGGCCAGATTAAGAGAGGGGGGGATAGTTCAGGTTGATTGCAGAAAGGAAAGGACCAGCAACCGGACCATGTATCACCAGGACGAAAAGATGAGAAAACAGAGCGTCAAGCCGGGGAATAAGCACCAAGGACTGCGCAGTTGTGGTGATCGTCTCATGCCCGGGCAAGGCTAGCGGATGATCTGATAGAATGGAGAAATGTCGTGATCGCGCGCTGTGGTTGGCTAGTTTCACCCTCGGAAGAGGCCAAACAATTTCACCGCTTCCAGGCGGGCAGCTGCGGAGAGGCACAAGAGAGCGGGAGGGATTCCAGCGAGGTAAAGTATCAAGGGAACGAGAGAGGGGGAGGAGCAAAACAAAGATCGGGGAAAGAAGGGGTTCAAAAATGAGTCTTCCAGAGAGCCACGGAGAAGACCAGGTACACCTGCGGACGTCAACCTGCTCGATCATCGCCCAGACAAGGTAGCGAAAGGCGAACGCCGTCCGAGTCCCTCCCGCCCATCAACGGCTGAAAAGGGGAAGAGCCACGGCACAGGGGAGTCAGTAATCTGGATACCGTCTCGTATCAGATCTTTACTATGGCACCCCCTCCAGTGGATTGACTGGGGAGCATCTCCGTTACACGGACATTACAGCGCGTTCCCATCTCCAACGGTGTCCAACTACATCATCCGCCGCAGATTAGTGCGATGGTCTTCCGTCTAGCTTCCACCAGGGGTTGGCGATGAGCCAATCCCAATTCTCGAGCCCCGTCTCCTCCCAGATATTAATATTCACGCCCAGTCCACGATTCCTGAGCCAGAACTCGGAACTCCACTGTTAGCAAAAAGCACCTTGTTCGAGCCCTGGAATGTTCCCGTTTCACCACTCCCCCCCGGAGCAAATCATAATCATCCAAACGCGTTGTCAAATGACGCGGACAGCCTGGCCGTTAACTCCGGAAAGGAACCTTGATGGAATCTGGATAGTATGGATGCTTGGCGTTTCGGTCCCCTTTCCTACTCTCTCCTTCGGCCGGAGAGTACCTACTTCTTCCCCGCGCTCCACGGCGGGAAATGACCTCATGTGCTGGTGGTCGTATTCGCTCGGTCATGATCTGAGCGATCGACTGTACTTCCTCCCGAGTCCCAGACGTACGCCGTAGGAGATCTGTCTCCCCCTGGGCCCGTACAAGTACTCGTGGGTTCTGACCCGATTTGACTAAGCGCATCAAAGTGCCTTCTTTGCACCGGCAGATGTTGCACAATACCCGCGATGTGCATTATCTTGATCATACTACTGCCGCCAATTGCGATGGTTTCTCCTCAGAGCGCCGCAAGGCCAGAGAGTTAACTGGCTAGAACGATGGTCCCTGAACTACGGAGTCCTCCGATACCTCCCTCAGTACCCACTGCGTCCTGGTGTCAGCGCCGCAATAAGCCTCTCAAAACCATAGGACACGGTCTACGGAGCAGTCTCTACGCTATGGAGAATGGCCCTCTCCCGGGGACCCTCTTCCGACGCCACAGTGAACCTCAACAGCTCAACCATGGGCGATGTACGTAAAGGATTCCAAGCGCATCGACAACTAAGTAGGTTTTTCCGCGTCTGACCCGACTAGCTACCCACATCTTTTGCGCCGTTGTCATTCGTTCTCCACCATGATTTCGTGCCTCGGAGTGCCCATTCTGCTTGGTAATCAGTGCTCGTAGTGCATACAGAGTGCTTCTCCTATGCACTCCGTAGCATGTACCAGCTAAGGTTGTACTCGACCAGTGGCAAGGCTGATGAAGCGCATCAAAGTCGGATCTTCTTTCCCTTTCGGAACAAGTCTTACCCACCTATCGCCCTCTAATGTCTATAGAGAGGAGGCGTAGCAACATGAGATCCTGCTCTAGGCCGCATGATCCAGAATCCTGAGTTCGTTGGGTCTTTCTAGGCCTCTTAGGGCCATCGTTGGCGTCTGATGCCACGCAAAGCTAGTCCTGGCGAAGGCGTAATGTGCTAACCCCAATAGGCCCTATGCAGGAGAGAGCCACTTTCACTTAGCTAGGCCATGGATGGACGAGACTGACGGAACTGTAATCGCCCGTAAGTGTACTGCAATAGTAATTTGAAAGAGACAAGGTCCATGGATACTGGCCGGCTTTAGTGATGAATGTTGCCGAATACTCAGATGGCAGGTAAGAAATGAATTCCCGGCTGCTCAACACGTGGACCCTTTAGCGGCACGAGGGTTACAATCCTTCTCCCCTTCGGCCGCCCCTCTCCATCTTTGTTTTTCTCGTATATCTGCTTTTGATATCTGAGCTCCCTGCCGGGACAGGGGTGCTCCGGCTAACGCCATGAATCGCATATCCTGGTAGCCAAGGATACAGTTCATGTGGTGAGCATTGCATTGACAGCAGAGACACCATCTTTGAGGTTAAATAAACAAGAGGACGCTGATCATCTGCTACCACGGCATTGGCTCTTGCACTAAGTTCCGGGTCACTTCTTGAACCGATAAGCATGCAGCCATCGGCCATTCCACGTCTAGGATGACGCGTCGAAAGGACCCGGGCGTCCTACTGGTACACTAGACGACTCCAGCTCGTCGGAAAACGCTCTGCGGTTTCCACAAAATGCGGGGAGATCAAGCTTTCCTTCACAAAAAGTCCCAATGAAAGCGTGAGGCGGGCTTTATCTGATCCGACACTGGCCGCGGTCCAACCTGAACTCTGCACCTGAGATTGTAAGGCTACCAGTCCAATCTCACTTGCTTCGATTCCCCTTTGTGTGCATCGACTAATTGTGACCTTAAAACACTAGATCAAGTCTGTACCTAGCAGCACCTATCGAGCCGACATGGCGAACGCGGCCAAGTGAAGGGTTCCTCCGAAGCATTCAATAGAGACGTTCGCACCTTCAGCGATGTGATGGCACAAATAACGAGTACCTATGGGGCCCTTTGAGGCTATATGCCGTAACGAAGGAACCTTGCGTTGCCTATAGTGCAGCCGTTGGTCAACGATTTGCTGAGTCCTGTCAGACCTGCAGAGCAGTGCGTATTGGTAGAGGCAAGCTTGAAGTGTTCAGTGGCATCAAGCAGGCCAACGAGATGATACTCGGCCGATCAGAGAGAAGGAAGAAAGGAACTGACAATACTCAATATATGTGAGTACCAGAACCGATGGGAGGCATGCAACTGTGAGGTCTGCAAGTAAACAAGTACGATCAGTCTAGCTGATGAGGATGTCTACGGCGATCTTAGAGCCATCATGGCATTTGGCGATTAGAGAATGGACCCAGGTCAAAAAGCTTAAATCTACAACGACCGGATCCCACGGTACTACTGGAATGGAATCGACCGATCGAGTTGGGCGATGGAGAAGGGCATATCTACAACGCAAAGAGTCGGTAGAATCCTCAGTGCTTCTGGAACCAACTGGAGACACGATTGAGCGAGCCATGGAGCCACCGGCGCCTATGTGCCCGACGGATACGGAAGCGACCGAGTGCCGACCGCCGAGCGCCTCAAAAGGCTCGAGACTCATTAATAAGCTTGGCGATGACCCTCGGTTGGCCCTCAAAGGAAAAAAGAAAACTCTTGCCCAACGTTGGTCATCTGCGTGTGTGTGCTGGATATCAGCAGAAGGGAGCGAATTTCGAGCACGGCATCAGACACTTCGTCGCTCACATTTACTAACGATCTTGCGAGTCTTGTCGGGCTTTTCATGGGAGTTCCCCCTTTCCTTTGTCTTCCGGAGGAAATAAGCTGCACGCCACTCAGCTCGACCCTCCAGCGCTAAGCGGGACCGGCTCTCCCATACTCGATCCATCGCGTGTAGCGCTGTCATTCGCGTGCCATCAGCTCCCAACCTCAGACTTGCTGTATATTGCTGGTGCTGTTGGAGCGCCTTGGACTCCTAGTTTTCTGTCCATTTTTGCCTCCCCAGCCTTGTTTTCCCGATCCATCTTGGGCAGGGCCTTCTAGTGCCTTTTATCACCGATAACACGACTGGTTGCTCACCGTCTCCATCCGGTCCACTAAGCCCCCCCTATGGGCCTACCTTACTCATGGTCACAGTACCCAACTGCTTGGTTTATACAAAGCCATGCAGAATTCAAAACTAGCTGCCGGGTTCATACCCTCTTGGAGCGTGCAAGACAATCCTTCCATCCCACAAAAGAGCGCAGCCTCCAACGGTCATGATCTAGGGATCCGCAGGCGCAACCCACTGGTAAAGGCATCCTCCCCAGTATTTGGAGGCACATCAGTAAAGCTTACTGTGGCAGGCATGTGAAGCATGTTATAAGAAAAAGATAAGATGCGAGGTCGAAGGCTCCAATACAACATGCATACAATGTCTGCGTCGTAACACAACCTGCAAATTCACCACGAGGAAAGAGAAAAGAGAAGATCTGAAAAGGTAACCATCTACCATGAGACGTGTCAACTGTTTCCAACATGAGGACGTTGCTAAAATCACACCCAGGACGCACTATGTAAGAACTCTGGAAAATCGGATCCGAAGGACAGAGTCTATCCTCAAAGCTGCCGGTCTTCTAAGCGATGACCTGATGAGTCTGGATGATGAGCCCAGCGATGAAGATGAAGATAGAGGGGTCGGCGATGGAAGTGACTCCGAGGATGAATCGATCTCTCCCTATTATAGTCCCCGCGAGGTCTCCAGTAGGCGTAGCTCGGCGGTACTGGCCTCGGATGGCTCGAAGGACTCTGATCACCTACAGTACCGTGCGTCAACGGGGAGAGATGCGGGCAGTAGATCTGATGCAGCAAACGCCCGTCAGTCCGTTGGTCCGAGCAATTCGTCTAGCGTTCCTCAAGGCGGGTGCTCTACATCGCAAGTCTGCTCTCACACCCATGCTCCCGTGTTCAAGCTGGATAGCCGAGAGGACTCGAGGTACTATGGTACGCTGGTCGTTCCAAGTCCCATGCCTATTACTTCTCCCGCGTGCTAACCTTGGATCAGGTCGGTCCTCCTTTCTATCAATATTATCACGGGAGGCGCTGGAGTGGATCCAGACCAAGTCGGGCGAGGCGAAGCCTCTGAGCATCGTGTTTTCCGATTCCAGTCGAGACAATGCCTGGGATGCCTGGCGACCGGAGGTATTCCATGATCTGTTTGCCTCACAGGTGTTCAAGCCGCTGCCCCCGCGAGCTGAAGTCTTTACTCTACTGCGGGATTATTTTCGTACGGTAAACCGTCTTTTTCCGCTTTACCACGAGCCCACGTTCATGCAACTCGTGGAGTGGCAGTATACCCAGCAAACTTGCGATGACGCTGCCCGGTGGGCCAGCATCAATATCATCCTCTCTTTAGCTTACGAGTACCGGTTTTCCAACTGCCAGAAGTCCGAAAAGGATAGGGAACGGGCGTGGCTCTATTATAAGAACGCAATGTCTGTCTTCGCAGAGCTCTCCCTGCGACGGACTGACCTCCTTAGCGTGCAAGCCCTTCTTGGCATGGCTTTCTTCCTTCGTGGGAATTCGGGCACTCAATCGGCGTTGCCGATAATCACGGCAGCCATGCGGATTTGCCAGCGGATGGGCCTACACCGCGACATCCCAAGACCTTACCTCACTCCAGTGGAGCAAGAGCAGCGAAGGAGGGTATTTTGGATCGCATATATTCTCGATCAAAGGTAAGCAACGAAACTTCAGGAGCCGCCCCCCGTCCTTTGGACATTATCTAGGCAAAGTCTAACCTGGGGATCCTTACAGTTCATGTGTTCGATCAGGAAGCGCCCCGGCCCAACACTACGAAGACTTTGACGTCGACTTTCCTGCAGAGAACGATGGGGATGCCTTTGTGAAAGCTCGCGACGGCTCGTTTTTCCGCCAGCTCTGCCAGCTCACCGTGATCAAGAGTCGAGTGTTTAGTAAGCTGTATTCAGCCAAAGCTCTAGAAAATAAGTCCCCGGAGGAGATATACGACAACATCCGGGAATTACACGCGGAGCTTGAGGAATGGAAACATGCCAATGCGCTCGAATTCCAAATCAAGCAGAGAGGTAACGGTCAGGACTTCCTAATCGGATTCGCGTCCGCAGGTCTCCAGTTCGTCTATTATAATACCATGATCATGATCCATCGTCTGCCTCTGATGCTTCAGTTTGCTTCGGCGCACTACGTCGCAAGAGGAGATGCTCCTCCGATGGATCACGATCTAATCTTGCGAGAAGCGTCAGCTTCTTCTGCGGTTTGTGTCCAGGCCGCACGAGACACAGTGAGACTGGTGAACAACCTTCCATGGGGGGATATTGCCTGGATATGGTGTGTACCCAAAAGATCCTTGTCTCGACCCAGTTGGCATCATTAACACCACCCAGGTCCCTACTTTACTACATCTTCCTGGCAGTGATGAACATCTTCGTGAGCATTTTACGAGAACCGCACAACGAAAAAGCCAAAGACGACCTACAATCCCTTAATATGGCGGCGACATTCTTCGCAACACTCATTCCAGGCGACGGGCCTTGTCACTACGCACGATTCATGACGAAAATGTGCGCCAATTTCGAGCGCGTAGCCCGGGCTGTCCTCGAGCGAACCCAAAGGGCCGTGAAGCCGGAAGCAAAACACCACAGCGCATCCCGCACAAACAGCACCTCCACGGCGGATGGCAAACCCCCGCGTTCCACATCCCCCGACCCCTCGCACGCAACCACCCCTCCCAAGTCTCATTCAAACCCTCCGCCATCATCCTCAGTCCACTCCATGAACATCGACATCCCCAACCTCGAAGGTCTTCCCCCCGTCAACTCCTCCGGCTACGTCGTCCCCGACAACCTCAGTCCCAGCCCAACACCCGAACCCACACTCCCCATCCCTACCACCACCACCACCACCATCCCCACACAGCCACTGTCTCAACCCACACCAGCAGCCCCCGGTACCTCCCAACCCTACAACCCCACAATCACCTCCACAACCCCCTACAACCCCCAAGGCACCTTCTTCCCGATCACAGTCAACAGCGATGGCTTCAATTTCTCCCAGCCCGAACTCTGGCAAATCCCCCTAACAGCAGACTGGGAAATCACGCCCCAGGCCCTAGGCAGCCTCTTTGGACCAGACCTAAGCTACATCTTCCCAGAGCAGCTGGGCGGCGCAACCGGTACCGAATTCCCACCTCAGCCCCATTTCCCACCTCCAACCCAACCAGCACCGATGGCTTCCGCGCCGATGGAGTTCACATATGGCGGGCCTATGCCCCAAACGCAGACCCAGAATCCAAATCCGAACCCAAATCAACCTCGAAGCCGGATAACTCAAGCGCCTGGCGCCGGACAAACCATGCAGGGAAATCATGGGATGTGGATGAACGGGGGGGCGTATTCGAATCCGTATAACTTTGCGCCTTGAAACAATACCCTTATTAAGAGTTATTCGGCCAGATTGATGTGCAATTATGGGCAAGAAATTGTACATACCGCATGACTGACGACCTCACACATATCTAATCTACCTATTTCGTGCTGTGTATTACTTGGGATGGTTGGATTATTGTAATAAGAGAGAACCGTAGGATATTCCATTTGTACAAATACCGTTTGTAAACACCGAACGCAGAAGGTAAAATAGACCTGCGAAATAAAACCCCGTCCCATTCCGGAAACCCATCACTGACCAGCCAACCAACCAACCGAAACACCGTCCAGCCCCGGCCAAGTCACAACCACACCCATATAGATAATTAAAATAACTACAGAACGAATTTGGGGAAATAGTCCCATGTCGCATCACGTGGTGAACCGTATGGTAAGACCACCCACCAACTAAAAGACCGCCCCGGTAAGTTTCCGAACCGCCGTACTCCAAACACCACCACCCAGCTGAAGATCGGACGTCTTCTCTCCAAGGCCAGTAGATAGGATGCTTCGCATCTCGGTCTCAGAGATACCGGCCTTGTTACCCGATCCGAAGCCATAGACTTTGCTCGCGAGTACATCGGTCTGGATGTCCAGGATGCCGATTTTCCCGGTCTGTTCGTCTGGATTGTTCAGGATGCGGGTCTTGACGGCGAAGTCGACGTCGATGCGGCGCTTGGTTTGGCTTGCGGTGGAGGGCTTGGTGATGGGACTGAGAAGGGTGCATCGGGCCCGGAGGGAGGGGGTGTCTTCGACTTCGAGGAGTTTGAGCTTGGTCACGCCGCAGAATTCGAGCATGCGGGCCTCTTCTTCCAGTTTGAGGGTGAGGTCCCAGGCTTGGGAGATGAAGCGGAGGAGCTGTTTGGGGGTGATGGTGGAGGATTGGGTGGTTGTGATGTGGTTTTGGAGGGATTTCAGGACGAGGAGGGAGATTGGCGAGAGTGGAGGGGTCGGGGCAGCGCGCTTGGTGCCGCTCGTCGGGGCATATTTCAGCTCCGGAGAAGTTGTCTGAATATCGCTCTGGAACGAGGCCGGATGGAAGGTGAGTTGGAGCTGGTTGCGATAGGACATGGTCACTGTTGGGCCTGCGGGAGATTCCTCTGACTTCGCTGAGATGATACTCCAGCCAGTCTGGCGCTCAATGTTGCGGACGGAGTCTTTCAACTCGCTGATCTCCTTGGCGCTCCAGCCACGGCATTCTTCCTTGACTCTTTCCGCTTCCTGGATCTGGGCTGTGTATTCTGCTTTAAGCTCTGTACCAGATTCGATCGTGTCTGTTTTGCCTTTGAGTTCTTCTTGCATCTCCAGGAGCCGCCTCTTCTTCTCTTCAATCTCTGCTTCTACGCCGGCGAGCTTCTCCCTTGCACTGCGTAGCTCATCCTGGTCACAGTTTTCCATATCGTCTGCCAGTTGTTGTAGTGTCGTGGCTTCTCCCTCGAGGGTAGAATGCTTCTCAACGAGGGCGGGCACGACACCGCCCAGAAGAGTCTCATGCTTCGACAGAAGCTCGCCGTCCGCCTTCATTTCCTGCACATGCCGGTCAAGTCCATCTTTCAGGCCCTCGAGAAGCTTCATGCGCCACTCATACCACGTGGCTTTGCTGAGAAGCCTGGCGTGAGTCTTAACATTGCGGAATTGGTTGTCCATGAGCAAACGGATATCAGGAGGGGCTGTCATGTATTCACGGAACAGCGGCGGGTTGTCGGCAAAGGTTTCAGTTTCAATGGACCGAATGATCTGTCTCCCTTCAGAGATATAAGATTTGAGTTCCCGGCAAGACTGAAACTTCGTCAGCAAAATAACGATAAGAGATAGGCATAAAGGGAAAAGCTTACATGCTGATATAGCTCGAGCATGGGCACAGTGCAGAAACCAGCTGTCACACAGGCTTCAAAGTCAGAAGCGCTTGATTTAGCCTCACTTTCGGTCGAAAGCCTCATTGCTCGTTTGGTAGCACTGTCAGGCGCAGTAGTATGTCGCCTCTTTGTTGTCGTGAGCTCCATGAAGTGAATGTTGGTCATGTTTAGAAAGTCCTGCAACTGTATGGGTTCGAATTCTGGGCCAGAATCCTCAACAACAGCCTCCCGTTCTTCCGTTGATTCGACGCCTGAGGGTGACTTTGAGGACTCCAACCTTGCTTTCGCCGGACTAATTGCCAATGAGCTGACTTTTGGTTCCTGGATAGGAGTAGTGCTCATTTTCAATGGAGATCCACTGAAGAGTTTGAGAGGGGAGCGAGCTGTACGGCCAACGGTTTCATCCTTGGACGGTGGCGCAGGAAGCCTGATGTTCTTCACTGGACTCACATCCCCACGTCCCCTCAGGCGCTTAGGCGTGTTATCCACGTCTTCATCGTCTATATCCAGCTCAACGGGCCGTTTACCGAGGACGCCGCGAGCGGCACCAACATGCAAGCTCTTTCTCCCGCGCAACTTATTCTTTTTCGGCGTAAGGCTTGAAATCATGTCTTTCAGATTAGCCGTGGGATCAAGATTGGGAGGCGGAATATGCCCATCCTCCCGGTTCTCCTCCTCTTCTCGTTCTCTCTCGACCTCCTCCTGGAGCTTCACAGGATCTTCGAAGCGCACACCCTGTTTCGGTTGCTCCTGCGGGACGAATTGCGGCGCCTCTTCACCGATTGACCGACGTTTATCAAGCATAGCAGCCACCTTGGGTGAACCAAGCCCTTCCCTATCGATCCCGAGACCAGAGGACCGCCTCTTCCCGTGGGGTTGCAGGACAAAAAGCGGAGCAGATTCTCCAGTTGCAGAGTTTCCGAAAAGGCTTTTACGCCTTGGGGATCTCCTTTTGCTCGTGGACTCTTGAGGCTCCGGCTGCGAGAGGTTCTCGGGCGATGCACTTTTGAGATCCGTGCTTTTTGACGGGGTCGCTGCAGAAGGTGAAAGACCGCTGGCCTGCGGCGCTGACTGCTTTGGAGGAGATACGGGGTCCTTGTTCGGAGAAGGTTCCGGTGTATGCGAGGTTGGTGTGCTGGAGGCGGCATGGCTTAAGCTGTGCCTTGTCCTTCTGGATCTCACACTTGCCAGGCTGGGGCTCCCACTTTCTGAAGCCACAGCTGCGACATGAAAAGAAGCCGGTGATTTGGCAGGTGAGTGCCGAGCGGGCTCCTGCAAGGGCGAGCTATTCAAGCGAGCGGCATCGGGTTCAGCTTCCATGGCTTCTTCGGCTTCCTCCATATCTTGGAATTCTGGCTGGAGCTCTGTTTGGGGCTTTGTCTGAGGCGACAAGATCTTACCCACGGCAGTCGTGACTTCCATACCCACTGTTTGGTCCTCATCCATAGGTTCGGTGTGCTCTTCGGCCGGAGGAAGTATACCACCAATAGCTCCAGTAATCTCCATGTCCATGCCACCGTCCATGTTATCTTCCTCGTTCTCCCACTCAGAGAACCCCCGTGGCTTAGTGATCGGGGTAAAGGATTCTGCTTGCTCATGGTCCTTCTCGTCGGCATCGTTGGCCGTAAATGGCTTGTTCAAAACGCCACCGACGACTGACGTGAACTCCATTGTCATCTCTTCGTCTTCATCGGCGTTGCTGTCGGCTCCCATAGATTTTGCGGGAGAAATAGGTTGCGCAATACCTCCGACAACATTGGTCAGTTCCATTGTTTGTTCGTCGTAGATGGTCTCCTCGCTAGTAGACTTGCGACGGATTGCGCTCTGACGACGACTTCGTTGACCGGGCAGAATGCGTCCGATCGCATTGGTAACTTCCATGCTGAGGTCCTCATCCTCGTTGTCGCTTGCCGCGTCTGCAATTGGTTGGCCGGGCTGAACGTTCTCTTGATCATGTCGGGCACTGATGTCTTCCCAGTCGAAACTCTGGCGTTCTCCCTTCTTGATCCACGGTTGAAAAGCACCAGTGATCTCCTGGTCGGCAATCTCCATCGACATATCACCATCGTCATCGTCTTCAATGCCGCGTGTGCCTGCTTCCCGAGCTGCTTGCCGTAGCGCTTCATTCAGCCGAGCACTCGAGCTAGTCTCAGACCCATCTGATCGGGCGGTTACTGCAGAATGGACGGACATGTCATCCATACTCATTGCAGTACTCTCTCCGTCGAAACCAGAAGTTGATGAGTTGTCGTCATCGTCATCGTCAAGATCTTCCTGCGAGCCTTGTAATCCAATATCTTCGCTGCCATCCGCCGAGCTCCCACTGAAAGGACTTGAAGACATTTCCTGAGAAGACATCGAGCGATTCTGAAGCTGCTCCAAATCCGGATACTGAACGGGTGAGAAGCCGATGTCCGACTCTGCGTCCAAGTCGGGGGAGGAAGGAGGATCGGCCGGCCTAGCTTGATGCTGGGGCACCTGGTTCGCCAGGGAAGATGCACGTCTTGTTGAGTTGGAGGTAGATGAAGAGGTCGAGTCGTCGGGGATCTCCACCACATTCCATGTATGCAATGTTGCTTCGGGGGCAAATGATACACGGCGATTTGCTGTCGCGGTAGGTCAGCATAATGCTAGAATCGAAAAGGCCGGAGCCACAAACCCATCGATTTCCGGCGCGCCTCTCTTTGTTGGAGAATCATTTTTCGCTCTCGCTCCCGTTGTTCCTTCTCTTCACGCTCTCTTACGGCGGCCATCTCATCACGAATTGACTCGGCATTGAAGCTGTCGAAAGGATTGGCGCGGTCGTCGCCACTAGAGCCGGAAGGTTGCGCCGGGGTGTCGAAGTCGATTAGCAGGCCCTCTTTGCCCTGGTCCCGACCTTCACCGGTGCCGTCATTGTGGGGTGGTCCGCGAGCGGGCGTCCGTCTGCGTGTTTCCTCAAACGTGGGGATGTTGCGCACAGGAGAGACGGGGACTGTGGGTTTCAGGATCGACTTGAGGGGGAACGCAGCAGTAGACTTCAACGCGACGGGTTACTTCTTAGTATGCAGGACGGATAAGGATATCGTAAGGCAGAGTGGGGAGCTACCTTGCGTCGATTGCCATTTGAATCCTGGAGCGCATCTAGACCACCAGGTCCCAGACTCTTGCTGCGAGACTTCTTGTCTTTCCCCGCAAGCTTCGGGCGATCCCCTATGGGCTGCGATGAGCTGATGCTTGTGGTCGCATTCTCCTTTTCAAGGGCAGAGGTTAACTGCGATCGGGGGACATGGGCGATGGAGCGACGAGATCGCGGGCGGGAAGACCCCGCGGAGTCACTGCGGGACGCCATGGGTTATTAAGATAGGGGGGACATAGACGTGAAGGATGTGGAGTGTGTGAAGAGCAGAAGTCCTCCAGGATCCCAAAGTTCAAGCAACAACAACAACAGCACCAACAACAATCAAAATATGATGGGTCAAGAAGGCAAGTTCGTTGATGGCCTCGACCCGCCGCTCGGCGCGTCACCCGGCCGCCGCTCATGTGATCGGGGCGATGTAAACAAACCAAAACGGATAGCCCTAGCCGAGTCCCAAAGCGGGCTAGCGCCCCCATCGCACACTCACAGGACGAATATCCGCCATCGTCGAATAAATCTTCTCCAACATCGACGTCGACCACCGCAGGCCCCCGACACCCACCCTTCGCGACGAATTTATCACCCAGCTCGACTTCGCTTCCTCGTCGGACTGAATTCTCGCAACAATGGCGACCGAGTTGACCGTCCAGTCGGAACGTGCGTTCCAGAAGCAGCCTCACATCTTCGTCAACCCCAAGTCTCAGGCGAAGAGCAAGAAGGTTGGCACCGGCCGCAGATGGTACAAGGATGTCGGTCTGGGTTTCCGTACCCCCAAGGCCGCCATTGAGGGCAGCTTCATCGGTATGCACGACCTATGTTGAAATTTTTGCGGGGTTATCGACTTCCGATCATGCGGGACCGGCTGGGAATCTTTCAGGGCTTTTGGAGATGAGAATCCGCCGCGTGGTTGCACTAGGGGCGCCAGCATGAGTCTACGATATGATGCAACTACTTGGTGCAAATGATCGGGATGGAGTGCGACAAGAGAAGGGATTTTTGGGGGGGTCCGGATTGGAAGACTCATTTCGACATATTGCGGATTTCGGATATTCTCATCTCTTCAGGCTCCGGAGGATCAGTCGAGATGTCCATAGTGAGGTGGAATACAGATCACTGATATCGAACAGACAAGAAGTGCCCCTTCACCGGTCTGGTTTCCATCCGTGGCCGTATCCTGACCGGCCGTGTCGTCTCCACCAAGATGCACCGTACCATCGTCATCCGCCGTGAATACCTCCACTACGTCCCCAAGTACAACCGTTACGAGAAGAGACACAAGAACCTTGCCGCCCACGTCTCTCCCGCTTTCCGTGTTGAGGAAGGTGACTGGGTCACCGTCGGCCAGTGCCGCCCTCTGAGCAAGACTGTATGTGAACCGTCCTGGGGATGTTCTCGGTACCGCTGGGTGGCAAATCTCTACCTTCCAACTTGCGGAGGATATGGATAGCACCAGGCGCTACCGAATAACTTCCCCGCACGCATTGCATAGGTATATCTCGGATATGCTAACAAGCCGCTTCAGGTCCGCTTCAACGTCCTCCGCGTCCTTCCCCGTACCGGCAAGGCCGTCAAGGCTTTCTCCAAGTTCTAAGCGTGTCGATGAAGAAGGGTGTGTTTTCGCGAGGAAGATAAACCTAGGGCAGCGGCGTGACTGGATATAAACGGAATAGTTTACGGGTTGGGATTGTTTCACGATTTCATGTCCCAGGTACCCTTGTGGAAGGAATATCCAATGAAAAAATTATTTTGATTCTCCCACATAGACTTCACTGTACAAGGTCTCGGGGGGGGAAAAACATGGGGAACATGCTAGTTTTCGAAGTTGGCCTTGCAAATCAAGTCACTGTCCGCGCCTTGGATCTTAGTCTGGTCGTATTCTTTCCTATCAGTTACTGTCGACAGAATGCTCGACTAAGCGACAACCTTTGGGATTGTCAGTAGGTGAACTTCGATTCGGCTAGACTGAACCATATTATGTACATATGCCACTTGCCCGTCAAACAGTCAGTGTACACATGTGCCGTTATTACATTATCTACCTCCCATGGATAAGCTTCTCCCCACACCTGCAAATCTCCGCTTCTTATCTCACGGAATAGTCTTATCGCTCAAGTCATAACAACATGTCGCTGCAGGAGCAAATTAAATTGTGACACCTCGGGAGCACAAAGGCAAGTCTACTCCTAGAGCAGCCAGAGTCTTCGGCGTTCTCGGTCTCTCGCAAATTGATGCTGCGGCATGAGTTCTTCCGACAGCTCACGAGACATGCTCATAGTGGAGTGCCGAGTCTCAATGTCGAACATCATGTCGCTGTCAATCACAGACATGGCACGAAGTTCCCTGGTAATATGAGAGGAGGACGGTTGCATAGGTTGCTCCTCGTATGCTGTGTCCAATTTCTTTGCCGACTCCGATTGCCCGTGCACCCATCTACCAGTGTTCGGTTCGAATATCTCGATGACCGGGCCGGCGGCGAGTGTATTGCGGGGAAATAGCTCTTGTGCGTCCTCTTCAGGCCAGTCGACCATTGGCTCGGCTGGTTGTTCATAATCAGACTCGGATAACATATCGTATTCCGGCTCTCCGGATATCCGCTCACGATCCGGTTTAATGCTTGGTTGGAGGGACCAGGGAGGAGTCGAATAGGGGGTTCGTTCTGAAACGTGATCACCAGGGGTGTTGGCAGCAATATCCTCGGATTCACTATCAGATGTGTCATCAGATATTGAGCCACATTCAGTGACTGAATCATCGTCAGAAATGTCATAATCGACTGGCTCTGGACCTTCGGCATCATGAACACTGGCAGGGGATGGTCTAGGAGATCGGCCATAGCCAGCATCCACCCCCTCATGAAAAGACTCCCATGTCCCTGTTCTCTTTAATCTCCAGGAGCGAAACAAGCCTTCACTGACATCTTTCCTATACTCAAAGGGAAGCCCAATTGATAAGAGAAACTTTCCTATCGCAAAACCCGAGGCGCGGTCAAGATTTCCAGCTCCTCTAGCTAAATCACCATGCAGCTTTCTCCTGTTAAACTTGTGTGCTGCTATCTTTTTAAGCTGAAGAAATTTTCCAATCTCAGTAAACTCATGTGCGAGTTCTTGTACCGTACTGATCTTCACGGCGCATAATATAGCAGCGGATGGAATCCTTCCCCATACCAAGTACTCACCCCTGCCATCATAGCCTCGGATGCGCAGGTTATGCTTTCGGAAGATATCTTTCGCGGAGTACAACGCGGTATCAAGCTTTGTAGTATCAATGATCGAGATGATAGCGCCCTCCTTGTTCCGAAGTGCTCTATGTACCGGAGATAACATCGAGATAAAGGTTGATATAAAGGGAGATGGCGTTTTCTCGATGTGAGCATGTCTTAGAAAGTATTCTGAAAATTGCTCCTTTGAAATATCCTTGGGGGAGAATTGTTCGCGGCCATCTGCAAACAGACCAGCAAGAAACAATTTCTTTGAATTGACACCTTGGCTATCGATATTTGACCACCGGTATAGAAATCGGGGCATCTCATCATTCGACTTCGTTCTTAAGGAAGTATGCAGTGCATTTCCTTCCTAGGGCACTCGTTAGTTTATGATTTGATTCCAGGTCTCGAGTGAGTCGTACATTGGCAGTCTCTTCCTGCGCGCACCAGAAGCATACTTTACCACCACCATTGCATAGGCTGATGTCTTGGTCTTGGGTAGAGCTAGAACGCTCTGATGGCTCCTGGTGTTGTTGGTCCATGACTCCTTCAAACCTTGCCTGCACATCCTGAACAATAGCCGATGGAGTCTGCCGAGAGCTAGGCGTATCATTCTCATCGGTATACTTTGGAACTATGTGTATCCCAAGATACCTTGCAGTGTTCCTTATTTGTGAGAGTACAGGGCGCCAACGCCTAGATCCGTCGAATGAAGCTTGATGAACCTCCTTCCACTCCGTGTATGAATATCTCACCATTTCCGCCCATTGAGAACTCAGCGCGCTCCAGGAGATTCCCTTGACTAGACCACACTCCCTTACATCGGACCTAAAAGCATGGTTAAATATATCTTTGAATGCCACTTGGTCTTTCTTGAAAAATTCGTGGAGGCAACAGAGGAAAATCCTCTGTTCCCGGTTCCACCTGTTCTTCGGGACTGGGATTCTGTAGTTTAGGCCAACGGTGGACTCCATGGGGCTATTTAGATATCATATGATGAATAAGTAGGAAGATGGTATCAAATGAGAAGTTCGACAAGGAATCTTTGGACCAGGTGAGGCTTCAGTGGAATCAGGAAGTAAAGTCAGGAAGTCGAGATAGTGGGGTCAGTAGGTAGTAGCAAGTGCCCCATTTGAGCAAGACATGTGTTCTCAACTTCATTGAAAGAAATATGGGGCTTTTCAGAGGTAGCTAGATGAGGATCCACAGCATTGATACCTTCAGTGAGCATGAGATAGAGGGAAATGGATGAAAGAAATCTATACCTTGTTTAATACCCATATGTGGGCCACGGTAATATTGCTGGAGATGTATGAACCCATGAGTTAAGTGATACTTCCAGCATGGTGTGTTGCTCTGTAGTATCTTGTCCAATGTGTAAGTTGGTTACTATGAGGAAGGGGAGTAAACACAACTCAAATATATAACGACTAAGATTATCATGATGTGTGATTGAGCTACCTTGAGAATAATCAGGATGCTGGACCAGGATTTGCAATATCCAGATGAAAAATAAACCAGACTTTCCTTCATCCACTGTCAACCGTGGGATGCACATTGCAGGTATGGTTCTCCTGGGGAGGACTAAACAATGTAGTTCATCGGATAACATCATCGTGCCGACCCAAACCGCACTAGGCGGTTCCTAGCCTAGGGTGCAACACAAGGCGCTCCACTGCGAACGCCGCTTGGAAGTCCAACATCCCGACGGCCTGAAGCTCTCTCCTCAACTCATTATTCATCGGTCTCCCCTCCTGTTCGGGTGCCCGATTCAATCCTTGACCTTTGCCCCCTCTCTCCAGGGAAATCGCTGGCAGATCGTCCCTGTCAATACCGAACGTTCCGGCTCCCCTCCCTAGAAGTCGGCACTTCGACCCGTCCCACTCCACTATTGACAGCCTGCGTAAGAATCAATCAAGTTCGCGACATGGCAACTTGACGCATCATGATTATTCTTGGCATTGGCATGGTCAGAGCAATCAGAACACGACTATAGTTATTCTCCTCTCTCATCCTCAATCGATCCGGGTATCGTTTCAACCCCTCCATTTTGAATCCCGTCCGCGGCCACTCCCCTGATTCTGTTCCCGACCAATTGTTGTGGCGGACGACGACCATTCTTGATCATGTCTCACAACTTTGAGAAGTCGGTGAAGGGAGCCACCAAGATCAAGGTTGGTACAAAGCTACTCGGCTTTTCAGGGGCTTGCGCAGATGCTGACGGTGCGGATCTCATACTAGCTCGCCGCCCCCAAATCCAAATATATCGAACACATTCTTGTTGCGACCCATACAGGCGAGGCAGGTGTGGCAGAGATCTTTCGAACCCTGCAGCTTCGACTTCGCGACTCAACATGGACGATTGTTTTCAAAGCGCTAATTGTTGTCCACCTGATGATAAGGGAGGGGCAGTTGGATGCCACCTTACAGTACATGGCGGAGAACCCAAGGAGACTTGCGATCAGCGGATTTTCAGAAGGTGGGAGACGCTCCCTAGACGCATTGAGAGTGACCGCTGACGGCTGGATGTATAGTGCAGTCACAGGGCCACAATATTCGGAGATATTCTGACTATCTCATCGCTCGCGCAAGAGCGTTTGAGGACACAAAGACCGACTATGTACGGAGCGGGCAAGGTCGGATGAGAAGATTGACGGTGGAGAAGGGTCTGTTGAGGGAGACAGAAATTGTCCAACACCAGATTCACGCGCTACTCAAGTGTGACGTGCGTCATTCTCTTCTTTTACTTCACGGCAGCCGTGGCTGACCTACACTAGCTTCTCACTGACGACGTCGAGAACGAAATATCCTTAACCGCGTTTCGCCTACTGACCTTGGATCTTTTGACCCTCTATTCAGTCATGAACGAAGGAACAATAAACGTTTTAGGTAGGGGTCCTGCCTATACAAGCTGCGGCATGTACTTATCAAATTGCGGACAGAGCATTACTTCGAAATGTCACGACCCGACAGCGAACGCGCCTTGGAAATATACAAGACATTCACCGCTCAAACGGAAGAAGTTGTTAAGTTTCTGGGAGTTGCTAGGCATTTCCAGTCTGCAACGCGCTTGGAAATCCCCAAGCTCAAGCATGCTTCTACAGATCTGACGCGGCTCCTGGAGGACGACCTCAACGATCCGGACTTCAACCTCCGCCGGCGAGAGTATCTGGCACGAAAGCAAGGAAAGAGTGGCGGAGCTCCTACACCTGTGCCCAAGAATGCGACAGGGGAACGGGTTGTCGGCAACTCGAATCCTACGCTCGCTCGACCTCAGACGCAGCCAAATCCACAAAAGTCCGCCGCACCAGATCTTATCGACTTCTTTGATTCGATTGAACAGAACCAGCAGCCAATGGCCCAGTCCAACCCGTTCCAACAGGCACAACTGCAGCAACAACCACAGGCGATGCAGTTCCAGCAAACAGGCTTTCCCCCGCAGCAGCCAGCTTTTTACGCGCAACAAACGGGTTTCCAGCAGCCCCAAGCGATCGGGTTCGATCAGCAAGCGGCTTTTGGGACGCAGCTTGCGCCGCCCAACAACCAACAGTTTGGACAGCAACAACAAGCCCCCCAACCCCTTCAGCCTAACCACACGGGGGCCGGATTTGGCGGTTATTCGGCGCAGCCCCAGACGTATGGGTTCCAAACCAACCTGGCTCCCATCCCACAACATGATGTTAGCGCATTCCCACAACAACAGCAACCGATGCCAATGGCCCAGCAGCAGTTGCAACCTCAGTCCACCAACCCCTTCAGACAGTCGATGCTAATGAGCACGCCGACCGGTTCGGCCCCGCCTGCCGCCCCCATCAACCGCCAAAACACGAATCCATTCGCACGACGCCTATCAACGGCCAACCCACAGTTCGATGCCGGTGTTCCCCCAGCCTTCCCGCAGACGCAGGTGCAGCCGCCAGCGCCGCAACAGCCGGCGCCGCTCCAAGCACAGCGAACAGGAACCAATCCTTTTGCTCGAGCCTCCTCTGTTCCCCCGCAGCCGTCGCAGGGGTTGCAACCTCCTGCAGCAGCACCGCTCCGACCGAATCCTACAGGGAGCACAAATCCGTTCCGCCAGAGTGCCTTTGTGAACCAGCAGACAGGCCAAGGGTGGCATGCCAGTGGCCAGCAAGGTACGATGGGAGGCTTGGAGCAACTGGACACGGTGCCGATATTCCCGCGACCGGGACTATCATAACGTTGCGGAGGCTTTGACTTCCCAACGCTGCAAGCTGCAGCCGCACGGGGTATTCTGTTAGACCTACCTATTTTCTCCTTAATATTCATTTTTATCATCGACTTGCATTTGGTTTATTGTGTTATTGAATGCATAACGGCGGGCTCGCAGCGCGGGTCCGACCGTTGACCATGTAGCGATAGCAGGCAATGTTTAGTGACCGGGGGACGGGCAAGCATCTAGCAAGAATTGTAGCAGATTGACAGCACTCCGAGCCGGTAAAACGTCTCCAGTAGATAGTAGATACTGTGTAGCCATAAAGATGGACCGGCCAGACCGCATGACCGCCGTCATCGGCAAGGGATCGGAAAACCCACATCCCCATCCCTCGCGACTCGCGCCCAAATCCAACAAACAACCCTGAACCCACGACCAACCAACTTTCGGCTTCTCAACTCACAATCACAAATCAAAACTGGGAATCACGTCCGAGATACTCGGTGCATACCTACTCCGTACCTCCCCACTAGACAGTAAAAGCAAGTGGTATCTAGCCCCCTCAATATTGAGTAGTCAAAAAATAGTAATCTATTCGACCCCCATCTCCGACCCATCCATACGCACGGAACTTTTCATCCCGGTATGCCGGGCCAAGTATCGAACCTCGGGGCTCCGTTCAAAGCCACTATCCATCGTTCCCAACACCGGATTTGCGATCTGTTTGGTTGAGCTAGGCGTTAGGGCGTGGATGGTGGATGGAGACTGATCGGTTCGTGCCGATGGGGATTATTAAATGGTTTGAGATAGATTAAGTGATGGGGAGGTTTGGCGATGATGGGTTTGGATTTGTTTCAGTGTTGGTTGTGGATAGATAGAGTTTATGGGTATTAGGTGGTTATATTTAGAGAGTTTATTGTTTCTTCTGGGGGGTTTGGTTGCGTATACGTATGTCGTATATGGATACGAGGGTTTGGTCTCTGTCCTGTGGTTGAACTGGAGAGGTGGTGATGGTGGTTGGGCTAGTGAGGTATCTGGGTCCACTGGGCTTTCGTATCCACTTCTGGATGTGTATCTGCTTGCCGGTGGACTATTTATCTATGTACGGAGTATCGAGATGCATGTTTGCCGTAGCGGCGTAGGATACTCCGTTGAGTGGATGGTATCTAGCCACCGGGCACCGGGCGCTGGTTAGTGTTAGCAATAGCGGTTACTTATTATCTACTGCGCTTGTTTCCTCGGTACGCACCTACGGGCTAGGTACTCTGTATATCCGTGCCATTCAACCTAACCTATCAAGCGATTGGTCCTGGTAGCCCACAACGGATATGACAGCCGTCAGACTCAGGGCCCTCCAGTTTGGTCGCGTGCATAATTCCGAGTTCTCGTAAATTTCAGTCGCGGATTACTTATCGAATGTAGTGACCTCGGAATATCGAGGCACTTTGTAGCCGAGTACTAGAGTTTTGGATAGGCTGACCGGTACATCCGTCTAAGAAATGAGAATTCAATCCTGGTCGTGTCCTAGTGTGCGGACTTGAGACCGGATCTGGACTCCTAGACGGTCTGGTCGTGGCGATGGAGTATACTAGCAAATAGTGAGGGTAACAGCCGTGAGCCTACTCCGTCGAGGCATGCAGGATGACCGATTTGTACGTAACCACCGTCCATGTTGCGGTCAAGTTTAGGCTCCCCCCGATGTAACTCTGTGCAACCTGGTATGTGCATATCGACTGACTCGTGTGCATAACTCCCGTCACGGGAGCAGAGCAACTATCCCTGCAGATGGCGATCTCTGCAAGAAAGGTAGCAGGCAAGGTGCAGGTGTGTGCGTGGTTTTAGCCCGAGAGCCTGTATACCAGGATACCTTTGTACTTAGTAGAGACACTGGCTGGAGAGCTGTGAGCCAAGTCACGGTGAAACACCAAGAAAGATGTAGGGAACCAAATAAACTCAGCCGGAGACAATGAATAACAAATCCCAGACAATCAATTAACAAACTCTCTTATGTCGCACAGGGGACGGACATCATAGATTGACGTGCCCAACCGTTGCGGTCAATCGCAGTAATGGCGGTGGATCAAACCGTCTTGGCTCGATTTTAGTTCCTCCCCGACGGACGGTGCGTCTGCTTGTTGGGATGACCGGAAAAAGTGTTAGCCTGGATGTCTTAATATGACGTACTACTTATCAGGAATAGTTGGCAATGTTATTCGTGGGATCGCTTATAAAGGCATACTAATATACCTCTCGTGGTCTGAATCCACAAAGAGACGATGCCTGGTCGTGTATGTTGAGGGACACATCATATTCGGCCGCGCAAGGAGACCTCCAGACGGCCCAGGAGGGAATATTTGTCCGATCAGGTCCGATCGGAAGTGTGGAGCCTGTTATGGTTTTCGGATGTCTCCTGGCGGTCTTGGGGCTGGATTTTAACTTCCGACTAACGCGGTTTTCTGTATGTGCCAGAGAACTGAAGTACGGGGCGGACTGGGAGGTTGTGCCGGGAGGCATTTGAAGGGTCTGGAGAGGCACGGTAGTATCGGTCAGAGGATTGCATCGCGCTTCTCCGTGTTGCTGAATCTCAAGCGGTTCCAAATCACTATACAAGCATGTGAAAGAATTGCGGCTGGCCCTCGTAATGCGAGGTATTACTCATACTCCGGATATCACATTCGTATCGAGATTTTTAAGTTGTTGCTCCACCCGGACACCGGCTGCTGCAACATCCGAGATCTGGACCTCGTGTCTCCTGGTTCCATTGTTCTGTTGGTCGTTATGATGAAAGAGGAGGATTGTGGTCGCCGTCTTTCACAACACTAGCGGTGGACAGGCAAGATCTTGACTCATGGGATTGGAGGTTGAATCGTTGGCGGTGGTTGGTTTGCGTATCTGTGCCTGCAGCTGGTCCGGTATCGTTGGTCACCAAACAAACCGATCATTGGCTACGCGTCCAGACAACAGAAATTTAGAACGGAGAAAAAAATAAGGGGAAAGAAACGGGGAAAAAAGGGAAAACAAGGCACAGAAATTAAACCTCCTCGACCTTTTTTTCTTTTCCTTTTTCCTAGGACTCCATTGGTCTTACCCAAAGGGACTGCCTTGCCCGTCCCCTCCCCGACTTTACAGCCCCTCTCTCTCTCCGGCGGCGTTCCCTCCCACTCATTCAATCAATCAATCAACGGCCGCCGCCTCCTCCCCCCGTCACAGTTGCATCCCCCCCCCCCAATCCCTCTCGTTTCTAGTTTCTTATTATCTGGATTGCTTCCCTTCCTTCCGGTCCTTTATTTTCCCCTCTCAGGCCCCTCCGAGAGATGGGCTTTTCCTGATAAGGGCAGTGCGCTGACCATTCAGCTTTTCCCTCGTTCCCCGGTCTTCCCCCGGAATCCTCTCTCCCTCTCAGTCAATTCCCACCTCAGCCCTGACGGTCATTGTTCCATATTCGCCCCTTCTAGAACGATGAACATCGATGAAGATCACCAGCTGGATCTGTGAATAATACAATTAGACTCGCGCGTGCGATGGACGCTAAAAATTCCCACCACTATCAGCCAACGGCGCGCTCTCTGGCCACCGACCATGAGCATGTCTTGCCGGTGCTGACCAAACCAGCTGCTTGGCCTGCTCCCACCACTACTACCGTCCATCCGGTTACTATTAATAATACTACATATCATCCCCATCGTCCTTACAATTATCCGATTTCGACCTCCAGTCAATCCTTTGCGTACGGGCCTGTCCCGCCGCCGCCGCCCCCATCGATACCGCCCCCCGTCCATACCAACGCGCAACCCTTGGCCACCGAGACTACCCGGCAGGATGTAAACAGGAATGGTGTCACAAAACCCCGCAAACCGCGGAAGACCAACAATGCATCTGCGGGGAAGTCCACCCTGTTTTGGGTCCATACCGATCCGCAGTCCGTGTCCGAAGGTACAAGGGAGGAGACTCTGAAGCGCATCCGTTCTCATGTCATGTCCGAGCATAACCGCAAGAAGAGGCTAGAGAATACCAAGCGCTACAAAAGCAAAACCTGGAAGCACCTTGCTTTTCAGCCGGTGGAAACAACGGCCTCCAGTTCGTCCACGACAGATGCAGCTTCTTCGGCCGCTTCCGCTGGATCAATTCAAAAGCCAAGCGTCACCGAATCATCCTCCTTCGGCACGCGGATTGTCTCTGATTCCTCTTCCTCTTCCGCTTCCTCCTCGCCCGAACAGCAACAGAAAGAAGCGCCGCAGCGTGCGCTGGTGGTCAAGGATGAGATCAATTATCCGGCTGTCTCGGGGACTGTGGACGACTACAGCGTTGAAGCATCAGCGAATAATGCGCTCGCGCCTGTGCAGTCTGCAGCACCATGGAATTATTTGGGAGGGGCCGTTGATCCGTTCATTTCAACGCATACGGTGATGTCAGATCGGATGTGTCGACATCTTCAGCATTGTAGGTTGGCTTGCAACTGTTCTAGAAGGCACGGGTCTAACATCCATTGCAGTCTTTGACCTGACGCAGCAGGCGTATCCGTTGCAGCGCCGATACGGGCCGAAGTTGCGGGATCATTGGACGGCCTTGGTTCAACAGGACCCGGTATCATTGCACGCTTGTATATGCGTTGCAGCGTCGAATGCCGCCTTGGCAGCCGGCGAGCTTCCACTAACGGACCCCAACAAGCGGCGTTCGAGTGTGCTACTCCTGGACACGTTCCACCACCGCGGTGAAACAATCAAACTGGTCAATGAGGGTTTGTCGGATCCGATCAAGGCTTCCAGTGACCAGCTGATTGCCGCTGTGTCTATTCTCTTGACCATTGAGGTGAGCATCCCGGAACCTGTGCATGGGCTTGGCTAATTGGTTAGATTGCGTCCGGAAACGCCGACTATCTCAAGATCCATCTGGCCGGCCTGCGCCAGATGGTCGGCATGAGAAAGACATTCGCCGATGTACCACCCGACGTTCGATTCCAAATTTCATGGTCAGCTCACCCCAATGCTGTGGAGTCAGTGGGCCCGTACTGACTCGACTAGGACTGACATCCGTGTGGCGTGCATGGCCGGCACCAAGCCCATCTTCCCATTCATTCGCTACACCCGTCCGCAATTCACGCTTATCCCACCTAATGAAGACCTTACACTTTTAGCTTCCCGTTTGATACAACTAATAGAGATACCCGGCATCTTTGGGGATGCCATGTCCAAGACGATATATGACCTGGCTGAACTCACCTGGTACAGCGAATGGATCAAGAGCACTACACAATATCAAGAATTTGACGACGACACGGAGGATTACTTCAACACGGAGGTCCTCTACGTCGAATACACTCTCCACGACGACCGGTACACGGCGACAGGCGAAAGCAAGGTCGAAGCCACCATCGAAGGCTGCGTCCGGCTGGCATGCCTGGTGTTCCACAACACCGTCATCTGGGGCTTCTACCCTCAAATCGCGCCGGTGTTTCCCCGACCCGTTACGGCGCTTCGCTTGGCGCTGGAGAACACCATGGGTGCCGGATACTTCCAGCTGTGCCAGGACGTGCTGATCTGGATTCTGGTCATCGGGGCGTGCAGTTCGCCGCAGCTCCCGGAGCATACATTCTTCGTGAACGAGCTCGTCTCGGTACTCCGAGAAGACGGGAGCATCCACTCCTGGCAGGGACTTCGGGCCCTGCTGATGGGCTTTTTCTACGTGGACCGGAAGTACCTGACCGCGTTGCAAGACTTATGGAATGAGGTCGAGCCTCGGTTGCGAGCACCACAGGAATGTATATAGACCCGATATAACTCATATATAGGACTCGCATGTTACATGTGGCATGTATGATATATTAATGAGACACGGTATATGACGATGGCTAGCACTTGGCATCCTTTAGATGATGAGACAACTGTCTTGATCAAACAAATACCACAGCAACCAACAAACCAGACACCTACAATCACACCACCCGGAACTCCCCTCTCCCCAAACAAGCGAAAAAATCCCTCACCCCGAGCCCAGCCCAGAACCTCCGTCGAACCCAACCAAGTCCGCTCCAATGAAAGACACCATCCCAAACAAGCAACCCCTTGAAAAAGAAAACAACGAAACAAAATCCAACCAACCGGAAAGCCCACACCAGAATCCTTCGGCGAGAATCGGTCCCTAATTGCTCTCCAAGTCCACCCAAGCCCGATACCAAGCCCCGAGATCGAGACCGAGACCGAGCAATCAATCCTGTCACGTTAATTCCCGAATAAAGTCCGTCCGAATCCCGCCCGAAGACCGAATCTCCGCCGCGCGGTTTTTTTCCCGGTGAAACTAAGGATCGAGCCTACTGATAAATAAATACTCTTCTTTCTCACTTCCCTTTCTTTCCGCGCTGGGGTTTGTGGGTTGAGTTACTGACTGGCTAGCTATCTGGCTGGCTGACTTGTTGGATATTTTGTCTGCTCATATCCGTCTGGATGTGGGATTGCTCATCTTTCATAAGCGTCTAAGGACTTGTGCTATACTACTAACTAACTTTCAGTTGACTTGACTGGTTTGACTGACTTAACTGAAGTATAGAGTGGTTTGGAGTCAACTCGTGCAAACTCACTTCGGGCTGAGTTGAGGCTCGGGCTGAAGACGGGAGTCTTTCTTTGTTCTGTTCAGTGGGTGACTGCCAACGTGCTTGCTACTGGCCTGGTGACACTTGACACTTGACTGTTTGCGGGTATAGTTCATCGCCTTTCTCTTTGTTCAGTTGCTGCACTGCAGCATTTAAGAATGGCTGACGGAACGTGGTCTTGGATCAAGGCTGGTCGGATGCTGCAGGGAGTGCTACGATGATTATCAGGTAGGTCATGTGTCTGCAGAAGCTGACGTCAAATCATTTCTTCATTCCAGGTCAATCCTTTCATTAACAAAACTTAACATCCAAAGTGACGAAACGCCCCCATCCATTGTGCTCGACAACGGACAGCCCCATCATTACCAGGTCTTGATATTATTCTTCCAACGAGAAATACAAAAAAACAAACACTGCTGGACCGTTGACCTGCTATGGGCCTGCCAAACTTGACAAGCCCCCACATGGTCTATAACCTGGACCATTCCCCGCGCAGCAATGGCCTTACAAGAATGGGTATCTGAAACATAACAAGCGCAGGTGTATTACTCTTTTCGAGAGGATCCTCCCATACAAGCGACGATCATGTCGCTTAGACAGTCTCGCGCGGGGTCTTGGCACGGCTGCGGGCAGTGGGAGACCAGGGGAAGTGAGCAACAGGCATGATGAAGAAGCTGTTGCTGCTGTCGGCAATACCAGCCAAGGCATTGTACCAGGCGGCAAAGGCAGCCAGGAGACCGAAGAATCCACCCGCCTTGATGATGGAAGGGTTGGGGGCGCCGGCAGCGTCAGGACGCAGGTAGCCAATGCCAAGCAGCAAGAAGGTCAGGTCCAGGAAGAAGAAGAGCAGGAAGAAGGCGACCGTGGATCTCAGGGTGCACAGCAACAAGATGGTGGTGAAGATGAACCAGCCCTGCGGAAGACAGTTAGCGCGGTGCGACTACTTGCAGTATCCATGAAAGCTTACCATGAGGTACAGTCCCATCGAGTTGTTGAACATGCTCTCACCACCAGCCGCCTCGATCGAATCGACAATCTCGAACCCACCGGGGGTCAAGACGATGGCGAAAGAGATCCAGAAACCGCCGTAGGAGGACAGAGCAGTGGCACCGAAGGTGTTTCCGACAGCCATTTCCCTGCGACGGGTTAGAATACACCATAATAATGAAGACAATGGGATACATACCACATGCCAGCAAGCAACTGAACGAGACCACCGTATCCGAAAGCCAAACTCACGACGATGTTGTTCGCAGTGATACCACGAGTACCCATGTTGATCAAACTCAGGAGGAAGGTGGTGAGGGCGAAAGCGCAGAGACCCAGAGGCGCCGGGTTGGCGAACTTGCGCTGCTCGACCGACTTGTACAGACCGGGCTGGAACTCACCTCCGAAGGGACGGAGGTTGGCCTCAGCGGTGTTGACTTGAGCCATGGGACCGTAACCAAAGCGCGCAGCGGCTCTGGCAGTGTCCTCTGCGGACATCTCATGGGTGATGGGAGCCGTGCCGTTGGACTCGACCTCAGGAGCCATGTCCTTCTCAATAGGATGTTCGGCCGACATAATGACTACCGGAGACAGATTATCCGATCAAAAATAATCGATTATGATGCTTCTTAAGATTCCAAGGCAGTCCAGCTAGCTGGAGGATGGAGGAGATGGAATATATATGAAACCACGGAGGGCAAAAGGAAAAGAAACGACGATGCACACAGCACTGCTGGGCGGATCAGCAAGGAGAATCTCGACGACGGGGACCGTGCAAGATGTAAGAGGAATAAATAGAAGCAATGAGGAGAAGGTGAGAGATGAGGAGGAAGAGGGGAAGGAGAGGTCAAATAAGAAGAGGAGAGGGCCGGGACGTGTCTGTGTCTCTGGGATTAACGGACATTGGGATGAGACCCAACCCGGACGAGTGAAGGTTGCAGGGGAGCCAGCAATCTACCGGATTTGGGAGGAAGGACCGTTAGTTGAGTTTAGCCTGGCTGTTAGTGATTGGTAAGTGGCATTTTTTTTTTATTTGATTTTATTTTATTATTTTTCGATTTGATCCGTTGGTTGGAGATGATCTGAAAAAAATGATTTTTTTTTTTTTTTTAATTCTGGGATTAATTTGGGCTGTTATTATTATTATTACGGTGCCATGATTATTATTACTTTATCATACTTTTTGTCGGCGACGAGCAGCGGTGGAGCGGGCGAATTTAGTGCTGGGTTTTAAAACGATGTGCAGGAATCCACCTGACGGGCCACTCCCGTCTGAATGTCCCTAATTGACTCTAGAAGCAGACTAGCAAAATGGGTCGGCTGGCGAGAACTTGGACGCTGTTCACCACCAGAGGCGACGATCCTCCATCATCTTGCGGTATTCACTCTCCATCGAGCCATCCACATCCCATTGGAGGCATCAGGCTTTTAGACTTTCCGCAACCATGGGAAAGCGGGGGAGGAGAAGGGCTTCGCAGCAGGGCGTACCTAATTACCTAGGTTAACCGAAGGAAAGACACGCCCCATAGGGACCAAGATCCAGGATGAAAGGAGTTGGCTTCCATTCGTCCAGCAAGGGCTGCGCCAGTGCACACAAACTGCTCAGATGGCAAATCCTTCGTGTCTCTTCGTGTCTCTCCCAAGTACCGCCTAAACCCGATTGACTTTCCAAGCCCGGGGAAAGCAAGGGCAAGTGGGGTTCGAAGGCGCCCGAGGTCTGGGGAAACAGCCAATCGGGGACGCCTCCTCCGGTTGCTGTGAGACCATTGGTTCGTTGGCCGGGCGTATGATACGGTAATCATACCAGCACTAGCTCCGACTGGGTAGTATCTCGACCTCTCCGTCTCAGTTGGACTCGTCCATCCCAGGTCTTGCCATACCATCGCCGCTGCCGATGGAAGTGCTCCATGATCCCTGGCTGGCACGCATCACTTGTATCTCGATCGCAGATGGGGCTCTGTCAGATGCAATGCAAGAATCAACGTTGCATCCCTGTCTGCCTGTCCGATGGACAGTGTCTGAAGCGGTATCCATCTACTCTGTAGTATATCTGCTAATCGATCTCGAATGCAGCGGATGTTCCCACTGGGTCGGTAATTACAAGCGCTCTTATTCAGCCGGACCTTCCGCGGTGCTGTCACTACGACTGCGTATACTCCATGGATGTCACCCCCAGAGGTGCTCATTTTTCATCCATCGCCTACAGTTACGACGGTGACGGTGTCTCCAGTTTGTTGAGAAATTGATCCGAACTGTTCCCTTCCCTTTTCCGTCCGATTTAACATGGCCAGGTAACCCAACGCACACATGATGCTGCAAGGAGGTGCCATCTCTAGCAGTCTAGCACCAGGACCCCGTCCCATACAGGCTAATTATTAGTGTACGTGGCTCATTGGAGCACTGTAGCTGCTGGTGGAGCGCTGGCAGGTGCGGTGACTGCGGGCCCTTAGCATCACTCTGATAAGTGCTACGGCTCCGGGCTGAGCCTACCCAGGACTAGCTGGCCGACTGCGACCGTACCTGCGCTGAGCAATCACTGCATGATCCAGCTCTCGCTCTACCCGGTGGATGCCAGGATGAACCGGCGCCGAAATCTGAAGCTCTCCGAGTCTCGAAACCGAAGGGTTCTGCCCATCAGAGAGCCTTAATGTGCGCAGTCTGATACAGCAGACGCGGCTGGTGGGTTCTCAATATGCTTAATCTTCCTTTGCGCTTCCTTCCAGGGGACTCTGCAGGGGCAGTTGATATGCCGCTGGCCCCGTTGGCTCCCTTCATTCCCAATGTTCCTGATGGTGCAGCCGGAGAATACGACAACATACTTAACGACGGATCGCCATGACTGGAGGCAGCGGCGCATGCGGCAGCAGTCAGCCGCCCGAGCAGAGAAAAAGCATCTTGCCGCCATCCATAGGATCAACATCGACCAAGAGCAGCTATCTACATAGTCATCGAACGACCGGACTGCTAGAGTCCTAGACCACCGACGGAGACATGGGTCTCTCCATCGGCTCCAGATGGGCAGATTCCCCGTGTGCGGTGGCGGATGACACCCGACAGGAAGAGTTGGATCCGCGGGCCCATGATGCTGAGGCGATTGTAGAGTTTGGGGGATACATAGTCTCCGTTCTCGGTCTGTTTCGAGACTTTTGGCGCGGCCAAAGGGACGTCCCCACTTGGGGTCTCTTGGCGACCGTTCTGCCGCGTCGCCGATTTTCTAACCTGTTCGTGTCGGCCTCCATCGAGTCCATCGGCCACGGGCATCCCCCTTTTCC